TCTAAGTTCTTTTTTACCTATTTCTAGCTTACGAAGCTCTAGATTACGCTACTATCTATTAACGTCTTAGCTACCCCCGTTAGGGCTCTAATCTTAATATCTAATATTAGTATATTATAGACGAGTACTTAGTATACTTTTTTACGTTCTCTAAAGAGGACTATTCCTAATACTATAGGAGTCTATAATATAGGGTTATCTATTTTTTTAACTCTTCCGCGGCTATAGCGTTTACTATAGCTTTCTTACGGTAGTCCTTTATATAGTAGCCCGGCTTACTATAGAAGTTATAGAATTTACTATCTCCGCTCTAGTCTCGTTTAGACCCTACGGTAGCTTTTCTACCCTCTATAGTAGTCGTAGCTTATTATATAAGGAAGGCGCTATTTCCCTTAAAGGGTCTTCTACTAAATCTTTATAAGTCTATAGTATTTTTTAGCGCTATCTTCTTAGCCTCTCTAAGATATAATATCTTATCTAGTATTACTTTCTTAATTTAGTTATAGAAGGCTATCTAGTTATCCTATTAATCTATAATAGGGGCTATAAACCTCCTTATTTCGTCTTATATCTCTTTAACGATATCTATCTCTAAATAGTTAATTCTTATCTATCTAGTTAGTATATCTTTTAGGCGGTTATAGAGTCTAGTAAGCTTTAAGACGTATTAGTATATATCCTAATACTTAGCTTATATTATCTACTACTAATTATATTTAGCTTCTCGCTATATCTCGATAAGGTTAGTAACCTAAATAAGCGCTTATATTTTAAAGACTAACTAGATAAATATCGTACCTAGATTATTCCTATAGTATTCTATCTATATTATATTAATCTTTAGCGCTAGGAATTTAGTTACTTAATCTATTTTACGTACGTTATTAGTAAACTAGTTAGGGTATCTATTCTAAAAGGCTTTCTAGTTCGACTTAAAGAGATTATATTTACCCGAACTCTTAGCTCTATACGTTATTATATTATAAGGTATACGTAGTTCCTTTACTTTTTTCTAATAGGATAGGTAGCCTCTAGTACTTTCTTATAATATAATTAAGTTTATATAGATAATATTAGGTAGTTAATAGGTAATTTAGCTAGTAGTACTATCTAGCGAACCCTAACGGATCCTAGATCCTTATATTCTCGCCTATAGGATTACTACGTTTTCTTCTTCGTCCTATAGCTCCGCGCGGATTCTATTTTTCTTCTTTACTAGAGCTAGACGTCTTTTAAGGGTCTCTAACTCTCGGAGTTCCGCCTCCTCGTCTACTTTAGTCGGGGTTATCGGATCCGGCGGGTTTCCTCCCTAAGGGTTATCGTCGACTCCCTATATCTTTACCTCTTCTAGTAGGGGTTATAGGGGTCCCGGGACGTCGTTCGTTTCCGCGATTAGGGCTAAGATTCCCCTTAGGCGGTCGCTCGTACGTCAAGTCGTCGATATTACGTATTCTAACGGTCTAGTTCAATTAAGATTTAGCGATTAGAATGTTAGGACCGGCGTACTAGCGGGTCCTAGTAGGTAGTATAGAACTAGAGTAAAGGAATAGTAGGGTGCTAGTATATTTATAAACTAATCGCTAAAGAGCTAAGTTCCCCTAGCAGTCTCTATATAGATAACCTTTAGCGGGTCACGGGACTAGGTCACCTAACCCGGTAGGACTTAGTCTCCCTAGTGCGGTCTCTGGCGGGGGGTCATACTACCCCTGCTAGGTCACGGGTTCTAGGTCACAGGACCAGGCGGGATCCAGCCTATGAGGCACTCTCCTAGTAGAGGGTCGTAACATATCTTAGGTTAGTATTAATTTCACTAAGGTTATCTAGAGGCTATAAAATATCTCTTAGCGCTAAGGACTAATATTAATATAGATAGTATGATAGTAAATCTTATTTAGAGTAATAGAGATATTATATTTTTAGTACTATATATTTATATAGGCTAGTTAAAATTATTTCTTTATCTATTTTATCTTAGCTAAATTATTTAATAGAGCTACTTTAATATACATAAGAAGCTAATTTAAGCTTAGTTAGATAATATAGGTAAGATAAGGAATTTAGATAATAAGAATATTATCAAAGAGAGTCTACTAAGATCTTATTATTAGAGGTATTATCTATTATTAAACTAAATACTCTATTTTTAAGGTTATACTTAAATAGAGTATCTAATTAATCGCTTAAAGGTTAGGTATTTGATTAGGTAAAAAGGTAATTAGTTTAAGATAAGAAATTATAGGATATCCTCCTTTTAATCTTCTTATAAAAAAAGTCTATTCTATATTAAAGGATCCTCTTAGATAGTAAAGGAATTAGAACCGATTAGTACTATTAAACTTTATATATAATATTAGATATACCCTCTTTTAAAGGAACTTTATACTTTTAGACTTCTTCTTATCTAAAATATGTATATATAATAGTCTTAAGATATTTTTATATTATTAATATATCATAATAATATATTTTAATTATATTATAATCTAATATAGTTAAATAAAGATACACTAATATCTTTCTATAGTATTTATATATAATTCTTAATATACTATTTATATTATATATAACTTAATAGTAGTTTTACTAAATTCTTATATTATAATTTAAGTCCTATTTAAACTTACTTTTCCAACTAAATTAGTTGATGTTACAACCTAACATACGGAGTATGAATATGGTGCGTATATCTCGTAGCATATATCGGGTATTTAGGTTAGTAACCTAACATAACGACCAGTTGGTCGTCATAGTGGCTCTTTTGGTAAACGCTCTACCTTACTATTGCTTCCTAAGTTTTGTAGTGGTATCAGGCCCACTTGCCTTAACAATATAACGACTAACTTCGGAGACCCTAGGTTCGAGACATATAGATATCGAATTCGAATCTACGGTCTTTATAAGGAATATTATAGAGAGATCTATATATACACTTAGGGGTCTATAACTTAAAATATATATACCGATATCTTATTAGCACGGTAATCATACCGTTTAAGCTACCTATAGATATTCTATCCTTTCCTTATGCCTCGGGGTTAAGGCATCAGAAAGAGGGGAGATAATATTATAACCTAACGTACGGAGTACGAATACGGTGCGTATATCTTATAGTATATATCGGGTATTTAGGTTAGTAACCTGATATGAAGACCAGTTGGTCGTCATAGTGGCTCTTTTGGTAAACGCTCTACCTTACCATTACTTCCTAAGTTTTGCAACGTGGTGTCAGGCCCACTTGCCTTAATAGTTTATAGTTACTAATCTATCTATTTAGTATATATTATTTAGTTATAAAGGATAAATACCTTTTTTTTAAGCTAGACTAATATACTAAAAAGAAGATAGAATCGGAAGTAGTTTAATTAGATATCTAAAGCTTTTATTAATTATAGAATAGGTTAAGAAGAGAGTAAGTAATTAAACTAATAAATATAAGATATTATTAGCCTTATCTTTAGAAAAAGATAGAAGTATAGTAAAGAAAGTAAAAGAGAGAGATTATTACTTATAATTAAGAATAATAGATAGAGATTAGAGATAATAGATTAAATAGACTAAGATATTAGCTTTATATTAATTAGCTTATAGAGTATAAAGTAAGTAGATACTTACCTAAACCCTAATAAAAACCTAATTCCTATATTAATTTAGAAAATCACTTAAGAACCTTTTACCCTAAATACTTAGTCTTAACTAAATACTTTAAAATCAAGGGATTATTAAGTAAATATAATAATATCTAGGCACTAATAATGTTTATTTTTACTAGAAACCACTCTCTAATAAAGAAGATCTATAAAATTAGATAGATTTACTATTATTCTAATTATTTCTTTAATATTAGAAAGTCTATACTAAAACTATAGATTATAAATATGTATTTCTACTACTTAAATATATAAATTTTCTAACCTTACTAATTATAGTATTATTTTATAAGAAATTTTATATTCTATTAAGTAATTAATATATTACTAGACCTTAAATACTAATAAATAAGGATATTTAATTAAGTTTAACTTACTATACTACTAAATATTAAAGTCTTTCTTAATATAACTAAAATAAGGAAAAATTATAGTAATTAATTTAGATAAGTAAGGCACTTTATATAGAGAATTATATAAAACTTAGGTCTAATTAGGTTTTTATTAGGTTATCTGGTGAACCTAACGTTAGGTCCGGTGCCGGGTTGGGATATTCGACCTAATTCCGGTGCGTGCGGAAGTCTATGTGAGAAAAAGGAAAAACAATGAATAAATAATGAGTTATTACGGAATATTATTTTCTTCGTCATATCAATACTGCTTATAAATGTTTTCCGAGTAGACCTTAACTACGGACCCACTAGAAGTAGATCGAAAGTGGATCATGGATAAGCTTAGCTTTTACGTCGTAGCTAAGCCCACTTACCCACTGCAATTCCGGTGCGTTTGGAAGTCTACGCGGGTGTGGGGCAATTTCGAGGAAACCTTTGCGGTAGAATTGTACCCTAGGCCCATAGCCCAGCCCATTTGTAGGTTGGGGGGTGGGGGGGGGGGCTTTGGGCTTTGTGGGTTGGTGCGGGGGTCTAGATAGGATTTTCTTTTGGCGGAGTTCTAGAGGATTCGCTGAAGAATATCTGAAGAGAGTTGACGTTAATGTAACTGCCTTGAGCGTTTTAGCCCCTAACCCAATCGGCTCAGCCCGTGACAGCCCGTGACACCGACGGGCCTGGTTCAGGCCTTCCAATTGCCAGTCACATGCAATGTTACGCAATGCCGAGGCTAATGGAGATGGTGAGTGCTCAATGTTATTTATATTGATAGAAGCCTAGTCTCACTGCGATGCTATCTTGTCAACGTTTGCCCCGGTTCCAGAAGGGAAATCCATCTTCTTTTTCTTTCGGTTTCTGTTTCTCTAGCTAGCACAGGGAGAATACGCTTGACCCCTCAGGTATAATCTACATTTTATATAAACGCCTCAATTCTTCTGTTGCTCCCGAAGAAGTTCCGACAAACATGTCACCAAAGAGTCTCCCTTCGATAATATTTTTTGATGTGTTGGGAACAATCGTGGAATGGAGATATTGCATTGCGAACGAGCTCAATGCCGCAGCACAAAGGGCTCTACAAGATCAAGTGAAATATCTAAGCCCGGATGTACGAGCACGTGCCTCCGACATGTCCACTCCAAGTTGGCAGGAAATTGCCGAGGAGTGGCATCGCGCATATATGAGCTTCGGAGACACGTACGATACATCCAAGCCCTTTGTCTCGGTAGATGAGTACAACCGAATCTCTTTGGAAGGCATTCTCGACAAATGGCTTCTCCGAGGCTTATTCAACGAAGACGATCTCAAAGACTTAACACTCGCTTGGCATCGACTTGACGCGTACTCTGATAGTGTGGCGGGCCTTTCGTTGCTAAGCACCAAGTTTGCGACTTCTACATTATCTAATGGTAATGTGAAACTGCTCAAAGACCTACAAGAGCATAATTCTTTGCCTTTCCAGCACATTACCAGTGCGGAGCACTTCGGTGCTTACAAGCCGTCGCCAGACGTCTATCATGGTGCTGCTCGCAGATTTGGTCTTAAGGATTCGCAATGTTGTCTTGTCGCAGCCCATCTCGAGGACTTGCAAGCCGCCAAAAGATGTGGATTTCAAACAATCTATCTCGAGAGGCATCTGGAAGAAGCTTGGAGTAGTAGAGACATTGCTCGAGCTAGAGAAGAGGGGTTCGTCGATCTTTGGGTGGGCGTTGGAGGCTTAGGTCTAAATGAAGTTGCTCGACACTTTGGGATAGAAACTGGGTCTTGATTAAATTATTGCCTAGGTAGACCCTGGATAATCGGATTCCAACCCATCATCTACTCCTCCGGGATGAAAGCTGATCATGTCCTCATAATAATCTCTCTGGGATTCCGAGCTTTCCTAATTGCATAGAATCCATGGCTATATCAAGGGTAACTTAACGCCTTCTCCCTCCATTCATCATCAAGCAGAGTCGCTCCATCTGTACACCTTGACATAGTTGATTAGCCAATATGCCTCCGAGAACGCTGAAGGATTTTGAGCGACATATTCTTCGCAGGTAGAAGCCTTTGCACTGCACTCAGCGTTCGAGGACCACACGTTTCCACTAATATCTGTTATTACATGCCCTGATACATCATTGGAATTTGTTACTCACGCCCAGCCGCACAGGTTCGTGTTGAATATGATATCATTGCTTTTGAAGTGAGAGGCGAAATCGCACTCAGAAGCCTCAAACCTGGTCAACGGCGTACCCCAAGTGCTTGGGGTTGGTGTCCCTGCCGCGATGTCCGCCGGAATACTGCCACGGGGAAAAAACCAGACCGAGATAGCCGTCGTTGTCCATTGCATCGTGTAGACGCCCCCGTTGATCGCATTGAACCCGTCCCCGTAGGCCTGGGTATTCACCGTTGACTGGGAACAGCCGCCAGAAACTGTGCTGTCACAGTCGGCATCTGTGAGGACCGAACCAGCTGCAGATCCGGTATTTGTGACGGTGCAGTTCTCCCCAGTGTGCAAGGTGATGACAGGAGTTTTCTGCAGATTGATACCCTCGATGATGTCAATCTCGCCGCTGTTGGGCCAATTTGGACCGCTGGTCCAGTAGGCGGGCCAGATGCCACATTCATTACCCGGCATGTGCGCAATATCGGCGATGTAAACCCCGTTGGTATACACATTTGACGTGATGACTCTGACAGAATCCCGTCCGCCCGTTGTGTTTTCGGTCTGATTATCAACGGAGAGGTACACCTGCCCGTCCCGAATCCCAGCCAAAGACTTTGCCTCTGCAGTGGCTGCATCTACATAGTGTGCAAACCCACCGGATCCAGTACCGTTTCGAAATTCAAAGCCATCGAAAAAGTTGGTTGCGTCGTACGAATCAAGGAGAGTGTATTTCGCCGCAGCCATGTTTGACCAGACAAGTGTGGCCACGCCAAGCAGTGTGGGAATACGGGTCATTGTCGTGCGTGCCTTCGATGCTGTAAGGCACAGGGATAGAAGGGTTATAGAGAGTAATGATGAATTCAGTCAAGACCTGAACTGTAGTGGAATAGGAATCACCACTCGCATCGGCAGATTCCACTCGATTTTATATGTCTCACACCAGTTATTTACTTCAATAGCAAGCTAGATGCAGTAGATGCAGTAGTCCGGAAAGGATACAGATTCTGAACCCTTTTGGACTCATCAATCCCTCATGAGATTGATACCATATTTCGCGGCGACTACGTGCTTCCTAGGACACCAATGGGGAGACGGGGATGTCAAGGGACCGCATGCCAATTTCACATAGTTGTCACTCAACAAATCGAGCACTACTGCGCATAGCTGCTCTACTCCGTAGTCTGCTGGTAGGACTCCGTAAAGTCCTAGCCATCCAGATGGGGTCGCAGATCGGATAAATCGAATCAGATTGATGAATTGCGACAACACCAACCAACCAGTCATTTGATTGTATACTCCGTCCTTGTACTCCGTCCCAATCGCTGATCCGTTGTCTTCCCTGATGTAGCATCTTCCTGCCGATCGAGTAGAAATCTCCGATGTCGGACCTCGGCAGTCGGGGAACGGAACTCGGGAGCGCGAGCTCCTTTGGGAATAGCCCCACGCGTCACAGGGTCCGATCGCGGTCCCTGAGGAGACCACGTCCCACGGTACTCGTATTCTCCGCGGCCAATCAGAAAGAGGTGGCTGGAAAGGCTAATTGATTAGATTTCCCTGTTCTATAGTATCTCCATAGTACCTACTCCATACTCCGTACAACATACACCAGTAGATATCATAGGCTAAAATGCGCATGAGAAGATCTACTCCGTACTGTCCCATTGAGTCAAGTCATATCACCGAGTCCTGAATAACGCCATTTTTGGTTCATGCTCTCATTGGCGCTGAAAGCACCATTAGATCGATGGAAGGTGACTAGAGACAAAAAGGGACAATCCCAATAAATGTTGTGACTTTTGCAGGTGTAACTTCATCCTGATGTAGATATGCCGTACAGGGTTACGCTTCATCGGCTGTGACTGTGTCCCCGCAGCATCACGACATCCGGTCTTTGGAAGGCATGATACGCCAATGTAGATCATGTCAGGGGTTGAGTATACATATCAAGTATATGTCGACCGAAGTCACCCCAACATCGGAAACATCTGGGACTCTTATTCGATTGAAAGATGAGGATCCTTCCCCTCCTGTACCTCGTTGGTCGCGTTGCGGCCGTGTGGCCTGCACCCCAGTCTCTCACCAAGGGTAACTCTACTGTGTGGCTTGCTGAGGACTTTCGGGTCTCATATAACAATGAGGATGTAAGCGCTTCTATTAATCACGGTTCCTACGCGGACGCTCCCTCTTCAATCAAAAGGCTGACGAGCATTAAAACAATAGATTCCGCAATCCACGGGTGCAGATGAGTCAATCCCAACAATCTCGAGCGTGGAAATCATCAAAGCCGCCGTGCAGAGGACTAGGGAGTCCATCTTTACGAGTAGCATTGTTCCTTGGAAGTTTCACCCACGGAATGAGCTGGATCAATTTGAACCCCCCTCGTCCGGCAAAGCTAAAACCTATATTCGCAGACTTCAGATCACCCAGACCACAGAGGATAGTGATTCGACATTCAAGCCCCTTGCAGGTGCGATAGACGAAACTTACAACTTAACAATTGGGCTGGATGGTGCAGCATCAATTGTAGCAGCATCGTCTACCGGTGTGCTCCGTGCCTTGGAGACTTTCACTCAGCTATTTTATTCTCACTCCATCAAAGGAGTAGGAGTCTATTCTAATCTCGTCCCCGTTCATGTACACGATGAGCCAAAGTTTGGCTACCGAGGTTTGGACTTGGATGTGTCGAGAAACTGGTATCCCAAGGAACACATTCTGCGGACCATCGATGCCCTGTCTTGGAACAAATTTAATCGGCTACACCTCCACATGACTGATGCACAGTCTTGGCCGCTGGATGTTCCCGCACTTCCAGAGCTGTCCAAGGAAGGCGCCTATGGGGCTGGACTGTCCTACACACCTCAGGACATCGAAGACATTCAGGTCTATGGGGTCTATCGGGGCATCGAAGTTATAATAGAGATAGACATGCCCGGTCACACAACCTCTGTTGGATTCTCACACCCAGAGCTTATCACTGCATTCCGTCAAGAGCCATGGCAGAATTACTGTTCCGAACCGCCATGTGGACAATTGAAGCTGAATTCCACGCTGGTTCATGACTTTGTCACCACACTTCTCAATGACATTCTACCCCGGGTCTCACCATATTCAGCCTATTTCCACACCGGTGGGGACGAGATTGACACTCGCGACCACCTGCTGGATGATACGGTAAAGTCGGACGACGTTGCTGTTCTCGCCCCGCTGCTGCAGAAGTTTGTCGATCACGCCCATGGCCTGGTCAGAAAGGCAGGGCTAGTCCCAATTGTATGGGAAGAATTAGTTCTTGACTGGAATATTACCCTTGGGGATGATGTTATAGTCCAGACCTGGATCGATGACAAATCCTTGGACGAGGTAACCGCGCGCGGGCACAAAGCTCTCTTCGGAGATAACCCAAGCTGGGTGAGCATTCATCTTCCGCAGATCCTTTGCCCATGACTCACATCTTGTAGTATCTTGCCTGCGGCCATGGCAAATGGTTCAACTTCGACAACGCCGATACACAAGCCAACTATCCGTATACTGACTTCTGTTCGCCCATTAATAACTGGCGAGTGATGTATGAGTACGACCCAACAGCCTCTCTGTCGGCTGCGCAAGCCAAACTGGTGGTCGGTGGCGAGGTCCATCTGTTTAGCGAGCAGACTGATCCTTCGAACCTCGATCCGATGATCTGGCCACGTACAAGTGCGGCTGGGGAAGTGATGTGGTCTGGGCGTCAAGATTCAAGGGGGCAGAATAGGAGCCAGATTGACGCGGCTGTGCGATTGTCTGAGCTCAGAGAGAGAATGGTGCTGCGCGGGGTCAACCTAGCACCGGTCCAGATGGCTTATTGCACACAGTATGATGGTGATTGCACATGGTGAGGCTAGACCTCCGCAATGGGCCTGGTTGGGCCCTACCTTCGAAGCCCAACCAAGCCCATGGCCCATTATGGGGGCCCATAAGGCCCCCATTAAAGCCCATTTGTATGCATAAATATAGTCTTGGCGCTCATAAACCTGCTGATTAATGTCTGTTCTTTACACATGTTTAAGTCTGTATGCTTACCGCGGAAGATCTCGGCGCCGGCCCTGATCTAGCCTAATACGGGGGTTCAACAGTTGACAGAGAATCAATGTGCAAATATATATATTTCATATAGAGAGAAGTCAGTGCATCTTTCTATTAATTTACATTTTTCTCAAATTTCATAAATCTTAATTTTATTAATTCAGTCAATTCAGTCAATTCAGTCAATTCAGTCAATTCAGTCAATTCAGTCAATTCAGTCAATTCAGTCAATTCAGTCAATTCAGTCAATTCAGTCAATTCAGTCAATTCAGTCAATTCAGTCAATTCAGTCAATTCAGTCAATTCAGTCAATTCAGTCAATTCAGTCAATTCAGTCAATTCAGTCAATTCAGGCACCTATAGTCAATTTAGGGGGTAATCTAAATACCTAGAAATACTAGAAAAATCTGCATTACTTATATATCTGCCAAGCATTAGTATGTTTGTATTGTTTGAAGCCCATTGGGCCCCCATAAAAGCCCAGTGGGCTTCTACCCTAGGCCCATAGCCACCGATGGGCCCAGGGACCGGGCCCAAAGCCCAGCCCATTTGCGGGTTGGGGCGGGTTGGGCTTTGGGCTTTGCGGGCTGGTGCGGAGGTCTAGGTGAGGCCTCCAACACAGATGGTCTCGCGGGCTGACAGTACCTCCATGGTGTCTTCATCGACGAGGATCATTCCATTCCTCACATAGAATATACCTCGAGGAGGTTAAATATGGAATGCTGGATCAATTCAAGTGTTAATATATAGATTCTTTTGGGTGTTTTTTCTTTGTCCTTTACGGTATTAGGGGCATATGGTCCATATGTTGCATCTGGCATGTTAAATACGGCCACTTCCTCTGTAGACAGGCAAATCACGGGTGTTCTCCAGTTCACATACTACACCCTCCAGGCATCGGCCGTATCCGCTGGATTCTGTCATTCTATGTATGATCCTTCACACTTTCAAGGCGCTAGATGTGTTGAGAGTGACTGGTGTCTCGGGCATCGACCCTCGTAGCCTAGATAGTTCGGGAGTTCGTCTCCTCTCCAATACAACTAACTCTCTCCTTCCTCCTCTCCGAGCCCCATATCCGTAGGTCTCATCAAGACGCTCTATGAAGCCCTAAGTGACCGGTCAATTGTGGACAGACAAAAGCTCCAACTTCTGTCACAGCGCAACGTTGGTCATACGATTGAATGGTCATGGGCGTAGGCATGTGGGAGTCTCTAACGTCAAGTAGCTAGTTTCAGATAGTACAAAGATCAACTATCTCCACCTCTTGTCACAAATAACCTAACTTCACGTCGCTGTCATAGTCTAGTAGTGGTCTGCTTACACAAAAGTCCTTCAACTCGTTTATTTGTAAACAGTAATGGCTTATTGATCAGAGATAGTTTGATATATATACTTCACTTGGTCAATTTTGTGAGCATGATTTTGTAGACTTCATATCCCACACAAGAAGGCTATCTACATGGTCCATACAGTCTTACATTTACACAGACGTATCCATTGTGAAGCATCGTATCGCTAGAGACAAAGCGCGCGTGGGCTATCAAGGAAATTCAAGTTAGCAGGAGAAATCCATCTCATCCTTACGGGAAGTGGTATGCAGGCACGGGGCCTATGCATCCCAAGAAGCATTCTTCTACACCTGTAGAGCAGGATTAGGGCAAAAATTATGCAAAATGGGAATATTATATGGATTTATGGCAAAGTTCACTCCTCGCATGTCTTGTTGCCAGCTATAAACTGGTATACAGCTGGCTCCCGGAGAAAGACACAATGGCCTAGCCGCCCGTTTGACTCAAGGGCCTTGGTGATGGGTAATACATTATTTAATTTCCTATTTAGGGTCAGTATTCGTACTTCTTGCTTGTGGTAAGTTCGTCGTAAGCATACCTTTCCATTAAGACATGTGTGATACGTCGCGTGCCTCCTTTGGTACCACATCCTCAAGCTTTTCGTCCGTGCCCTCTAGATCCTCCTCGGGAGCAACATGGTCCTTGATCTTCAGCCAGATCATGGGAGCAGCGCAGATCGTCGAAGTGGCCAGTAGTGCCCAGTTACTGGTGAATTCGGCCATGTACGCCGGCTTTGTTGAGTCCCATGCCCACATGACTCCAGCGCCAGCAGACTGGATACCTTTGTAGAAGCCGACGTAGTTGGCGCTCTTACGGCCAGAATTACTCAACGTTCCGATATACCTAAATTTCCCATTTCAATCAGTACCCAGTATTGGATCCAGGTGTAGCCATAGGTACCAAGATAATAATCACGTACCAATATACCGCGCCTTGCCAGACGACGTCATAGAAACCATAGCAGAAGTATAGGAACATCGGCCCCCCGTATCCCGGATCAGTCCAGTCCGTGTTGATGTTCGGCTTGGCGCCACCGGGTGGGCGAGTGTAGGTTTTCTGGAACGCATATCCACCACCATGGATGATCATCGTCAGGCTGAAGAGAATGACGAGCATCACCCTAGCACGGACGCTGCGGCGAAAGTACTCCCAGTCCATCACGCTGAGGAAGCAAGCGCCGAGGATGTGAGCAATGTAATAGAGGAAGGTGTTCAAGGCCTTGGTGCGAGTGTTGAAGTAAGCGCCATTAATGGAGTTGGTCTGATAAGAAATGAACCAGTTGGACGACCAGAACATCGGGAAAAGCAACAAAACCGCCGGTTCGCTGCGAAGAGTCGTCCAGAGGCCGATGAATTCGGATTTCCAACTGGGATTCTTCATCAAAATGACTTTGGATCCGTCCGATCGAACGACCTTTTTGACATCACAGATGAAGAGTCCAATCATAGCGCCCATGAACGTCAGGGCGACAAAAACGATGTAGGTGCTGTCTGGCACATTGACATTGGTCTTCTCTTGGATACTGTTGGCAAGAACGATCTGTTACGCAGTCAGCAGCTAGTCGAATGGATAATCACAGCTGGAGAACTCCACAAGTGAAGGGCAAGGGATGTCATAAGATCGCTTACCAGACTGCCCACGCATGATCCAACGTTGAAGATGGACCAGAACAAAGTGAAAAAGCGTCCCTTTTGCCGTTCCAACGGATAAGACACCATGATTGTACCTTGAGCCGTCCACAACAAGCTGGAACACACACCCAGCAAGAAACCAGCAAAGATATTAAAGCCCGGAACATGTTTGTGCAACGAAGTGAGCAAGCTAGCGACATAGATGCAGTAGCCGATACCTCCACAGGCGAGTGTGATCCGCACACCAAGCCGATTCACGATCGTACCCGAAAAGAAACTGGTGAAAGCCGAGGTCACGTACAGCGCGGTGTTCTATACACGTTGTCAGCCTAGCTCGTGCAAAAGACTCAATTCGCTAGGACATCGCTATTACCATTTTATCAACGAGGGTCGCATCTGTCAATCCACCGCCTCCCATGCCGCTCAGGGCATTAAACATGCCCGGGCACAAGAAACAGACGAGAGCAACCAAAATGAGCTGGAAGAGAGGCGCAGTATACCAGCTACGAAGCTTGGCGAAGGCCCCATGGTTAGATTCGTTTTGGTTGGCCGAGGTATCGACCAATTCAGACTCAGCCAAAATGGCAGGGCTCTCCTTGTCTGCCATACCGAGGAGAAGGTGTATAGTTCCACGATCGAGTGTGGGATATGTGGAATGGACACTTGGAACAACGAAGGCGTGAAGAGAAAAGGCCTTGGGGTTCTGTTGGGGGCGGAGCTCTACATTTATGTCTCCTTGGATACTCGTGTATCAGGTACGGAGTAATGCCACGGATGTCACACTTCACGCCTCTAATAGCGTTTCTCCAGGATCACATCATACACAATGACAATGGCAACAGTACGGAGTACGGAGTCCAGCTGGTGTTAATATCGTCCTCTCCGTGGCGCGTCAAGAGCGGTGTGGAATGGACCTGGCTCACTGGCCTCTCTCGCACGTTGTATATTGAACATCCAAAAGGAAGACCAACGAGCACGACGAAAAGGTGCTAGGCGAGGGTTAGGCTTTCGGCTAGCAATCGCTCCATGGGCTCCAGCTAATCGACGCGCTCGACGCTGCTTGTGTGGAGTGGCCCCCACACAACAGGGCGACTGGAATGGGGGCCGTTGGATGGCCCAATCGAGTAACGGGCTCCGACTGCCGAACAACCAAGCGTTTCTTCTTCTCCTTGCTGTTGCTTGGTGATTGTGCTCGGGCCTATCAGAGGGCAAGAGACGGCCCATTGTGCCAATACGACCATGTGGCTAAATGCCCCATGATGCACGATCTTGGCTCGTGATAGCCAATTGCGACATCTACACCATGCAACATGTACTGTAACGGATGCAACTTGGAAAAAGCCCGCAAGAGAGATAGAACATGCTAGCGAAACTCATTCCCGATAGAGCTCCAGATATTATCTACACATGTCGTATACGCCTATCTAAGATCACACTTCACACCAGCATGCTTCCTATGGCGATGAAGGATTAAGGGGCAGGGTCCTCCGGGGAGAACCTGGCCTGTTGCAAAACACTGTGGACCGCCAGATGTTGTCGAGGTCGCGCGGCAGATAAAATCCGGGTATCGGACTGCCGGCCATGGTTGACTTGATGAAATACAGAAAGACTCTCAGTGGCAGAACCGCCCGAGGAGAAGGCTTGGATCAGTCGCGCAATATCATCGAGGATAGGTTGTGCCAAAGCTAGCCCGTGGAAAAACCGCTTGATGCCGGCCAGACATAGCTCCGCGCGACTCACAGCAAACTCAAGGCTCAGGAGATCCGGCTCAGTCGATGAGTGCGCGATAAACAAGATCAACCGCACAGCGTGGTAAACGCACACACCGGTCGCAAACTCAAGCAGCCTTGGCTTGGTACAACCCTGGTTGAGGTCGCAAAAGAGATTCACGACCGCCAAGGCATGCTCAATGCAGGCAGTTTTCGCCATTTGAACAAATTCTGCGTCAATGGCGCTCAGAACTACCCGGGGGGAGCTTCCGGGTATCCGGGGAGGAAGATGCGATAGAGATCAAAGTAACATCCATGCCATAAGGTGACCATCATAATATGCCGCGGCAGCCAAGGACTTGCAATTAATTTCTTCAATCCTGCGGGTGAAATTTCTGCTTGATTCGGCATCGCTGTTTTGACTTCGAAAAGAATCTCGTCGAGACCCCCAGTCACGTCTTTGAGATGCAAGTATGGCTCACTGCAGACAGCGAGCTCTCGAGTTAGCTTCATAATGTCCCTTCGAACCGAGGCCAAACGGATACACATAGTCAGCGATCCCGACTCGTTTCGATCCCTCAACGCCTCAATGACAAGATGTTGAGAGCCCGGAGGGCTTAGCAAACCGAAGGAGTCTTCACATGACGGGAGGTGCAAGTAAATGCACTCAAATGGGCATACTTCAAATTCTGTCAGTCCGATAGAGAAATAAGACTCCAGCAACTTGAAACACCATACTGTGCGACGCCGTGTCTCCTCCGATATCGGGTCCAAATATGTGTGCTCATGATTCAAACCCATGGCAGATGCAGCGCGGGCGGCTATCGCAGTTAGCATGAATGCTTTCTCGTACCTCCCGGTTGCCATTCGGTAGCTGATAGTCAACAGCAGAGCTTGCAACTGAGGCATTGATGGATGCTCCAGGCGCCTCCAGATGATTTCTTCCGCATCTGAGACCCATTCCGTACTTTTCTCCCGGCTGACAGCTAAACCATTAACATTCACGTGAAAGGAAGTCAAAGCACAAATTGCAAGAACCAGCGGTCGCTCCAGGGTGGCTTCCTTACACTGAGCCAAGGTGGAGGCGGGATGTAAGAAGGCAAAGGAAGGAACGGGATAGAGATGTTCAAAAAAGCTATAGACCAGTTCTGTCGTCTTTGCAGGAGAAGGGTCTCCCGGGACGGTTTCTTCGCTGGGATCGGATATTGAGGCACTGTTCTGAACCGATACCGATTCATGCGCTAGAATAACAGGGTTTGTGGCGCGAGCTTCTGGAGAGCAGGAAAGAGGTATGTGATGCTCCTGATCTCCCGTAGGATTACTGTCAGGCTGCTGGTCCACCTTCGATGGAGGGTATGAACAAGGTCTATCGTGTTTGACACAGTTGGCACATTGCGGGTGCGTATTAGAACAGCGGACCTTGCGCACCCGGCATTGTGAACAGGAGTTTGGCCCTCGTAGCCGTCTAGGTCGGTTCACGTTCTTTGTCACGAATCGCGTATTAGCCATCACAGACGGCTCGCCACGCCGGGTAAAGGAACATTGGAAGCCCAGGCGCTCGCAGTTGCTGCAGGTAGAAAGCCTACCATCGCAGCCAACCTGGCCCACCATTAGCGATAAAATCCTTTTCTTCTAGCTAGTTGAAATCGCAGCGGGGCATACTTTGCGAGCTCGGCACTCCTGGCAGACCTGTTTCGCTCGCGGATTTGCCGATCTGAAAACAGACAAAAAGGGTGAGATTGTTAGATCGGCAGTCGGCATCATGTCACAGTCGGATAGTTAAGGTGCATTGACCAGATTCCCCATATTCCGCCATGTAAAGTGAGATGCAGAGAATGGAGTAACATTTTGATAATGCGGGGATCGGGGGAAAGACTCCAGTTGTCGAGGGCACCTGCAGGGCCATTGGGTGACTCATCCGGAAGGAGGCTCCGACATCCGAAGCTATCCTAATGGGGAAGGTCGGTCCGATCGCCGTGGTCTCTCCTGGAGATCGTTCGCCTGGCGCAGGTGAGAAGCTCAAGCGATTGGAAACCTCGTGCTCCATGGGCCCCCATGTTGCATCCAGGCTAGAACATACCAGGAGTACAAACAAACGTGCATAAGGCGTGATTGATCCGCACCATGTCCGTTTCAAAGATTGCGATCATATCGTGACAGCTTCGCCATCCAAGGCAAGCTCCCTGTTCTAACTCCAGCTACCGTTGTTTACACCTGCAGACGCCACCTTCAAATATGGTCGCTCCTCTAGGGTCTTCGCGGCCCAACATCATCTTCATCATGGCCGATGATCACGCCTCGAAAGCCATCTCTTGCTACGGCGCGGGGATCAACCAAACACCGAACCTCGACCGGATCGCCAACGAGGGTATGCGCTTCGACCATTGTTATGTCACCAACAGTATCTGCACACCCTCGCGCGCTGCTATCTTGACTGGAACACATAACCATGTGAATGGCGTGGTGTCTCTCGATTCGAAAATCCAACGTCATACTCCGAACGTCGCAAAACAGCTCCGAGCTGGTGGATATCAGACCGCTATGATTGGCAAGTGGCATCTTGGAGAGGGCGAACTACACGAGCCCACCGGATTTGATTTCTGGTCTGTCCTCCCAGGCCAAGGTGACTACCATGATCCCGAATTTATCACCCCCACCGGTATACACACTCAGGAGGGATACGCTACGGACATAATAACCGACATGACTCTGGATTTTATTCAGCGTCGAGACCAGTCGAAGCCGTTCTTTGTCATGTGCCACCACAAGGCGCCGCATCGGAGTTGGGAATGCGATGAGAAGCATAAGGATCTGTACCAAGACCCCATCAAGCTACCCGATACCTTTTCGGACGACTATAAAAATCGAGCGAAGGCTGCGGCGGTTGCTAAAATGCGAGTATCGGAGGACCTGTCATACAAGGATCTGGGCCTCGCCCAACCGGATGGTGGTCGAAGAAAAGTCGGGGAAAAGATGAGTGGTGGATCGCGGAAGATACCCTCGCCTCCCACGGATGACGAGGTCCGACTGATGAAGCTCATTGACAATGAAGATGGCACTGTTTTCCGCTTCCAGTCGAGAAACGAACTGGCTGAGTTCAAGTTCCAACGTTACATGCAACGGTATCTCCGGACCGTTCAGAGCATTGATGACAATGTCGGCCGTATCTTCGATCTCCTCGACTCGGATCCTCAGTTGGGAGAGAACACCATTGTCATCTATACGTCCGACCAGGGTTTCTTCCTTGGTGAACATGGATGGTTTGACAAACGGTTCATTTACGAAGAGAGTTTCCAGATGCCGTTCATGATTCGGTATCCGAAGGAAATTAAGCCCGGCAGTGTTTGTACTGACATTGTCTGCAATGTCGATTTCGCACCCACCTTTTTGGACTTCGCCGGCATCACGACGCCAACGTACATGCAAGGCCGGTCATTCCGCTCAATTTTAGCCGGCGATTGCCCCGCTGATTGGGATCAGCTGGCCTATCACCGGTATTGGATGCATAACGATGCCGAGCATGAAGCGTATGCGCACTATGGAGTGCGTAATCACCGATACAAGTTGATTTACTGGTACAATGATGATTTGCTCGTCGATGGGGCGCGGCCAGGAGGCGAGGATTGTCGGGAATGGGAGTTGTTTGACTGTCAGGAGGATCCGCTCGAGTTGTTCAACTGTTATTCCAATCCCCAGTATGCGGATGTGGTGATCGAAATGACGGGCTTATTGGAGAGAAAGATGGCGGAGATCGGAGACGAGCCAGCTCATTAGAACAAAAAAGTGAAGAACAAAGAAGAACAAAAGTTACAGTTCAATAGACTATAGACATACAGAGGCTGCCTCAAAGCATTGTGGGCTGGGATTCCCACCTCATCTCCAGCCCTCCCTCGTAAATCTCTATACTCAGTACCGTCCACTCCAGTGCTATTGCCTCGTATGATATACCTAATCGAGACCTGGTTCTCTCGCAGGACAGATCAGTGGATGGGGTCTCGCTTTCCACTTATCTCACATTACCACGCATATCGAAAAGAAATATAACCTCCATGAGTACACTCCGTGCACTCCCTACGAAGTATGGAGTATATATAACATTCGTGCTTACCAGAAGATCCAGTATCAATGACTGTCAGGTTGGAATCACTCGACATAACTCACAGATCGCCCCGGTTCCCGGTGATCCCACTTATACACAACCCCCCATTCCAGCGATTGCATAGCAGGCAATGCTCCTATGTGCTTCCTTCCTGCCATTCTTGAGAGACATCTTCGGATTCTATGCTTCCCAACTTGCAATAGCGCATCAAATTGTCAATCTTGTGTTACACGGTGGGCGAAGATGCTCCAACAGAAGTCGAAGTGACTAGGATACCGACGATCTCTGGCCAGCCATTGATGGTCCAGATTTGCACATTCACCAGCCTCGGAGCGGTGTATGCCCGGTACAATACAATGTGATCGATCCAGGTATTGGACTATCTCTATCTGTACGGAGTCCTACCGGGGTGGTTACATTCCTCCGTTACGTACTCCGTACATAGAGCTAGCAACCAAGGGCCGCATACCGTGTAGTGCGAAGATCATTGCCGCATATCAAGATGAACCGGAGCCGTCGAGTCTCTCCCGTCTCCCTCGTCTTCATGATACAGACCTAGACACAGGATACATGTACATATCAGGGGGAAGACACCCCTGGCTTAGCGGCGGGAGACGGTTGCTATCCGTCCGACGCCCCGTGCAGCTTTCGATGCCGATCCCATGCAGAGAGCCCAAGCCTCACTGGAGCATTCTGCAGACTGACATCACATCAACACTCAGGAGTCAGAGGACTCCCTTACCTGCGATAATGATCAGTTTTGTGCTTCATGTTACATGGACCGACGTGTTATTCCGTCCTGGAACCAAGCGTCCCCCCTCTATAGTCCTTGCGTCGTCTCTTTCCTTTTGGGGGAACAATGTTGTATATCGTGCTGAAGGCCTCGTGCAAAATGCGTTCTTTTATTTCACGGTTGCCCGGATTTCTGCAGGGCCACAGGGACAAGTCTCGTCAAAATACCCTATTTCCACCTTTGGATCGTCTGGTCATCAGCACTTCCATAGTGACGGCTTCTAGGACCCATCATGATTGGGTATCCCACCAATGCTCCGCCTCTGACAGATGTGGTGATTGCGATTGGCGTTGTTCTCCTCGCTGGTTCTGTTCTTCGATTCACGTTTGCAGTGGGATCTAAGCTGCCACTGATCAATCAGAGATCCGTCTTTGATTTTGGGGTCAAATCTCGTCGCAGCTATGTTGCTGGTGCTGCGGACCTTATCAAGGCCGGATTTGCTCAAGTAAGTATCGTCATCATAGTTCGTTCGTAGATAGAGCTGATGAATCGTTCTAGTCTGCCAAGGGATTTCGACTGATCACAGACAATGGATGTCAAGTCGTGCTGCCGCCGAAGTATCTCAACGAGATTCGAAACCATCCCGAGATGAGCCGGGACAAAGCATCGGCCAAGGAGTTGCATTCTCATCTTCCGGGATTCGAACCATTTCGTGAAGGATCGAAGGATGAGCGAATCATGCACGACGTGGTCCTCACAAAGTTGACACGCACCTTGGGTAAATCCCCTCAGGAGTGGAAATTAAATGCAGAAGATCCAGCATGTTGACCCCAATCATCCAGGGCGCGTCACAGAGCATCTCTCGAAGGAAACAGCTATGGCTGTGCAGAAGCACTGGACCGATGAGAAGGGTAAGTCGTGGAGGGCAGGACAGGCAAAGAACCATGTCAAGGCTAATGGGAAGATAGAATGGCACGCCATACCTCTCCGAACCACAATCACTCCCATGCTGGCACAGATGTCCTCCCGGGTGTTCTTAGGCGAGCTGCTGTGCCGAGACCCTAACTGGCTTCATATCACGATCAACTACGCCGTCCATGTCATCCGCGCGACCGAACAGCTACGGCAATGGCCCAAGCCGCTCCGACCTTTGGTCAATTGGGTGCTCCCTTCATGCCGTATGATTCGGTCGGACATGAAGCAAGCGCTAGCTCTAATCACACCCATCCTGAACGAACGAAGGGCAAACAGAGCTGCTGCTCTTGCGGCTGACGAAGCCCCAACTCAATACAATGATGCTATTGATTGGATGGAAGATGTTGCCAAAGGTCGCCCATACAACCCAGCCATCTCACAGCTCCTACTTTCCATGGCTGCTATTCATACCTCGGCAGACATGTTGACACAAATTCTATTTGATCTCGCTTCCCAACCGGATATCATCAAAGCTCTGCGAGAAGAGATCATTACCGTCACTCGCGAGAATGGTTGGAGCAAGATTTCCCTTTATAAGTTGGTCCTCATGGACAGCACCATCAAGGAGAGTCAAAGGTTGAAGCCTGTCGCTATCAGTAAGCTATCTTTTACTTCGAACCTTCTCCTCTGCTACGCTAATTCGTCACAGCTCCAATGCGTCGTCTTACTACCGCCGACGTTGAGTTATCCGACGGGGTCTTCGTCCCCAAAGATACCACCATTTTGATCTCCGCGGATAGTATGTGGGACGAGAAAAATTATGAAAACCCGCAGGAATTTGATGCTTATCGCTTTCTGAAAATGCGTGATGTCCCCGGCCAACAGACAGCCGCTCAGTTGGTGGCGCCCTCTCCGATCCACTTGGGCTGGGGCTTCGGGCAGCATGCCTGTCCCGGAAGGTTCTTTGCCGCGAACGAAATGAAGATCGCTCTCTGTCAGATCCTCATGAAGTACGATATCAAGCTCGATGAAGCATGTCCTCCACAAGTCAGGCGATTTGGCGTATCCATGACTGCTGACTCGGGCGCGAATCTGGTGATTCGGAGACGGCAGGAGGAGTTGTCCCCGGAAGACTTGGGTTGTCAAGCATGAGGACCGTATATCTCACCTTGGAGAACTGCTATGTCTTGCAATGCCCGGAATAGGATTAAAACACAAAATCAGTAACTGATGGGGCCAATCAGGCTTAGCACTACCTTTTGTAGCATGAAAAATGAGAACACATCCGATGTACTCAGAGAATATCTTGATCAGACGCTAGCAATACTTAAGACAATAGGAGGATATCTTTTTAAGACATGCTTCATACTAGGATTGCCCGTATTGATCCCGTGCTACTGGCCCAATTTTAGCCATCGGAAGACGTCAATATAGGTAACCTAAGTTGGCTATGTCAATGTATCCAAACATGATACAAACGTTGCATTAATCAATCTAAAATGAGGATTCGAGATGGCAACAGAAGATTTCACACTGGCACCATCATTTCTACTTGAGTCTCTGTAGATCACAAGTTTCTATAAATGATACTGACGGGCATTCTCAACCGAGATGCCGAGCCGTTCCCACATCGCTTCCACATTCATATCCTCTTGACCGCTGGTGATGGTGTTAGCTTCCGCTGGGCTGCATGTTGTGAGAGAACAAGAGCTCACTCGTCTTTTGGATTGATCCATGGCTCTGTCTGGCCTTCCGCGGTATTGGGATTGCGGAACACCACATTGTGTGTCTAAAGCCACATTTAGCATGTCATGGATATTGAAGCGACCCCCACAAAGGTTCCATTGACCTACCACTCCGAGTGTTAGATGAATAGCACCAGGTCCCTTCACGAATTTATCCTCGGCAGCGCGGCCCTCAATTAAGGCCTGGATATTTTTCGCAACAACTGCTGCTTGGGCTGCACCTGGCCGAGCAGCCTTTTGAGCACCGGTATCCGCGATGTCTCCAACTGCAAACATGTTCGAATACTTCTCATCCAAGAATTGCATTGTAGGTTTAACACGAATGAACCCATTATCAGGGTTGATGATTGACTCGCCATCTGGACTGGAAGGTTTCAAATCGGCCACCGGTTGGTTATTTGGTGTTTGCCCGGTGGCCAGTATAACGAATTGCGTGGACTCGGCGGTGCCGTTCGTGAGCTGAACTTGAAAGGTGCTGCCATCATTAGGAAATCCATTTGCTGGAATAGCTACGCGAGAGCCAGTGATCAGTCGGATGCCCAGCGCATCAAACCGCCGCTTGATCAGATCATGGAGTTGAGAGTGGAAGTTCGGCATCACCCGCGGCCTCGACTGTACCATTGTGACCTCTTTGTCGGGGTAATACTCTTTGAGGTCGGTTGCCATCTGAACACCGACAGCACCCCCGCCCACAACCAAGATAGACTGGGATGCCTTGACACTGGCCTGGTGCCTCTGGAGATATTCGACGGACGATGGCTTATCATCATCATCCATAGCTGCAGGCTTGGAGAGACGTGTTCCTGTAGCAAGAACAACATAGTCGAAGGATATCTGTTTCGATCCTTGCCATTCACGGTCAAGCTCTATATGGGTGGGCCTAACGGACAACACCCGAGCCTGTACCACGCTATGGGAGGCAGGGTTGGGCGATGTATTGAAGATACCACTGTAGGGGATGAATGCTTTATGTTCCTGTCCTGGAACAATGGCAAATCGAGGCTATAGTACTGCGTTAGCTTTGCCAGGATGCTGCCAGTACTCCCTGTGTCAACGGACAACCTACAAATGTGAAGAGGTGGTGGAAATGACTATGAGGCTCAGTAAGGAGAACCTGTGCCAGATATTAGCTTGCTTTGCTTTTCTTTTTCCCTCTGACACAAAAAATCATGGCAACCTACTCGGTGCGTTGAGGGCACGATGCGTGCGAGCTCCTGGGCTGTGGTCTATATCGGTGACACGAGTTAGTGGTGACTTTTAGGCACCAGAATATGAACCTACCCGTCCGACGAAGGAGCCGCCGACGACAATGATATTCCGTAGCGAGTTGGCCATTTTAGACATGAGAAGAAGAAGTGAGAGACAGGCGAATAGAGGCCCTTTATAACCCTCGAGTAGAATCCGCTTATCAGATTAACTCCGAGATGCAGTTTCCTTTTTGGGCCAAACTCCGAGCGCCCCCGGAGTAGTGTACATCCGCCGTGTCGAGTCCATCCGATCTTCTTTGCCGCGAATGAGCTGGTGGCCGGTCTATGTATATATATATATATATATATATGTACGCATTTGTGAAACTATATTGCTCATGCTATCCATGTATAGCCACTGTATGGCGAGCTCCAAAAATAATCGCACCGCAGCTTTGCAGATTCGCAATGAGATCACATACAGTGCATATCCGTATATCCGTATATCCCAGGCTCCTCCAACTGGTCACTCACTTTCAATCCTACCGAGGTGATGCCCAGTGTAAAGTGCAAGTTATGTCTTTTCCTGGCTAAAAAAAGTACCAATATTGAAAGCAAACCTAGGCCATCTATGTACGCACCGTCAAAGAGGAATAGCGCATACGGAATAGCTTTTGAAGGCATAATTGGTACAGTATGTATGTACGTTGTGTATGGAGTGAACTGCCCTTGTCCCAGGCCTCTGTGTCGAAAGCTTAACTCTGGTCCAGCGAACATCATGCGGACACAGTCCATCCACTTCCGCGCGACAAACTATGATTGCTAATCTTGGAACCGACGTCCCAAACTCTAGAAAAAGAAAGGATAACCACTTCGCGATTGAATGTTTAAGAAGGATGCCAAGTGATAGTCTTAGCGAGTGGACCGCCTCGGTCATACGTGACGAGTACAGTGTGATGATCCAATGCCATGATTCCAGGCCAGAAACTGGAGGCCGGGGAGACAACCGTTGCCGGGCTCCATTGAATACGCCCTTTAACTGGCGGGCCAGCAAACACGACCTTGATAGAGGCATTCTTAACCCAGTTCACGTGTTCGGAGTCTTCGTCGGTCATGAATATCGCAGCCAGTGATCCATCCGCAAAAGAGGCAATCTGGGGGGATCCGGCGTTATGACCTTGCCGAGGGCGGAAAACTTCGTGCCGCCAACCCCAGGTAGCACCGTCATCATAGGAGAGAAGCGCTTCAACGCTGAATGGACCGTACCGAGTTGTCTCGAAGACCATGACAAGGGCCTCGCGGCCGTTATCAAAAGTTCGCGCAATGCCGCTCATTCCATCACGAAGCGGGTCTTCGACACCATGTAGACAGATCGGTTGAGTCCAGGTACTTCCTTGATCTCGTGAGACAACCAGCATGGTACATTGGTTGTTGTGGGCAAACTCCTGCGAGAAATAGAGCTGCACCTCACCCTGGCGCCCCACGCGCATGAAAGGCTCCCAGATTCCCAAGGGAGGGCGTTTCTCTGCTGCCTGCGAGGCATAGTGCCAGACCCGACCTCCATCCGTAGACCGACAGATAGTGATGCGGAAATGTGTAGGGCCATTTGGACCCTTGTCATGATTGCGGAAAGCAGCCAGTACTGTACCAGGAGCTACTTCACACAAAAACATGTTATCCACGTCGCCAGCAGCGCGAGTCACCTCTGAGAAGTCCACAAAGGTACGGCCGTTATCAGTACTCTTCGCAATGCGGAGTGAGCGTTGTCCATCGGGGAAGCGGGTAAAGGACGAGAGAATGGACCCATCGGAGAGCCGACACAGACGGGGGTATGTGCCTTTGTTGGGAGGTGAAGACAATCCGCGCTCGTCATTGTTGACAGCTGGTCGTCCTGGAAGCCGAACATCCGAGGAATTCTGTTGATGATGCTTCTGGTCATCTAGCCCTAGCGTTTTGAGAACCTTTTGACCCAAATGTCCCGGCATATTTGATGCAGTGCTGAGGATATCACAGAAACTTGACGGGGAGCTGACCGGACCTGAAGATGACGTCAGGCGGGGCATTTGCTTATGTAATGTTTACCCCTTGGTGCCTCAGGTGTCAGTCTGTAATGGAGCATGAGATCGGCATACCGGAAGTTTAGTTTATCCTGTCCACGCAGTATTGTTGATATTAGTCAGAAAGTCATATTTCCTGCTAGAATAGTGGATACAGAAAGACAGAGATTTCAACTCCCTTGATTGGACCCCTACTATACTGAATACACCATCAGTTGACATCTGTAAGTGGTTCGATCATCGATGGAGTACAGAACACCTCTCCGTATCTGGCTCAACATCAAGGGGACCTTTGATACTTCATTCCCTATTCTGGATTCTTCAAGGTCTAATCTTCATCTTTGCAGATTCACACACTGTCTATACGCTCTGCCAGTCATAAATTGAGGTCTTCATACCTCGTGGCTGGAAGCTGAGATATTAAAGAACAGTGACTGATATATCCAGGTGCCTAGTTAGAGCAGCTCCTGCTGGAGTTTTAGGACCAAATCAATATGTGAACAGATTGAATGTCTAATTCTATCGAATCTGCTATGAAAACTTATTTATCCTTCACTGAAACCATCCACCCACGATGACTTGCCTAACATATTACCAAGGGTATCAAGTTACCTAACGGTTCCTTTATCCCGCCAAAGAAATCTTGACGATTTTTCCAGGCTCAATGAAACTGCCAAGCACAGGCGCAATCAGCCCACCATTGGTACCAACATACAGTGTCTGTCGGTCTTTGCTCAAACGGACCGAGCTTGGTCCTGCCAACTGCGTCGAAATTTGGCCGCCAGCAACGAGAGCAATTTGCCCGGATGGACTGATGCGGACAACGGAGTTCTGGGGACCCGTGGGGATATATGCCGTCCCATCTTCAGTCACCTCGACATTATCCGGTAGGAATCCGCTGGCGATGACCTCAAAATCCCCAATTGGGTTGGCTTCCTGGTCCACCTTCACCCGGCAATACTCCATCCGTGTTGTACTGGTGTAGTAGACATATTGACCCAGCACTGTCAAACTATTGACTCCCAAGGGGAGGCCCTGACCTTCAGCTGGAAGCATCGTGGGATCGTCCAGTGCGACACCATAGTCTCCAGTCTTGGTGTTGACCTTCCATATAGCGCCCTTGGGGCTATCGGCAATCAAAACTAGATTGGGATCTCCGGGAAAAGTGGCCATTCCATTCAAGGCCAGAGCTTCGGGAAGTGCGGCAATTTCCGAGACAGATGCTTGGTCCAACGTCCGCTTGTCCTCTCTAGCCCTAGTACTGGCCTTGTTGGTAAAGTCCAATCTCTGGACTGAGAACGAGCGGGGAGTTGGCTCGTAGTTTTTGGTGGAGAAATTTCCCACGACAACTGCGAACACATCATCCTCGATTTCACTGATTCCAAAGCAGCTGGTGACGTTGGGAAACGTGTAGGCAAGGGTCGCATCTCCGCTGGTGGTGTTGACCAGCCAGACCTCGGGCGTGTCTAGGCGTGTCAAAAGGAGATTGCCATCCGATCGGAGGGCTATGTTGTCGACCCATGAGCCATTGTTGGGGAATTGAAAGAGGGTCTCTACTTTGACCTTGGGCTCTTGGTTGGAATCCGGGCTTGCGGTGATCGCTTCGGTGTTGTAAAATAGAGGCCAGGAAGCGAGAGCCGATGGAAGGATGGCTAGGCCACTGAGCCAGGCAGTATGGAGGCGCATTGCATCAACGATAGTGAATTGCGTGGTATGGGGACCCAGGGAGAGGGATGTCCTATGTACTTAGCTATATGCTCCAACAATACCGGCGCCCCTGCGCCAAGGTCTCGCAAATGCTGAGCAAACAAACTGGCCTTATGGTCGCGCCAATTGTCAAGTATCCGTTCCCAAACTCAACATTCCCCGGTATTGCCGGATTGGATTTCGACCTCGCCCCCTGCATTCCCTCCACGCCGGGCATTCCTCCCCTCGAACATTGGTGGGAGAAAGTACCGAAGGTTCTTTCATCTCCTATGATGTATGAGTCGCATTGATATGCAATTGCAATGCCTCGAAGATCAAATAGAGTAGGATTAAATGACTGATCCCTTCAACAACAAACCTGCACATGTAGCTACAGCACCATGGCCTTGGGAACCTGATCAGTACACCTATGTCTGCAAGGCTTGGCATTACTGCATCCTCTTGGCAATGTTTTCACAGCAGAATAGCTCAGTCTTGAAAAGCTATAGCCATGCGCCACCGTCGCCGGTCTTGCCGCATGTGCTGCATCCATTCAGCTTTTCAGCATGACCTTCGTGTAGTTATTATTGTTGGTCGTATCAATCTGTCCTTTGTGATTTGTAATGTGCGACATTTACACAGCAGGGGTAGGTCTTGTCTCCAGAAGGTGGCGGATTGGACCCCTTGGGAAAGCGAGGCTCCTGGGTCACGGAGCGGCCCAGCCAACGACATGGATTATAACCAGAATTTGCACGGATGCACTTGAGAACACGAGCTGTCAGATTGGTAAGTTCCAAGTCTGATCTGCTTTTCTGCGCAGTCTCTCCCTTGTGCTGGAACATACGAGGCTCATGAAACCAATAAAGCGGAGGTTAGTACCTAGATACAGTCGAGCACTCCTTCGACTTTCCGGTAAATCTCTATATCTTCATGGACTTGGAATGCCACTGGGTATCAGTTAATCCTTGGGGCTTTGGCCCCAGCTTACAACCCGCAAAAATGGGTTGGAGGTAAACGTCCACCTGGAGCTTACGTAGATATATATATAGCCGAGCACTTGCAATATACAAAGTCTTGCTTCGACTTCCGATTTCAATTCACAACAGCCCCAATGGAGAAATAGATCGAGTGAAGGGCAATTCATGCGCTCAACAAGGTCTTCAATCAACATGCAAGGCAAGCCAATACAAAAACATCGTGGATCATCGCGATGCTAAGGGGCAAAACGCCGAGGCAGAGACATAACCGAAGAAGCCGAGCCCCACCATGTTCAGTACAAGAATCGCCTTACCCTGTGAGTATTGCCTCGAAACAGCCGATTCCTCTGTTATCTGAGTATGGAGACCGAGAATGCAGATAGGCCACGCACGAGGGCAAAGAAAGCGTGCCTGGCATGTAACTCGCGTCGCGTGCGGTGCAACGTGCTAGAAATGCAGCCTTGCCAAAACTGCGTGGCATGGAATCTCGCATGTGAAGTAGGGATCTCTCGACGCGGAAAGTAAGGATCTATCAAGTAATGATCCGAGTGGATGCTCATTTCAGTTGGCAGATATCCCCGTCGAAAGAAAAAGGGGGCTCGAACATCCACCACGCCAAATGACACGGCAAATGCATCGGAATCCCGAGACCCCGGACAATTTCCTTTGCCTGGACAATGCTCCCAGTATCCACCAGCTCGTCCCACTACAGCGGAGGGCGGGATCCATAAAACGGTGTTCCTCGGCGAGTCCAGTCCTCTGACTTGTGTCGTTGACGAAGGGCGACGATCTCCGGACAAGGGGTATGCATGCAGTCTCCAGAAAGGACGACTGCACTACTCTATTTCGGAGCTTACCGGTGCAACTGAAAATAGCCATGACCCAATAGGACCCCGTCGCAAGCTAGTACATGATCGTCTTACCCGCCAAGGGGCCCTTGAATTCCCGTCGCCAACGATATGTGACACATTACTTCAGGCTTATTTCGACTGGCTTCACCCATGCTTTCCAATTCTAGATCGCGCAGATGTGCAAGCTGGCTACCAAGAGGGCACACTGTCACCTCTGCTTTTACAGTCCATGCTGTTCATTGGCGTGAGCCTGTGCTCGGACACAGCGTTGTTTACCACGGGCCTCGGTAATCGTTATCAGGCCAAAGAAGCGATTTATCATAGAGCAAAGGATATATATGATTCGGGATGGGAAACAGACACGGTCACGAAGTTACAGTCATTGTTTCTACTAAGCTTTTGGCGTGGCAGTCCAACGGAGGAGCGTGACGTTCGCTTTTGGCTCGGAGCTGCGATCGGTCTTGCCCAGACAAAAGGCTTGCATGTCATGTACGTCGCGTGCTTCAATCTGGGGAATATTCGCTCACATGTACAGGTCGAAGTTGTCCTTCTTGAATCCCAAGGACCATAAGATTTGGAAACGAATTTGGTGGGCTCTATATGTACGGTTCTCGTTTCGCAATTATCGACCGTGTGACATGAGTGTTAATCTTCGATCAGGTCAGAGATCAACAAGCATCGGCCGCGTTAGGCCTGCCTCCTCGTATACGCGACGAAGACTGCCAAACTGCCGAGCTGGAAGCCGCGGACTTCGAGGAAAACGAGCCCATGGGACGACCTGAAATATTCCGAGCGCCACCAAGTGTCCATATTTCCTACGTGATTGGAATGGCTCAATTGGCCAGGATATGTAAGACTTTCGAATACAAAGGGCCTATTCCGTCTACTGACAACTTTGCATCCAGTACGGGAAGTGGTTTCCAGCCAATATCTGCCCGGACGATCCAAGTTGGATAACGCAGCTCGGCCGATACTTCATCAACGCTTAGTTGACTGGGAGTCATGCCTACCGGCCGAGCTGCAGTTTCAAATGCCTATGAGTAGGGACGCTATGTTCCTCGTTGGCATGCTTCATATGGCGTATAAGTATGCCATGCCGTGCCGATAGTGATCATTGTGAGCGTTTGCAGCTAACACGCATACAGCAACTTGCACATCCTCTTATATCGGCCGCTTTTCTTACAACCCCCAGGCCAATCAGGCAACTCAGAAGGAAATATCGCTCTGGATGCCGCGACACGAAGCACCCGCATTTTGGAGGATATGCTTTCAGAAAACCTGGTCCAACATGGATCTGTTCATTTGTCGGTTCTTTCAGCGAGTTTAACCGAGTCAACACTAATACTGAAGCAGAATCACCCACACATTCTCGGCTCTTTGCATACACACCATCCACTTTGGGCGGGTGACAGGCACTGCCCGCAAATTAGCAGAACATAGGGCAAAGCTGTGCCTACTGGGCTTGAAGGAATTACAGAGATCATGGGATCTGAAGAATTGGGTCCTGGATCTTTTCTTTCGATGCTTGGATGACCGGACTGCTCGCGATCTCCAACTAGCTGACAGTCATATGCCACCATCGATATCGCAGACAACTGGTGGTCATGAACTTGAAGAGGTCTCACCTGCTACTCCTGCCAGTGGGCCATATCGATCGCTGTCTCCAAATGCAGCGGAAAATCCCATGCCGGATTCCCACCTGGCGCTTTCGCATAACCCCACGGAAGAGACGGCAATCAATATGGACTGGTACGAGTTGTTCAACATGGAGGGCGATGATGTTATGGGCCTCGCCGGGTCATTGTCAAATCCGGAGTATCTGAATCCACAGAACCTGGAGTTTCTATATCGTTTCCTGTAGCTCATGCTAATCCAATACCCAATTAACACAGTTCAATATGGAAATTTATCTGTCTATTGTTGGAATATGATATTCACATACATAGAATCAATCTAATAGATCTAACTCCGCAAGTATGGCCTCATTGTGTTCTCCAACTTGTGGAACTGAGCCCATCTGAGCGCCATATCCACCCTTCTCGACTGATTTGGTGGATCCAGGTGGTAGGAGGGCTGGAACCGCCCCAATGGGAGTTTGTATTTTGGTCCATCGATCCCTCGCTTGAAGTTGGGCATGGTTCCAGACATTTTTCATGTCATTGACACTAGCATTGGCGATAGAAGCTTTGTCCAAGCGAGCGATCGTTTCTTCCGTTGTAAACTTCGAGAAGACATCATGGATGATGGACTTCAGCTCGTCACGATTTTGAGTTCGCAGTGAATTACTGGAGAATCTGGGATCGGCAGCTAGGTCCGACTGGCAAAGGACGTCGTTGCAGAAATTGACCCATTCTCGCTCATTTTGAATACCCAACATAACCGACTGTCCATCGCCAGCTTCGAAAGGCCCATATGGGTAGATAGCCGCATGAGAGGCACCTGCTGGTACTGGACCAGGGGCATCGTCGAATGCATAGTACATGGGAAAGCCCATCCACTCCACCATACTCTCCAGCATGGAGATATCAATCTGACAGCCCTGGCCATCTTTACCCCGCTGCAGTAGTGCGGAGAGAATGTTGCTATAGGCGTACATTCCGGCGGAAATATCGGCGATGGAAATACCGACTTTCGCCGGCTCCTTTCCAGTGCCTGTGACCGACAGCATTCCGGCCTCGCTCTGAATGAGAAGGTCGTAGGCTTTCTTGTCGCGATATGGACCATCTTGTCCATATCCAGAGATATCGCACACAATCAAACTCGGGTGCTTTTCCTTCAACGCTTTGTAGGAAAGCCCCAATCGCGCACTAGCACCAGGGGCCAAATTCTGCACGAGAACATCGGCCTTTGCGAGGAGCTTCATTAGGACGGCGTGATCTTTTTTCTGTTTCAGATCCAGTGCCAAACTCTCCTTGGAGCGATTTGTCCAGATAAAATGCGATGCGAGTCCACGAACTCGGGTGTCATATTGGCGTGCGAAGTCTCCAACAACTGGTCGTTCAACCTTGATGACTCGAGCACCAAGATCGGCAAGTTGTCGGGTGCAAAATGGCGCGGCAATAGCTTGTTCCAGACTGACGACAGTAACTCCAGCGAGAGGTAGCGGCCTGTGTTTATCAGACGGAGCAGTAGAGTAAAAGTGCGACGCAATACGTGACCCTCCTGTGGATCGAACTGCACCCGACGGTGCAAGGGGCCGGGATGTGCTCGAGAGAAACGACCTCATTGCAAGCTCTCGTTTGGTGTCAAGACTGGAATTCCAATTGCAGCGACTGGCACTTATTCTATATATACCAGATCAATAATCTGGAACACCTTGCGAGTCCCCGGATCCCCAAATACCGCAGGATGCAAAACGCCGATCAGCCAGCGCCAAGCCCGCTGAGTCGGCTATATGGTCGTCGATGATGAAGATGGACAGTGGACACCGTGACGTGAAGCACTGCGACTTCCGTTTCAGGTTCTTCAGCCAAGAGATCATGGCATAAGATGAACTGCGATGGTCCCACAAGATTGCCTCGCTTGGGGGCTTGGGGCTGATCATCGGCGTAGGGCCGCGAGGCGTTCGTTCCTATAATAACTAAAGACCAACGTTTGGTCTAGCTGAATGTGAAATCGATCTGGAGCCTGGAAGAAAGATTTTCTCCATTTCACCTTTGGATCGAGCTGATTCCTTCTATCAAGTGGTCCACTTCGGATATCCTCCGCCAATTCCAATTCCTTGCTTGATACTCCGTCCACCCACGAGCAAAGCAAAAGTGGATCCCGAATAGAAGCGCAGAAAGGCTGGAAAGATAGAAAGGCTGCATCTGGGGCCCCCGAAAGTCACTGAAGAGCGATTTCAGCGAAGACGAAGCAATCCTATTGCCCTCTTCGGGATGCTTTGGGTGCTCTGGATGACTCCAACCCACAAATATCCCCATCGCCTAGCTCCAATCTGTCGATGCCAAGAAATGGGGAAACCAGGCGAGGCGCCCAATGCGCGATGGGCAAATTCGGCTCTCCGTTGGGGAGAATGGGGCGGCGGGGGACCCCTGAAAGACCTCGTATTCTCGCCATGTGTCCCATTTTGTGCTTTACATCTATGCAGCACACACCAGAACTCCTCACGATCGAGCATAACCAATACTGATGGTTGGCGTACCTCGCAGCAAGGGTTGCTTGGCGTGTCTCCAGCGGCGGGTCAAGGTAAGGGGGCCCAAGTGTTGCGCTTTCTGAGATAGTGCACTAACCCACTGTATAGTGCGATGAAGCTCAACCAGGATGCCAGTCATGCCAGAGAAGAGGGCATGCGTGTCCTGGCTACACGAGAGACCGAAAGTTTTACCACCGATTCGCTTCATCAAACCAGCGCCAGTCGAAAAATAACATCTCATCAAGAGAATCATCAGAGTCAAAAATGGCATTGGTTTCTGCAAACGAAATACGGAGACGCACTTCAGCCCCTTATGCCCCAATGGATGAGGCGCTAGTGCCAGGGCTCGTCGGTAAAGCCCTGGACCAACAATGCCGCCGGAGCTTTCGCGATTTCGTGGATGTTGTGTTCCCAAACATATATTACAGCTACAACACTCGCGTGGAAACCCCCTGGTTTAAAATCTTACATGATGAGAAAGGCACAGCAAAGGCAATGGACTCTGGGTTTCGTAGCCTTGGATGCTTGCAGTTGGGCAGAGCAAATGGCGATCAACGACTGATTCTTGCTAGTCAGGAGATTTATGGTCGTGGGCTTCGCGATCTTGCTCAAGCCCTCAAAAGTCCTACTACAGCCGGCACGGATGTGACCCTTGCAGGGGCAATACTGCTAGGGATTTATGAATTGATGAATGCGACGGCGGAGACATCCTGGCTACTTCACTCGCGAGGGATCTCTCATCTACTTCGTCTTCGAGGACCAGAAGGTCATTGCCGTGGGTTTGGCCGTACCTTACTACTGTCCTTTCGAGGAATCCTAGTTTTTGAGGCGTTCACGCGGGGCGAGGCATGTTTTCTAGAGAGCGAGAAATGGAGATCAATTCTTCCACAGATCCTAGAGGACGAAGAGCGCCGCGGCACAAGCTGTCGTCTGGGCCAGTTGATGGACTATGCATTCAACGAGATAGCTCAATGCCCCGGGTTTCTTGTCAGAACCAAAGCTCTAGTCGCCTCTTCACAGACTACCAATGCGGAGAGAGAACGCCTGTTATGTGCCATCAACAGGAGTCGCGAGAATCTGAGGGATTTGGAAACCCAAATGTTGGCTGGTATCAAGGCCAACCATGACGGGAACAAGAAAGAATGTCAGGCGTTCTTTGGCTTGATTTCCGGTCCTATAAAGGATACCTCGGTAGCATTTTCGGTTGAGGGCGTGCAATCAGGCATCGCGCTTCTCCAACAATTGTCGGTTGTGCTGATGTCCGACCAGGCACGACAAAACAAAGTAACACCGTGGTTAACACTGGGCTCAGGTCACAATGAAGGACAGATTGTCATCAACCATGATGAACTTGCTCAGATTGCCCAAGAAAAACTTAAAATGCACCCGATCGGTCCTCACCAACAGAGCAGCCCGAAGCTTTGGCATGATCGGATTGCCTTAGCAATGGGAATGCCGGGAAAAGGCTGACCAATTCCCCATTTAAAGGGGTCTTTTCATCTGATTCCGAGTGGGAATTAATTTTGGCAGCTATAAGGCAAGATGTAAATGTGTTCCGCGTATGGCACGGATTTCGTCTGGGAGGCCTCATGATTACACCCTAGGCCCCAGTGGCGCCTAAATTCTGCATATGCTCAGTTTTCGTGGGATTCAATTGCAAGTGGTCAAACATCTCCCAAATGGTGGCCAAGGACTGAAAGCGATCGTGCTATCCTCAGACTGAGCAATGATGGGAATAGGGTCATGTGCCATCATGAACCCTATGCAGCGTTGCAGCGTTTACAACGACTGCGCAGATTGCAAGGACAGGCAATGCCATTATCCTAAACCACATGGGGGGGGGGGGGGGGGGGCTGGGGTCCACCTCTCTAAAAGACTGATATGGACTGCATTCGGAAGGTCGACGTCTGGAATGCTGGGCGATGTTTCAAATCCGGCGACAACCTATTTCGGTAACGTGTCTCGCTATATAATGTACGGAGTACGACATAGGTACTCTGAATTAGGTATCACCGGAATAAGAGGCTTTAATAATGCAGTGAAGGTACCGCATTACACGCCCATATGAAATCTTGATTTCATCCACCTATCCCAGTAGATTGCTCGGGGTTCATCTCCAATAAAAAGAACGGTGTTGCTTGTATGTCCATTTTTTTTTCTTTTTATCAAGTTGCACTCTCAATCACCGCCTGAGCGCAATAGTCCGACCGGATAGCACGGAGTACCTGTAGACGAAAGAGGAACTCAATATCCTAATCTCTCAATCTTCGAACCTTGCAAGGTTGGCCATATGACTGTAAACGGTACGGAGTACGGAGTACGCCTTACGGAGTCTACGGTCCTGAAACATACCTTTCAATCAAAAGAATTTCGCCCTATGGGACCATGTGAAAACACTATCAACCCCTTTCGTAGGGTGTGATGTGATCGATTGTTCCTGGAGGAAGAATGCTGGGGCGTGTCACATTTTCAAAACCGGCGATTATCTCCACGAGCAAGTAGTCACACAATGGTGCGTACCTGCATGTGACGGTCCTTTCTTCGCTGGAAGTGATTCCACTTCTGCAACTCACGTCCTGGTCGGCATGGTTCCTTAATAACACAATACAATGGCTGGGAATGCTTCCGGGTGCTTGGAGCGGCCCAAAAGGCCAGCCACCGGTGCTTGCGTGGCCCCGGAAACGCCTATGTAGCCGGATTGGCTATGATGCATGCTAAGCATTCTGGACGGGACGTCTGAGTGGCCATTAAGAATGTCCTGATGGAGCTTTAACGTCATACCAAATTAGATTTGTACCTGCCAATCAGCTACGGTGGCCGATCAGGATCAGCCCAATCACCATCCTAACCTGTCCGCCAATGTCGCCACAGCTTGCGTGATGTTAATTTGAGAGCTATTCTTAGTGGAAGTTGAGCGGAGGTGGCAGGTGCAAGGAGGATATATATAGGACCAAATTGTCTCCCGAATTGCCTTACTAGGAATATCATCGAGCACGATCACAACAAGTGATCTAAACACATTCCAATCGAGTCCTACGATTGCCAAGATCGTTTTGTTATCCATTCCCCACAATGCCATCCTCAACGGCTTCTACCGAGCGTTCTGGTTCGGTCAAGTCGCAACATAGCCCCAAAATCTCTCTTCAGAGCAAAGCCGACCCCAACATGGCTCTCTATGAGCAAGAACCCAGTGTGTATTCCATTGCCCTGATGAAACGGTTAAATCTGCGGCACTAACGACTAGCAGCCGCTGTGAACCTCCAACCTGGATCCCGGGATACATTATCCCTCCGCAACATGCAGCACAGGGACAGGGAAGGAAATCTCATCAGTAAGCCATCACCCATCATGGTTAGGAACAGCACGGTTCTAACTGCGCCCATAGCCGATCCCGATCTCTCCAACCCCACACGCAGTCGGTTTGAGCGCCCGCTCGACACTATCCGATCGTTCGATGCGGCCATCGAGACACATCGGAAACAACAACGGATGTGAAGGTCGGAATCTGGACCGGATCGTACTCCAGAATGAAACGAAGGAACGCTTTCTGATGCCATTTTTCAAGCCCGAGGTTGATGTATAATTTATGTTTGCTTAGAACGGAGTCGCCATGGAGATATCAAGGTCGGATAATACGTCGTTTGGACGATTTGGTCTCTTATCAAAACCATGTAGCTTTGAACCCTTGCCCTGGCTGAATGGCTGCCTCTGGGATACGTGAGCATTCCCAGTCCACCACTCTAGTATCGAGATTGAAGGTACTCGAAGTGCCATAGACCATGTAGTTGTCATTCTAGTTCTTGTTCCATTGCGCCGGGTCAGCCGAGAGACTCTTGAGAGACCACAGAATTGAAAACCAACTTGATTTACAGGTCGATCGCGTCCGAGGACAGCGTAGATCGAAGTGGTCTGAACTATAGGAGGCTTCCACGTTTCTCCGTTCATACCTACCTCTATGTAGGTAGAACGTGGATGTATAACATACCAGGCCGGCAGAGACGGATCTCTTGATGGTCCACTTGAGAAAAGCAAAAGAGAATAACTATGCATAATATTTATAGATACAACATAAATATTATACATAACATCCCACATAATAACCAAGACTCGGACATGAGTTGGAGAGGATCGGGACAGTGCCACTGGCTTCCCCTACTATAGAATACAGCCTCGCGCTGTCTAGCAAGAAGCTTAGTCTCTGATTATGTTTCACTTCTTCAGAGAAAGGAGCCAAGAGAAAAGAAATCACAGGAAAAACAGAAAAAAACAGAAAAAAACAAAAGAAAAGAGAAAAAAAAAAGCAAAAAGGCACGGCCCCACAACACACCACGGCGAGTTCGCGTCTGGGCTTCGTGTCTTGACTTCTCTCTTGACTCCTGTCTGGTCGCTCCTCGGACTCAAATATCAGTTCATGCCGAACACCTTCAGATCGAGATCGTCATGTACAAGATGATCTTTGGCAGCTCTCATCCCGGCAAAGACCGAGGCCCGAACAAATCACATCCTCAAGACCAAAGCCAAGACACGTTAACTGCGTGGGGCGTGTCGCTCTCGCGTTATAATTCGCTCGCACGAAACCGATTCGCTTTCATTCGCAAGCCCTAAGGTCGGTTCGGGACCATTATCTCCGAACGAAATTGACATGGCGCTAGTCTGCCAGTAGCCCCCCTTCAGACCTATTATTGAAATGGGCTTCGAGACACTTAGCCACATTTGGGGCCTCGGCTGTGTCCCCGTTTGGTTTCAGGGGAGCAAATCGGATCCAGTCGCTGTCGGAGACCTCCAGGGGGGCCTATTAATGGATTCGAAGCCACCAGACGCTTTTCCCCTCTCACATTTCAGCGACGTACGTCGTTATTCATTCCTTGCAAGCGTCTCTTGATTCTCAGTCTTTCGTTTGTATATCCAACTTTATTCACTCGCTAGATTTGATTGCGGGCAGTGAGCTTCGCGACCTTCACCATGAAGTTTTCCCTGGTGGCACTAGCTACCCTGGTTGGGGCTGCTGTCGCCGATCTTGACCCCATTGTTATCAAGGTACGGTGGTGCAGTCTCTAGAGCACATGTATGAGAGAGAATGGTGTATTAAAGAAACAACAGGGAACCAAGTTCTTCTACTCCAGCAACAACACTCAGTTGTAAGTCGCGCCCCGGACTCCCGGACTCCTGAATTTGACGTGTTACTGACAAGCACAGCTATATGCGTGGTCTTGCCTATCAGCGTAGGTGATCGGGGATCCATCACCGTCTCCATCTCCACTAACCTTCTCCCAGAGGAAACTACTGATAGCAATAGCTACAAGGACCCTCTGGCTGATCCCGAGGCTTGTGCCCGTGATGTTCCCATCATGCAGGAGTTGCGCACCAACGTGATCCGTACCTACGCCATCAACGCTTCCGCTGATCACTCTGCCTGTATGAAGCTCTTGTCCGATGCCGGTATCTACGTGATTTCCGATCTATCCGAGCCCTCGCTCTCAATCGACCGCAGCGAACCTGCGTGGAACACCGATCTCTACGAACGATACACTTCCGTGATTGATGAACTGGCCCAATACACAAACACAATCGGCTTCTTCGCTGGTAATGAGGTTTCCAACACTGTCTCGACTTCCGATGCCAGCGCCTTCGTCAAGGCTGCTGTCCGCGACATCAAGAAATACATCAAGAAGAAGAACTATCGCCCCATGGGTGTCGGTTATGCTACCGCGGATGTGTCCAACATCCGTGCGAACATGGCCGACTACTTCAACTGCCAGGACTCCGACGAGACCATTGACTTCTGGGGATATAACATCTACTCGTGGTGTGGTGAATCGACCTACTCCAAATCCGGATACAAAGACCGCACTGAAGAGTTCGCCGATTATACTGTCCCTGTTTTCTTCGCCGAGTACGGTTGCAATGAGGTGCAGCCTCGCAAGTTCACTGAGGTCAAGGCTCTGTACGGCGAGACCATGTCCGAGGTCTGGTCTGGTGGTATCGTGTACATGTACTTCCAAGAGGCCAACAACTACGGTAAGAAGCGGCCTTTCAACTCCCGTGAAAGCATGAACTTATCAGAAAGCAGGTCTTGTTTCCATTGTCGACAGCACCAGTGTTAAGACCATGTCCGACTTCAAATATTATTCCAGCCAGATCGCCAATGTGGACCCCACGGGTACGAACAAGGCCTCCTACACACCCACCAATACCGCTCTGCGCAGCTGTCCCACCGTTGGATCCAAGTGGGGTGCTGAGGCCGAGCCTCTCCCACCCGCCGCTGATAGCAATCTGTGTGACTGCATGTACGATGCCTCTGCCTGCGTTGTGACTGAGTCACTCTCCGAGAAGAGATACTCCAAGCTGTTCAGCACCGTTTGCGGCTACACCGATTGCAGCGGACTGGCCGCCAATGCCACCACAGGCGAGTATGGTGCATACAGCATGTGCTCCACCAAGCATCAACTTGCCTTTGCTTTGAACAAGTACTACCTTGAGCAGAACAAGGCCGCCGATGCTTGCGATTTCGCTGGATCGGCTACCGTCAAGGCCGTCACCAAGGCTACCGGCACCTGCTCTTCGCAGATGAAGGAAGCCGGAAGTGCGGGAGTGGGAACCATCACCACCGAGGGTACTGGCAGCAAGAAGTCTGACTCCGATTCCGACTCCGACTCCGACTCGTCCTCCTCGGCCTCTTCTACCTCAGCGACTTCCTCCAGCGGCGGCGCTATGAACATCCACTCCAGCGTGTCCTTCGGGTCTTTCCAGGTGGCAGCCTATGTTGCCACCGCCCTACTGGCTGGTGTTGGAATGATCGCTCTGTAAATCTTTCCGAGAGATCGAGTGAGCGTGGGTTTGCGTTTGGTTTATGTATATTCTTAACTCGCATCTGAATTGTGTATCTGTATTTTTTTTTTCCCTGCCCCCTTCTACTCCGACACTTTCGAACAGAGAGCTCAAAACAAAGGGTGTTCAATATGGCAAGAAGAATTGCCTGGCGGGCAGCCTTGATTGAGATTTATACCCGCAGTCCATGTTGCTACTTGATATGATCGGGAGAAATTACCAAGACTGAATTGATGTTTGTACTCTTCGTTCGCCGTTTTTCTAGCCATTCGCATTGTTTTATTAATTCATTTCGACGATCGAATATCTTCTATCGGTCGAGTACAAAAGGGGTGATCAAATGCACTCGACTACCATACCCTTGGCGGTTTGTCTCCAATTTCCTTTCGAGAGGACCACAGCGTCCCATCGGATCCAAAGCCTTGCAATACTGGTCGATTCGACCTGGGCCTAATAGTTCGTTCGCTAAGCCAATAGCCCACAAGATGATCCTGCAGAACTCCCTCCCGGCACATTCCCACTGGCGACATGTGTTAGCGTATGTAGTAAGTGTCCATGTCGTGTTGACCTGGATCGGTTAGATGAGATCAGTTTCATTGGACTTGTAATGATGTTCATAGATACTCTGTACACAATCTACGATTGGTATACATATCCGACTTCGTGGTGATGTATCTGATGATGAACTCCACACACCCACCGTTCACAAGAATAGATGGATCTATGGAGCATCATACGGAGTAGCTGCTTGAAAAACACGGTAGATGTTGTACACAATAAACAATTACTAGAGCACAAGTCAAGCTACCCCTGGAGTGGATCCGTTAATATATGGCGTTTCAGAGTCTCGGAATTGTGCCTCGTAATGTCGAGTGGAACCACCATGAATGATACCTATGGCGACCGGAGTACGGAGTTGATACCCATATACATATACATAATAGGCTGAATTCTCCACATAGTGATATGTGTGGCGGAGTGGACTCGACGCTTTAGACCTGCTCCGATCATTGCATTTTAGCATTTTTTTAAACAATCTCTGATAGAGAACCCACATTGAAAGAGAAATTAACGTCTTGAAATTGTGCTTATGGAGGTCAATTAAATTATACGCATTGATAGAGGTAATCTCTTGTACATGATGGGGTTGTCTCTATTTATAATACTGTCGCAAGGAATCACTCGATTCTTGCCATGTCATATCCCGCTGAACCCGAATGGAATTCAAAGGCACTTCGTCCGACATGTCGTCGGCGTTGGACACATCCAGATGCGTCTTGGTCTTATTGCGTGGCTCATCTGCCGGTCGTAAGGCAGAATTATCCAACTCATACCCCTTGGATTGCTGGACATCTGTCCGAGATTTTTGGGTTCCAGACCGGCTGGAAAATTTGGATGAAATCATCATGAACAAGGGCCGCAATGTTGGCATGCAAGCGCAGATAATTCCCGTTGAGACCTCGACGACACACCAGGTGCAGGATTTACCGAGTGTCCAGGCGATGTCCGCCACGTTGAAATCGAACAGAGTGCTAAAGCGATACACACTGGTAAAGATCACACTAAGGACATGTCAGTCAATCCTGGGCAAATTCCATGCAAGAGAGGAACAGGGAAAAGGGTATACATACAAACTACCCAGCATAAAGATTGCAATCACGGATAGTCGATGGGTGAGGCTTGCGTGCAGTCTCCATACCACCCGCACCGGCAGGCAAAGCATAAGGATATCAGTGACAACGTTGGGTACCGCGTTGCCAATAAAGGAGCCTTTGAGGTCGATGCAGTGGCCGGGAATACTGACGTCCCAGGCTCGGGCAATCGGAGTGCATTGGAAAATGCTCACGAGGATAATAGCGATGGCCCACGCGACAGATAGACTACCCAGAACGATACAGGCAATCTTGATCTCTCGTGTGGGGAAGATGCGGCTATACATGAGCAGGATGGAAGCCTTGGTCACTGCAATCGTTGTGACATAGAAACACTCAAAGACCACCAGGAGCTAGAGGCATGTAAGCAAACGTGTCGACTTCACGAGATTTCTCAACGCTGCGAACCTTTGCAATCATCATCGTATTCTCCGGGGGTAGAATCTCCGAATGTAAACCCATGCCGTAATGGACCGCTATGCACCGTTAGCGTCAGAACACCGGGGATATCATGGAGGAAACCGATCGTACAGGTTAGCATTACCCCGACGAGGGCAAAGAACGGTACCAAAGCCACGACGATCAAATAGTCGTCCCATCCTGGCTTCAACGACTTCTTCCACCGTGCCAGAAACCGTAAGATCACGAAGAGTACCGCAAGAATTGTCATCGTGATCGTTCCAGCTTGCCAGGAGGCCTGGAAGCTTTCATGGGGATTGAGCGCGGGCATGTTGACCCTGCGAAACTGAATCAGCGCATTTTTTTGCGAGTTCGATGAGGCGCGGAGGTGGGTTTTAATAGAATGAAACGACGAAGTGACTGACGGAGCATCCACATTTGAGCGACAGACTGTATACCGAATATGTCCAGAATGGATTATGAGGAATCGAATCCTCATTTTGACTAATGCATAACCGCGAATAATTCCAAGGCCGTTAAGAGAGGGTCCAAACAAGGCTAGGTATACTCCATACTTCGTAGTCGGCGTTCTCTTTTGACACTCCAAAGGGGCAGGTGGGGGAATTGGGGGGGGGGGGTTATTGGGGGGCAGGATTAGATGTGCTCTCCCTATTCCTATTTTTTTTTTTTTTTCTGTTCGCGATTTGGTCCACTTGTGCTGTTGTAGAAGGACGGAGGACGGAGTAGGCATAAGCTACTCATCGGGGACAACATGTATGCCATGTCGTTGAACACAAGTCACATTCGAGCATTGCCCGGGTCAAAGGAGCAACTCTGTACCAGTCAACTTCTGTGGACTGGGAACTAGGAACTAATTTGGCAGACGCAAACCCCGACAGGGAATCCCGACGTCTCTAGACCGCAAGATGCCAGGAGCCTGTTCGGAAGAGGAGCCCGGATATCCATGACATCTGATCTACACGCCCATTGCCCGAAATCCCACATCCGGAAAGAAACCAGGGCAAATGCATTTGCGTTGTGGGCAAAGCCAAGGATACCCGTTGGCTACGGCCGACTCCCGAGTGGATCGTCAACGAAGAGGCCAATCGTAGGCTTGTTCAGGATATTTCGGGCTCCAGGGCTGCGGCAATGGCCTATCAGCTTAGCAGCCTCAGCCGTGCTCCACCGTTGGCGTCAAACTGGCGTCTTAACGGCGGGTCAGAGGATAACCTCCGGTTTGGTGTAAAGGGGAAGACGATCATTCACCTTTCTCCGGGCATCTCACGTTGAACGGCGAAATTCACCAATTGCCCCTACTCTGCCGAAGGGACTTCTCTAGTTCCGGTCAACTCCCGCTAGTGGGATTGGATCCAGGTTCTGACCTTCTATTTGGGTGCTTGGGAGATGCTGTCTCTGAGAGTCGGACTAGTCCAATCGAAGTAGGACATTAATATTAATCCCCCTAGGGCTAGCACTGGAGCTAATCTCACCACGCGTACTCCGTACGTATTAATGATCCATTTATAATACGCGCCGCTCAATAGTATAATGCCAATGCACAGTTAAAGGAGCCGTTCAACGTTTTCGGTCCTTATAAATGTGGGGTGGTCAAGCCTAAGTCAATCTCCCCTCGTTTGAACCTATTCGCCTCACTCTCAAACATCGACACCAACGGAGAGATCACCATGTCCGAGAAACCAATCTTCGTCTTCGTGCCAGGCGCATGGCATACTGCCGACACATTCGACGTCCTGCGGGATTTGATGCACAAGCGTGGTTTCGCAACTAAAGCTATCGCAACCCCCTCCGTGGGCGCGTCCCCACCAAATAAGGGGCTGCACGCCGACATTGAATATACCAAAGCCATCTTGCAAGAGATGGTGGACGCGGGCCGCCAGATTGTGGTGGTGAACCATTCCTATGGTGGCCTGGTCGGTGCTGGGGCTGTCGAAGGCCTGGGGTATGCTCAGCGGTCTCGGGCTGGCCTTCCTGGCGGCGTGCTTATGGTAGTATGGATGGCTGCGTTTGCAACCCCCAAGGGCCAATCGGTACTTGATATGCTGGGCGGAAATTGGCTTCCTTGGATGCTGATCAAGGTGAGTCACGTCGGGTTCTTTCTCCTTTCCTTTCCTCTTTTGTTTTGGCTCTTTGGTTGAAATATCCCACCGGCAACGAGCTAATCCAAGTTATATAGAGTCCGGATGACGGTTATTGCTGGTCTTCCAATCAAGAAACCGTGTTTTATCACGACATGTCGCCAGAAGAGCAGCAGAACGCGATTGCGAACTTGAAGCCGCAACCGCAGAAGTCATTCCGGGAACCAGCTCTGCATGAGCCGTGGCACGAGATGCCCAGTATGTATCTGTTCTGTGACCAGGATGGAGCCATTCCTTTGTCCGCCCAAGAGAGCTTCGCGAAGCTCCTGGGCACCCCAGTGACCTATCACGTCGATGGATCTCACTCCGCATTTTTGAGCATGCCCGAGAAAGTGATTGATGGACTGGAGATTGCACTGAAAGAAGGACAACAGCAGAGCGGAATCGCTGTGAACTAAGCTGGAACGATGGTCCGGAATGAGCCTGTCAACCCCGTCATTGCTTCATGTTTTTATAGATATGGGAAATTAGACTAAAGATACTGTCAACATAATGGACATGGATGGGAAGAGAATCCACGACTCGACTGTCATGAGTCTGTTCAATCACATTCCACCCAATATCTCCTGATACTCAACCTTTTACTTCATCCCGACAAGGGTCAGCGGTTTACCTGGGCCCTCGTCAGTATTTCGTGTTTTGGAAGACTAAGTCCGAATGGCGCTGGCCGCAACGTTCGCCTGGCGTCGGAAATGAGAACCCCCCCCCCTTCACCTCTCAAGTCAAAAGTCCAAAAGCAGAGACTGCGATTCTGGAATGAAGATGCTCGATGGGCCAATATCTTGTCTCAAAACAAGACTTGAAGCACAAATAGTACGGTCGCTCAACGCGCGTAGGATGAGAGAAGGGGTAAAAGGGGGGGAACAGCGGGGTGGATCGTCTTTTCTATGGGTGCTTTTCGTCGTCCGTAGTCCCATCGAAGACAACTCGTTGGATGTGAGATATCATCGGTTGCTATAGTCATACGTGAAAGAATGGAATACTGGAAGCCTTCTCCGTCATCGACCGAGGTAGGATAATTATATTTCTCGGGCGCTTTGCTAGCTAGTTCCTCATCCCAGGTTACTTAATAAGTTATTATTCGCCATTCAAACGGCAAGTCCTTCGATGTCAAGCGTCCGCGTATTCAAGCAAATCAATCGCCTCCAGGGCAAAGAAGTGGCTCAATGCACTTCTTACATCACAGGTTCACAGCCCAGTTACTTTCCGGAGCTGCCGGAGTTCTGAGAGGAACCACCCGAGGAAGAGGAAGGCGTGTATGTGGCACTACCCTGGCCGTTGTTGTAATAGGTGCTGCCATCGGGGTTCGAGTAATAGTAGGAACCATTCCTGATTGGTGGATGAATGTTAGTCAAGCTGCAGCTGCCGGAGATCATCACGGATCGTCGGATCTCGAGAACTTAAGATATGATCACTCACTGGTTAGAGTAATGGTACGAGTTGGAGTTCGATGCCGAGGAGCCATAGTCGCGCGAGCAGTAGTGGTTAGCCTGGATCCCAGTTAGCTCTGAGGATGTCTTGTAGATCCCGACTCACCTGGCTGTTGACGCCAGAGCCCGAGTACGAGTACGAATTGCCGTAGTTATCTTCAGGCATGATGACTTTGGTTGAGGGATCGAAGGTGGGATTCAGAATGATGGAGCAAGTGGATGCGATGAGAGAAGAGAGGGGAGAGAAGAGAGAAGAGAAGAGAAAGAAGAGAAAGAAGAGAAGGCAGCGCGGGGAAAGCGAAAGTTTGCCCGGCTCCTTCCTCTCGACGTACGCAGGGCATCAGGAGGCTACGGTGGTCGACTTGAGCCCTAACATGAGCTCCAACATGGTCGATCTCGTTCTTCCAAAGATAAATACGGTTCGTAGCTCTAAAATCGTAACTTTCGGTATCTATCAAGTTTCCACATCCCATACTTGGCAATGAAAACAGTTCCCATCACGCATGCACCCACCAAGATGGCAAATGCCGAAGTGCTCTCTTCAAAGAAGTTCGCAACATTCATTCCAAACAGACCTGCCACAAAGGTGGACACTGCGAATCCCAACATACAAATCTCGAGCTGAGCCTCGAAGATCAAGATTTGATTCCGCCGGACGTCGAGAATGGATTGGATGGTCTCTGTTGTCCGTTCCACGTCCCCTAACAATGCGCTTGCAGACTCCGAAATCGCGTCTGTGTTCTTGTAATATCCCTCGAGGAGATATTCCACTTCTTGGTGATCCTCTTCAACGTGCGGTTTGCCCGCCTGACGGTCGGACAAGTACATCATTGCCATATCATCATCATGTTCGAGCATCTCCCTGAGCGCTGACCGGAACTGACGGGCACGCTGCTCAATAGCCACGAGCCTTTTTCGGTGATCCTGCAACCCGCGGAGCACGGCGTGGACGACATCTTCCCTGGTTGAATCACGCAGGCTTTCTTCAACTTCCCGGCGAATGAGAACATGCTCAGCTTCGAGGGTTGCGATAACCGAGGCAAGCGCTGCATCCACTACCCGTAGCTCAAATGGCAGTTTTGCTAGCACGCCACAGCCGGGATCGGGCTGCAGCCTGCCCTGGAGGTCGGTCAAAAACACGTCCTGTACCTTCACGTGGCTGTCTTCAATTGGCAAAAGGAAAAGGAGCACGCCATCTGTGCAGATAAGAAGCCGAAGGGTGAACATGCTAATGAAGATCGTTGATGGACGAACCAACAGATGTGGGATTCCCTCAGAGACAAGGTCTACATTACGCAGATCACGGGCATCCAGACCGTACCGCTTAGCGACGTCTTCTCTGGTCCCCCGGGTGTCAGAATATTGGACCGACCCATCCACATTCAAAACCATGCAGCGTAGCTCCGTTGCATCATTCATGCGGCTCTGCGATAGAGACAGCGACAAGTTGAACACCTTCTGATTGAAGGAAGCTTCTTGGTTCATCTCACGCTTCGACATGACAAGATGCGATTTGTTGGGCAACGTCACGATTCCTCGTGTGTGACAACTCGGGACCTTCTGGATCTTGGGCAGTTTGATGCGGGGGGTGCCGGAAAGGCAGTAGAGCGGGAATTGGGTAATTGTGCATTGTGGTAGCTTCCCTCTCATTACTAGGGAGAGAAATCTTCTGGACGTGACATGCATGATCTATGTGTCAGAAGCGCACTATGTAGGTACCCTGTAGGTAGTAGGTACGCTGTAGAGTTGGACGGTCGTCACCGAGATGCGTGGCGTGTGGCTGTGCTAGTGACTTCATTTTCCGGAAACAGCTGTACATCGTAGCTGTTCCTGGACAGCGAACAAGTGCCCGTCTTGGCTATCTGGACATGTTCGCTAATCCGAATAGCCACGGTAGATGGAAAAAAGCGAAATCCGATTCGATTTCCAGGTGAAAAGATTGCTGTGGCTGCATGAGAGCCCACAGGGGCTGAGATACTAGAGAATCGGTATCAACAAAGAAATACTTACTGAAGAAAAGAAAGTATCAGAACTCATGGAATTTGCATAGATGTAGAAAGAGCCACCAATTGCTACGAGCAGATCTTCATACGGTCCAGCGTTGCCACAATGCCTGCTGCCCCTGCGGCCCCATATCCACGCTTCTTCCAGCAGGTCTCGATGATTTCACGGGCCCAAACGTCTTTTCCCACAGCAGGGAGCATCTGCCGAGAGGGAAACGTGGCGACGGAATCGCCGTTACTGCGTGAATGATAGATACGGACGCCGTGGGGTCTCCCAGTGACAATCTGATAAATCACAAGCCCAAGCTGGCAAAGATCCGTCCACATTGAGCAGTTATATCTATCAACCGCATCCACCATAACGGTGCTGAGTGGCATGGCGGTTGATGCACCGAGGTCCATTATCATAATATCTTGCGCATCATCTAGGAGAAGGTTGCGGGGGAGAATATCACAGTGGATTACGCGCCGCTGATGGAGGTTGTGCAACCCAATAGCCAGCTGCCGAATCCACTTCTTCTGAAGAGGGAGCCGGGGTGGCTCCCTATGACTTAACCACTGGCCGAGTGTGCCCCCTGACATGTATTTCAGCTCGATAGTATCTCCAGGAAGATCGAGACAATGAACGATCCCTTGAACTGGCTTAGTGAAGTTAGGCTGAACGCGCCGCCACACGGCTTGCTCTGCCCGGATTTTCCTCCTGTTCGCTTCCACGTCCTTGAACGAGTCACTCGCGTGAACTATTGCCATCTTGACTGCCACATCGTCGCGTCTAACAACAACCACGCCCCTGCCAGACCCGATGATGGTGTGATGTTTAATATGATGACCTTCATCATCAAGGAGGTACCCCACAGGATGCATATCGAGGGAAGGAGGAAAGGAACGAGAAGATTTGGCGTTTCTTCAAAGCTCTAAAAGTTACCTGGGTATTGCTGGCGATGAGTCCATTTGATTGGAGTAAGTAGATCAGGATGCAAGTGTTGTTTCTCAGATTTCGACTAAAGAAGACGATTTGGTCAGTAAATATCAACTTGTCTGCAAAAGAGTCATACTGGGAGAGAGGTATGATCGGCTGAGATGCGTTTTGAGGATGATTAGTTCAGTCCTGATGAAGTCCCAAGCGGAGAAAAGGGCCTAGTACAAGAAGTTATGCTCGTGCTCTGTGGACTGAGTTGACCAAGATGACTGTCGGATATGAATAAGTGACACGAAAAGGATCTGAGAGAGAGGGAGTCGATGGATGACTTGTTTGGCGAAGAAGAAGAAGAAGAAGAAGGAGAAGGAGAAGATAATGGGATGGTTGCCTGCAAACGGAGAATCGCTCTTTATGAGCTGACTCGTGTTTTCCCCGTGACCTTTCAGCCTTGCTCCCTCACCCTTTCATTGCAATCGGGAGATATAGATATCATCACCTTGGGCACAAGGCACCGATGATATGGCGGAGGTACACTGAGAAACATCTGACGGGCAACTGAAGGGAGCCTTGGTGAACGGATTTCTGAAATGGCAGTAGGATGCCAGCACGATCTTGATCTGATCTAGATTTGACAGTGAAACCTTTATTTGCATGCTGGTATGCTCGACGAGGGTTGGTTTTCATTTCCCATACATATCTAGATGTCTCACTAGGAAATTCTGGCTAACAACCCTTATCCAGTCCACATGCCACCTGCATTTGCCTCGAAATTATCTTCCATAGAGGCCGTGCTTTATCGACAGAATTGACAGTAAGCATAAAGCGAACCGGCTAGAATACACTGGACACCAGCAATCGAGCAGATGGCTGCCATCACAACGAGCACCTTAGACCCCTTCTTTCCTAGGGTTTCCCCAAGTTGCAAACAAAGGAAAACCTGCCACTTGAAGCAAAGGCAATCGGATATATTCAAACTCAGTGCTTATGTACAATCGGATGGATGCCTACACCCAGATATCCCAAGACACACCATGCCGACTGGTCAACGGCACCTGCGGGCCTTCAGCATCGATGATGTACCCTGCATCACACCAGTCAAATGAGACCTGAGGCTGAGCTCCGTAAAAGTTATCATACTCTTCGTGCAGAGCATCCTGGAGACTACTGACGTCATCTACCGGCTGAAGCACATCCCATGGCTGGATGCAGGTCACTCCCTGACAGGACTTGAGCACCATAAGCAGAGCATCCAATCGACTGATAATCTGTGCCAAGCTGCGGCCGAGAATCCGAGGCTCGATGTCATTGGCCAGGGAGGTGGTAGACGGGTAGAGATTGTTCAACTGGTACGGATCCGTCTGGAGAAGAATAAGTCGCAGTTCTAGAAAAACGAAAATCCCATTTACTTACCGACAGATCGTACAGTTCGTGTTCGTTGTTGCACCAAACGGAGTAGTAGAGGTTGTAACCCTCACCCAGCAAGCGAACGGATTTGTAGGTGTTGTTTGGGATTGTGGAGGAGCCGTCGACACCTGCAGACTCAGGAAATTAGCAACTCACCTGCGCAATGAGCCTGGAAATGCTCGGGTGTTGCCTCAGACCTACCGATACCACTATAAGCACCTTCCACAACAGCAGATCCCCAGTATTCCACTGTGACATGTTCATGCCTCTCGCCATCGAATTCCGGCGTCACCGGAATTGCAACACCATCAAAATCGTCCCGAGCTGGAAGGCCCGCCAGATGGAAAAGGGTCGGAGCCAAGTCGATATGGGTCGTCACCGCATCCTGCACATGGCCTTTTGCAACACCTGGCCCGCGAATAAACAGGGGCACGCGAATGTCCTCTTCGAACCCGCAGGTCTTCCCGGGCGGAAGTCGATGCTGACCGATATGGAAACCATTGTCGGAGGTATAGATAATGTAGGTATTATCGAGCTGACCACTCTCTTCCAGTCGCGTGACGAGCGAATCAACCAATTCATCCACACCCTGCAACGCGCGAAGACGCGAGCGGTAAAAGTGGTCATTGTAATCGACCACCGACTGGTTCTGCGGGGGAAGGCCACGAATCCAGCTGATCCCGCTTGGCTGGGCAATGAAAAGGAACAGTTAGAGGCGATTTGGAAGAAAGAAAAGAAACAGAAGTGAGTTGAATTAGGACTGGGCTTACCTCGTCCGGATTGAAGTTCAGGGTGCGAGGCACCTTGACCGACTCGAACAAATGCTCGTGTCGCTGGAGAGGAATGGGCGCCGTCATTTGAATCTTCCCAGAGACGATATCCTCCGGGTCCACATTCGAGTGCGGGGCGACAGGCGACACGGCCAGGAAAAATGGCCTCTCACCATCTAAAGCATCATCGAGGAACCCCAGTGCCTTGCCCGTAATCACATCGATGGTATGTTCCCCCTCGTAGCTGACGGGGGCCTCATGGTTTCGCTGGTATGTCGAATTGAGATACGAATAAGTATAAGGATCGAGGAGAAAATCCGAGCCATTGAACCCATTTATATGCGGGCTGTGGTAGTTGTGAATGGTGTGGGCGTTGAACATTTTGCCAGTATAATAAGTATCGTAGCCTGCCTCTTGCAGCCAGATGGGAAGGAAATCCTCATTGAAGCCACGCTCGACAAACTTGGGATATCCCCCGTATGGCGGGCTCACATCGGTCACATTGGTGTTATGGGCCTGGCGACCCGTCCACAAGCTCACACGCGACGGACAGCACAGTGCCGTGGTGACGAAGTGGTTGCGGAAAAAGGTGCCTTGATCGCGGATATGCTTGGAGATGAGCGGGGTGTAAGCAATTGAGTTCAGCTGGAGATCTTGATCATCGGTGAGAATGAAGAGAATATTGGGCGATGGTGTTTCGTGTTTGAGCACCGACTGCAGAGCTGATTGGAGGTTGGATTGGAAATTGGACTGGAGATTGACGGATACTCCCTCCACCGCGGCGACGAGGCCGGTCAGCGCGATCAATTTCATTGCGAGAGATCAGTTGAAGAGTTGAGTCGATCCAATTGATCACAGCCCACTAGTCGATCGACGCTCGAGCCCGAAATGATGCCATCGGTGGGCCTCAGGGCTGACGGGAGTCTTGGTGGGAAAGATGAAGCCGTCCCCATTGCGGTGGCACATCAGGTCAACATCGGGGGGTTTATTCTCACTTCGTCTGGGAACGTTGGCTTCTTTGATTTCTGTGACCAGACATCTTTTGGTTGGGTATTGGTCTCAGGGGCCTAGGGAAAACACACGTGGAAGAACAGGGGGTATACGGAGTCACATCAATGGCGTGCTTTGCCATTGCAATGAGCATACGAAGACGATTGAAATCATTTGTCAACGTGCCTGGAATCCAGACCTGAGTTCCGAAAACAGAGTCCGCATTTGTCGCCCGGTCGCATATATCCAATCCGCCGCGAACTGTGTAGTATTTCGACAATGGCCGCCTATACCGATGGCGACACTCAACCGGAGGGGATACCTGAGAGCATCACCAGAACACAGTCAATCGATGAGAATGGCCATTTACAAGACGAAGAGACTCCCTTACTGCCGCCACTCGAGCCCAGATTGAAGGCTTTAACGAGTATTGGAACAATCATCACGGTGCTTCTGCTTGGTAAGATGGAATCGCGGTGGAAGAGAAAACAACTCTAAGTGAAGACAGGCGAGTTTATCTCCAACGCCGATGCGACCCTGGTGATGGCAGCAGCAGGTCGTGTCTCCTCCGAGTTCAATCGACTGCGCGATGCCAGTTGGCTCTCGACGGGCTATACGTTGGGTCTTTGCACGGCGCAGCTAATGGTCAGTGAACTCATGCCAAAGGAGATCCTCGCATCGAGCATCTAATCAGCCGTCTAGTATGGGAAACTGAGCGATATCTACGGTCGCAAACCGTTATTACTGCTCTCCTACATCTTATTTGCGGCAGGGTGTATCATAAGGTATGCACTCTCTTGATTCAACGAGCTGCAATGTTGACAACCGACAGTGGCGTCGGATCCCACATATGGGAGGTCATTCTGGGTCGCGCGATCAGCGGCATGGGTGGCGCCGGTATCATAACGATCAGCGCAATTATCATTACAGATATCGTCCCAAAGCGAGAGGTCGCAAGTTGGAGAGCGTATGTGAATATTGCCATGACCCTTGGCCGTAGTCTGGGGGGTCCAGTGGGTGGTTGGCTGAGCGATACCATCGGATGGAGATGGTAAGTTGAATCTAGAATGATATATTTTCGCTAACTGTGAGTCAGGCTGTTTATCCTCCAAGCACCCTTCCTCGTAGTAGGTGCAGTGCTTGTGATCGTCAAACTGAACATCGGAGAGGAGAAAGACTTCGCCTTTGACAACCGTTCTGGCAGGCTAGATCTCCTAGGAATAGGCTTGTTGGGCGCATCTATCATCGCCATGACAACGCTTCTTGACCAAGGCGGAAAATCCTTCCCGTGGACTTCATGGTGGACGGTCTTTCTGGGGAGCGGCGGAGTATTACTTCTAGTCGCCTTCGTGGTCGTGGAAGCCTATGTCGCCAGCGAGCCCATTTTCAACCTCCGCATCCTTCGCCGGACGAATGTGTCAGCCGCATACATCATCGGTGCACTTCAGACTGCCGCACAGCTGGGAATGATGTTCGCGATACCATTGTACTTCCAAATCACCCAACGAGCATCGACCACGGTAGCAGGTGTTCATCTCGTACCAGCAGTGGTGGGGAATGCTCTTGGTGGATTATTAGCTGGAGTGTTCATCCGACGGACAGGTCAATTCAAGATCCTTCTGGTCATCGCCGGCCTCGTGGCCTCCCTGTCCTACCTTCTCCTGTATCTCTACTGGGAAGGCAAGACCGGCTTCTGGCAGTCGTTGTTTATCCTTCCCGGTGGCCTGGGAACTGGAATCTCGGCGGCATCATCATTTATTGCCATGTCCTCTATGCTACCACCCGAGGAAATGGCCATGGCAACTGCAGGATACATGCTGGTGGTCGGATTTTCCATAACAGCTGGTGTAACTACCTCCAACTCAGTTTTGGGAATGGGATTCCAGCGAGAACTGAGCAAGAATCTTCATGGGCCTGGTTCGGAAGAGGTCAGTCTTTCCTGACCGACAGTGACGCATTTCCCAGGGTTCTAATTGTCCTAGATCATTAAGCGCGCGATGTCGGATACGAATTATATCGCCCATTTGAGTGGTCAAGTGCGCGAGATCGTGGTCGCCTGTTATGTTTCCGGGCTTAAACATACATATCGTGAGTTAGGAGTTGATTCTATTGTGCTACTAGGCTGCCTCATGCTGACTGTCTATAGTGGTCTCCCTGGCCTGTTCACTTCTGGCGTCGTTTAGTGGGTTGTTCATTACACGCCATCAAATTTGACCGGAATGCGTTTGAATGACGGGTTATAATCGCCCGGTGGCTAGCGCTTTTGAATTGATTCTTCGAGTTATATACACTTTCCATGTTCGCGTTTTCATTCTCGTGTATCCGAAGCGCTGCTTCGTTGTCCACTCAACGGATCCGGGCTTTACTCAGTCTATTCGTCTTCAAGGTCATCCACATTGTGCTTGGGACATGATCCTCATTTCTGCGGCGGCCTCCCAAGACGGTAGACTCCCTAGCGTCGAGATGTAATTCCATCGCCTTTATAGATGAAGCAGAAGATTCAGTCGACTTCCAAAGAATCTCAATCGCAATACTACATCACAGCAGTCTCTAATTCCGTGAGAAATGCATAGTCGTGCGATACTCTTGCAGAAGTCAGCCGAGAAATTCCAGCCAGGATCCCCATTTCGCTTCTGTATCAGCGGCCTGGAAGGAATTTCCAGGTGTCATGAGCTTGATTTTGGATTTTCCAGGATGCGGTCTATCACTACTCTCTTCAGCAGGTATATCGAATATCTCCCGAGGCAGATGCGAGGCCTAACTGCCGAATGGTCTGAAATCCAATCGCTTCAATCGACCCGAATGCAAGAACTCGTCATCCTTGACCAAATTCCATGTGCACATCGCATCTTCATCCCGCCCCCGTTGAATCCCCGTCCCCTGTCCTCTTCATCGGACAATCCGGGGTGAACGCCACCAATCGCACGATCGGGCTGAGCCCGTTCCTGACACGCTAGACTCGTCTGGGGACTAGCGCTGTGACAGGAAATGACCTGCGAGTGAATTTGACATGAGATATCGTCTAGTCGAATGAGGGGCTATGGAGAGATCCTGCTAAGATCCGGAGGCTTGGCCGTTTCAGGACCGGCACAGGCTGAGACTGCTGCAATTCCCGGAGTATTGGCATTGGCGACGGTGCGATTCTCACCTTTTCGTTGGTTTTGACTTGACATCTCGGCCCGGGATTGGTTTTCAACTCTCTTTTGGCACTTCGGCGCTTTTTTATCCAATATCATGTGTGACTAGCGAAATCAATGCTACCTGGAATCAGCCCGATGGCGTTGTCCAGTTTGACCGATTGGATTGGAACTGTGGGAGGCGCATGTTGCAACAAATCTTCAGTCCTGTGCATGAGGAAGGCCCGCTTTCTGCGATGATCTGAAGGTCTTGGTCACAACGCTCAAGAGCCAGGTTGCAGGTATAAATCAATCCTGCCATTCCCGGTGAGATCTATCAAGAGCGCGGATTTCCATCACACAACTACTCTTCCTTTGCATGGCAGCAACCATGAAGAATACTTTTCTCACTGCGATTCTGCTGCTAGTGCAGGTGGCCATGGGTCTGACACCTGCAGAATGGCGCAGTCAATCCATCTATTTCCTGTTGACGGACCGGTTTGGACGCGAGGATAACTCGACTAGTGCGGCGTGCAATGTTGAACAAAGAGTATGCAGTCTCTTCGCCCGGAAATTTAGAATCAGGAACTAATTGCGACGACCAGCCCTATTGCGGTGGCAGCTGGCAGGGTATCATTAACCATGTATGGATCTCAATGACTCCCCAAAGCACCTCTACTGACTCGACTCCCAGCTGGATTATATCCAGGGAATGGGCTTCACTGCCATTTGGATTACCCCAGTGACAAAGCAGTTACCGCAAACAACCGCTTATGGCGCGGCCTTCCATGGATACTGGCAGCAAGATATGTAAGACGTTCAAACCTAGATATGGGAACACCACTGACCAGCTGCGGTAGATATGATGTTGATTCGCACTTGGGTACATCTGACGACTTGCGGGCTCTCTCCGATGCACTGCATGCCCGAGGCATGTATCTCATGGTTGACGTTGTAGCGAACCATATGGTATGTTTTACCGACGAGCAGGTTGGAACGATCTAACACCCCCGTAGGGCTATGCCGGATCTGGAAATAGTGTGGACTACAGTGTCTTCACTCCTTTTGACTCTTCATCATACTTCCACTCCTATTGTCTGATCAGCAATTATAATGACCAGTCGAATGTCGAAAATTGCTGGCTGGGTGATACTTCAGTCTCGCTGCCGGATTTGGACACAAGCCAGAGCGCAGTACAGAACATCTGGTACAGTTGGATTGCGGATCTGGTGTCTAAATACTCTAGTGAGTCCAACGGCTAGTGGATCAAAAGCAATCTGACAATTTCCAGTTGACGGAATACGCATCGACACCGTGAAGCATGTCCAGAAGTCTTTCTGGCCTGGATTTAACGACGCTGCAGGCGTCTACGCCGTCGGAGAAATCTTTGATGGAAGCCCTTCTTACACCTGCGACTATCAAAATTATTTGGACGGGGTCTTGAATTATCCCATGTGAGACCAGCTACCTCATTCCGCTTTCGCGTGAACCAAGCCTAACTATTCAGTTACTATCCCTTGCTATCTGCCTTTAAATCCTCCAGTGGCAGCATCAACAACTTGTATAACATGATCAACACGGTGGCGTCTTCTTGCGCCGATTCAACCTTGCTAGGGAATTTCATCGAGAATCACGATAACCCACGTTTTGCAAGGTGCGAAATTCCAGGTTCTCGGAGTTTCACAACACTGACTGTTTTTGCAGCTATACAAAGGACCTCTCACAGGCCAAGAATGTCATTTCCTTCCTCTTTTTATCAGATGGTATTCCCATTTTGTATGCTGGTCAGGAGCAACAGTACAGTGGTGGAGAGGATCCCGGCAATCGTGAGGCCATTTGGCTATCAGGATATTCTACGAATGCTGAGCTGTATCAACACGTTGCGACTACGAATCGAATCCGCAGGTTGGCGGTCGCAGCAGACTCGAATTTTGTCACGAATAAGGTGCGCTTTCAACCTCTTTTTCCTTTTGGCAACCCTTGCTCCAGATGAAAGCTAACAGCCTTGCCAGAATGCCCCCTTCTATCAAGACAGCAATACCCTAGCCATGAAAAAAGGGTCGGGCGGATCACCGGTCATCACCGTGGTCTCCAATCGCGGGTCTTCGGGCTCATCCTACACGTTGTGGCTAGGTGGGACCGGGTATTCATCCGGCGCCAAGTTAATGGAGTTGTACACCTGCACATCCATCACAGTGGATTCCAACGGCAATGCCGCAGTACCAATGGCTTCTGGACTACCACGCGTGCTTGTTCTCGCCTCCTCTGTGAGCGGCAGTGGCCTTTGCGGCAACCCCGTTCCCACTAGCACTACCACTACTGCCACAGCGACTCAGACCACATCCACCGCTACAGGAACGGGTTGCACTCAGGCCACCGCTCTACCCGTCTTATTCAAGGAGCTGGTGACAACTAGTTACGGCCAGGATATTTACATCGCGGGTTCGATCAGTCAACTTGGCAGCTGGGACACTGGTAAGGCCATTGCCTTGTCCGCAGACGGCTACACTTCCTCGAATCCTTTGTGGCAGGCGACGATCACACTCCCCGTTGGAACCAAATTTGAGTATAAATTTATCAAAAAGACGAGCGGATCTTCGAGCGTGACATGGGAGAGCGATCCGAATCGATCGTATACGGTTCCTAGTGGATGTGCTGGAACTACAGCTACTGCGAGTGCGACTTGGAGATGAACCTGGGATCAGCAGTCATGACAAGTGTGGCTCATAAACACAAATTGAACCTTACCTAGGACTATGGTAATCAATGATATATCTGAATTCGCTATGAAGTTTGTACATCAAATATGAAAAGCAAGCATCACTGGTTGCTCGGCTCTTCTTCGTCAATTGTGATCCGTGTCGACGTAATTCGTGAAACCCCCAATCATCATCAGGGTCCCATTCTCACTCAGATATGCAATGCAGCAAGGTTTGCAAACATGTAATCGTAGGAATCTTGACGGAAATCATCCGGCAACAGCGCGCCGTGATCGTGGAAGAAATTCATCAGCGAGTGATTATTACCCCATTGCGGCCAGTTCATATACTCCGAGGCCCTCGTGTTGGGGTCCTGATCATATACAAACGATAGGTAATATGAATGCAGAGATCTAGATCCGTAGTTTGGAAGAATGCTATAGAAGACTTGAATGACATCCGATCCATGGAAGGTTCCTAGGAAGGGCAGCCCATGGTCATAGGACGCCAGATAGGACCAGAATGGGACGTTGGGTTTTGCTTTCTGAGCATAGTTCAGAAAGATCCGGCGCGTGAGGGTAAATGAAAGATCACCCAGAATAGCTGCAAGTCGTTTGTATTGAGGGTACCAATTGTACAAGGGCCCTGTGCGGAAGGGCGAGCCGTCCTCTTCGACGGTTTGGTAGGTAGCGACAAGATCTGTGATCTGTTGTCTGGAGGCGTCGAAGAAATACAAATTTTGGAGGTAATCGACGATTTGCTCGGTAGTTGTCAGATTATTCTGATACAGAGCGAAGACAGTACCCTCGTCTTCTTGGTTGCCGATGATGAATGGCACTGAGGCGTATTTCCCCTTCCTGGCCAGTTGTTCTGGCGATTCTGTCAATACCATACCATCTGGACGAGGTAGGTATGACGCGGCGACAGAATTGTAACCCAAGATGCCTGGGACAGAGTTGACGGCATTGAGAAATTTGGTATAATCCAGCCCGCGGAGACATTCAAGGGTGTCAGTTGCTCCCCGACAGCCACCGTTTTCCACAACAGTGTCGTAGACAGCTTGGCCTTTGATGCCGTCAATATCATTAGCTGGTACGATGCTGCCAGAGTTCATGATTGCAGCGCGGAATAGGGGCGTGCCATTGTACATATGGTCCCCATCATACAACGCCATCTGGTCAAACACAGAGATGGATCCAGCAGACTCACCCCAGATAGTAACTTTGGATGGATCACCTCCAAATGCAGCAATATTGTCTGCGACCCACTCCAAAGCAAGACGCTGGTCCAAGAGCCCGAGATTGGATGAACCATCTCGAAAGATCTCTGCGCCCGGAAGGAATCCAAATCCTCCGAGGCGATAGTTCATTGCCACAAAGATTACCGGCATGTTCAATGCCACAGAGCTTGCCACAAACCTTGCGCCATCATACTCCGCGGTGGAACCTTGCTCAAAGCCGCCGCCATAAATCCAAATCAGCACTGGTAGATTTGCGCCGGCCTTGGTCCCAGCTGGGCGACGCACATCCAGGGTCAAACAATCTTCGCCAGAGTTGGTAATTTCTTGAAAGATGGGCACATTCGAAAGCTTCCCAAGTATGGAGCTGGGGATGTTCTTTTTATCGGTGCTGAACAAGAATTGCGGGCAGGATCTAGCGACGGATGTAGCTTTGATAGTGCCGAGGGAGGTTCGGATTGGCTGAGGTGGCTTTAACCGAAGGGAACCAATCGGAGGCAGTGCAAATGGGATGCCATTGAATTTCTCAATCTTGTCAACGCCCAAGGAGCCAACAACAGTGGCCTCGGGCTTGCGGATGGTAACCGTCGGGCCAGCTACTCTTTTGTCTGGCGCCGGGACAGCCAACGCAAAAGGGAAAGCGAACCACAGAACCAGTCTCAATAGAATACGCATTATGGCAGTTTCATGGAGCGAGAGGAATTGATTGCAATGCACGGCAGACTACGGTCCACTCTTGCCTGACGATCCTCATATCGAAGTGGGCAACCAAGGGATAGACATAGAATGTGCATTGCCTCCACAATCCACCCAGGCGCATATATATCTTCACTCAGATCTCAATCTCCTTGCGTTACCCTCGCCGTGCCCGAAATCCGAACTCAAAGTGGTACTCTGGCTGGGGAACTCCTGATGAGGCGCATAGCAACTCTGGGATTCTGTATGATTCTCGCGTCTATATGGCACATGTCCGCCTCCTTCTGTATATGGGAATTGAACCCGGATAACCTCCAGAATGACACCAAATCAATGCGACAAAGCAAACACTCGTGCACGGGAAATGTGACTCACCAGGGTCCCAAGGTCCCACCGTTAAGACCTGGGATTTCCAGGGCTTCATTCTTGGAAGCACTGTTGGGTTGCTGTCGACCTAAAGCCGCACGTAAAGTGATCAAGGCAAGAATATGACGGGCAGATAGCCACTGGCTGCCATTATCTGGCTCTAAGTCCCCCTCATCTGTTGTCCGAGAGTCCAATGAGGAGAACACGTCAATGACACTCTTTTGCAAGTCCCGACATTCCGGATCATTCCGTGTTTCTTTCCAGATGCAAAGGAGTAACGTTGAGCTCAGGACGGTATGTATCATTGACCAACTCCGCAGCGGCACCACACCCAGAGCCTGGAAATTAAAAAAAAAAACGCCCTAGAAGCATTAATTAAGCTGCGCTTGGCCCGAATCCGTAAGATATCAGCTTGGAATAGTGGGGGGTTGCGGTTGCCATTGTTTCATAGCAGGACGGCACACCACCGATACGCAAAAGGATAAATGCATTTTTAGTGCAAGGTGCTCAAGATTCTGCTGGAATGTTGTGCAATTATGACGTACTTGTAAATAGGATCGTCCTTACTGGTAGAGATTGTCGAGTTGTTGTAAGGCATCAACTGCTCGATCAAGCTCATTGACACCGAGGGGTTCTGGTCGCATGATATCCAGGCCGACTCGACAGAAAAAATGCATGATCTCCTGGTAGGACATATCGTGTCTTTGTATCAGCCACGAGTGGACTGAACGGATAAGCCATGCCATGCCATGGTAATAATGAAAAAATCTATCGGGTCAGCATCCAGGAGTCTCTACCACTAACAACGACAACCTACTTCAAACCCTCCGTTCTTTGCGGCAAGATACCGAGCAAAAAGCTCCATCGTTCCTATGGCGTCCTCGGATCCATAAACGAGTAGCTCCTAAGAGTATTTTGGAAGCCCAGAACCGAACCTAGGTCGCGGGTCATGGACTCGTTAGCATCTGAGGCCTGCGAACGCAGGATCGAGACAATGGAATTGTCGCCCCAGTAGACAAAATTCTTCGAAGCTTCATCCGGTCGCAAAGATAGAGAGATAGACGGTACAGTGGTAGGACTTGCATTATCTGTCAGGCCCGGCTGTAGAGGTGCATTTGGCGATACGGAGGGGGCATTAGAGGGACGGGATCTTTCGCGCCTTGAATCTCGCGGAGCATCATACGTGCAGATTTGTGCGTGATTCCGCTTCAGACAAGTGCGACACGGCTGAGAGCCATCACATTTGACCTTCCTTTTTCGACGGGGATAACAGGCTCGTGCTTCCCGCTCTCGACGCCTAAGGCGGAGTCCATACTCGGTCAACTTCGTGGTGGCTGACGGAGCTCATTGCACCGAAGGAGCCGGCCCGGAGTCCGAGATTAGGACTTTGGTAACGCTCGGGCTTTGGTGGCTTCAGGGGGTTTCTCGCAATCTTTATCTCCTCTCATCCAAGTTCAAACTCAAAATCAAATGAAAATAATTAATCCAGAATAATGGAAACGCGAATGGTATACTCCGTAATCCGTAGATTGCTGAGCTGGTCGAAATGAAGATGAAACCGGGAGCTGCTTTCTCCAAGCGCACGGGCCACTCGGAGCATCTATGAGGAAGAGATGCTACATGCAACAACATAGATATATGGAGATAGATACATGAACGTGAACTCCGTATAATGATTTGAATCTTGATTGCTTTGATCCCGAAGTCTGTATGATGTGGAACATTTAAGATTACATTTGATTTTGAGATGGGGGAAATGTCCTGGTATGCTGGGATATATATATAGGAGAACGAATATATTCTGGGATGAAGACACAAATCTCGATAGACATATTTAATTCAAATGTCATTACACACGGCAGGAGATGGTTCGTTTGTCAAGATCAATGGAGTACAAGTTCGAGTCTACAGTCTATTCAATCTACGGGGTATGTATCTATTCATCAAAAAACGAAGGCATAAGAGACACCGGTAATCAATCATCTTGGAACCCCATCTTGGTTCGGTTGTCCAGAATCCTTTTCTGAAGCTCCTCGGGATAGGAGTTCTTGAAGTTAACAAGCACCCAGTCTCGACCAGTCGTATATTCAGACGGCATCAGCGCATCCGAAACAACCTTACCACCCATGGTAGGGGAGCCATTTCTATGGCTCATATACGGGACAAGTGGGAAACCTCGAAGATCATTGTCATCGTAGACATCTCATCGCCGCGCAGAACAAGCCGATGGATTGTATATCCCGCCTTGGAATTGAAGATCACATCGCCAATTCGCTTGGAGAACTCGGCGGATGTGGTTTTCATCTCCCGCAGGCGAGCGGTGTCAATGCGCGATGCGACCCAGGTGACCTGGGACACGAAAGGAGTAAATGCATCAGTTACGGGGAGATCATGTTGTTGGCAGATCTGGCGGATTTCAGCGGCAGCGAGAGAACCAATCATTGTGTGCTAGTAAAATATCAGCATGAAATTGATATCAGACGGAAAGAGGTTCTTACAGTCTCATCGGTTAAGCGTCCACAGGAGGACATGGGCATGATTGGGTCATTACGGTAGGTGATGCGATTGGACGTATACTTCGGCCAAAGGTGGGTGTCTGCGGGAAAGACGTAACCGTGCATCTCACCAAAGGGATCCTCGGGACCCTTGTCAGTGATGGACAATGTCCCTCAAAAACGATCTCAGATGTGGCAGGCACGTAGAGGTCATTAGTATCGCACTTAGCAAGTTCAAGGGCAGAACCAGTCATCGCATCACTATAACCAGCCTCGGAAACGCCATCGGGGATAGGCATGCTTGAAGCCATGATGGCAGCAGGTGGAACACCGAAAGCCAAGGCCTAGGACACGTCATAGCCTTCGTTCTTCCACATCTGGTGAATTTACCAGATATGCTGGGGCTCAATGACCAGACCAGTCAGATGACGCTCGTCAGACACCATTGCCCGTGCGATTGACCAGTTGGTCCATGATCCGTCGGGGTACTGGACGATATGCATTCCATAAGTCTGGATGTACTTTCCTCCATTCGACTGGTGGATGAGAGGGCCGGGATCTTGGTCAGATCAATTTGACTTGCCTTTATGAAGTTCTCCTTACAAGGGCCTGTCGGTACGATTTGAGGTGGAATCGGGGTCATGGTGCTGGCTGAGAGCATCTGGTCGAGGATGTCACGCATGGAGGCTGTAGGAGGCAAGGCGAGATGACGTGCCAGTCAGCCATAGCGGTCCTTTGGATTTCCTCAGAGAACCAGGGGGACCGAGGATACGGAACAGGCCGTGCTGCGAGCCGATGACATTGTTGAACAGAGGTGCATTGTCATCTGTCTCGCAGACACGACGAGTGATAGCGGCAGCTTCGAGATTGGCGTCGACGGGGGTGTTAATCTCAAGTAGATCACTGTCGGCCTTGAGAGGCTCAACGAAGGATCAGAGACAGAGGTGAGGGGCGGTGGAAGCCATTGAGATACAGGGCAAAAGTAAGAGTGATGTACAGATGTTGATTGAGGTATGTCTGAATGCACTCAGGATCTGTCGATCTAGGAACTCTCAAAAAGAACTTCCCTATTAGATTGGCTGGGGTACTCCTCCCACAACCTGTGCAAAATCCTCCTCTCGGACGACTTGATATCATCTCGGGAAGCCGCAATAGTTCGTTCCAAGCCTCCGAAGGCCCCGAGCCGCCCGAGATGCCGAGCCTCCTGAACGATGATGGGGCAGTTGCCGCCTGTTCGGCAGCGGCAATGATGCATCTTCTTCTTCGGCAGTTGGAATTCGGCTTCGGATTTCGGAATGATGTGGATTGTATGTGTACATATGGGTCAACATGAATATGGAGTCCAGCTATTCTTTAGAGCCGCCCACGGACACAGACGCTATACGAAAGATGGGCTAACGGAACGATTTGCCACAGAATGTGCCACCGGGGGCCAGAGACAAGCTTCCCCCGCGATCTCAAGATCAGTCTCCATGAGTTTGTTATGCGTTCACGCAGCGTTATGGAGGCATGCATGCCTAGATACGGAGTAGTCCGATCGGACATCCACCCCAAAAAGGCCAGCCAAGACCACATTGGCTCGCCGATCGATTATCCCTGTCCTCCGGCCCATAATGTTTTTTTTTTCATCCAATCAGACGGCCAATGGAGCAAGGATCTTGACAAGGCGGAGGCAACGGTTGCGAAGGGGGTATGAGACGCAAGGGCCCGAAAGGGGTTTGATTCAAAGGCCAATTCTTGCATCTGCGACATTGAACATCCCTTTCAGGAATCCCTGGCGCAGTTTGAATGCAAGTGGTACCCTCGGAACGTACGACATTCGGGCAATCCAACGGAGAACGTGATCGGGTGGCGACCTCCCAATCCAAGAAATCCACAGGTGCGAGATTACTCCGTAGTCCGCACAAACTCGCTAGACTCGGTGGATCGATTCTGTTCAGTGGGGGTGGGGGTGGGGGAGCGAGTACGGAGTATGTACTCTCAGTATACGGAGGACGGTTACTCCGTACTCCGGAGGACGCCATACAGAGAGATTTGATATGATCATTTTAGATCAGATGATACAACTTCCAACCAACACATTCCGTATTGGAGGGAAGAAAGAAGCGCCAAACAGCATTGCACCCCAGCCCGACCGGAAGCCGACCGGGAGAGGGAGAATGGCAGAGGGACGATTTGTCAAAAGAGGTGGTCAGCCCAACAATCATGAGGTTATACGAGCCCAGCAGGCCCGGGCCACCGACGGTCCAAGACGATGCCAATGCACTGAACCAGTTGGATCAAAGCATAATAGAGAGTGGGAGGATGGCAAGATCACATGGCCGTATGTCTCACTTCCCCAGGGGGAAAGAGTGGCAACTTCACCTTGAGCCTAATCAGAGTCTCCACAGTTTTTGCCAATATGAAGCACATTAGTGGCCCCAGGCCATGTGCCGGATATCAGCTATCTCACCTCGGTTATCAGCCCGTTCCTGACGGTGATAGGGTGTGTGATCCTGGCCAAGCCCCCAGGAGTAGACAGGGTTACAGTGTAGGATGCCAGCCAAGCGGCATGGCGCGGGGAGATACTGGGCCAGGCGCTGTCAATTGACCTTCACTGGCGCCAAGGGATCTCAAGTGGTCCCCGATGCACACCAACGGAGGGCCTAAGCCCACTGCAGCTGACTGATTGGATGATGCCAGCCTTGGCGACTATTAGCCTATCCGGGATCTGATGCTTTTCGAACAAAGCTACCGGTGCGTGTTTTTGTCGCCCCCAACTGCCTGTCAACGTTGTGATAGTCGGATGGAGCCGAAGTTGGTCTTGATTGAACCGTTTCGACGCCACGCAAGTGCACAGATCCCACAGCTCCAATCTGGTCCAAGTACACGACGCAGGGTCTTCCGGCTATTGACGGTTTGTTGGTGGACACTGAGCGCCATGTCCAGATACAGACAATTCCCCGGGACACACCCGAGGTTCTAGAAGAGAGTACGGAGTAGGTAAAGGCGAAATTGAAATGACTGGGTAGCTCGTTGGTCAGGCTTAATCACGCCATGCCCATATAACTACTGCTTCCCCTTCGGTTGTTTGCTCTTCTTTTCTTCTTTTCTGTTCTGTGTGTTTCATCCTCCCCCCAACCTATTTGGATTCAGGACACTATCACCATGAGCGACCCCGTTGACGTGGCTGAGATTGCCAAATCTAAGGCAGCCTCACATGAGATCGGTATTGACGAGAAGAAGGAACTACAGATCAATGAGGGACCCGTCAACAATGACTCTCTTGAGTCTTCCGACGACACTGTAGACAGGGTTTATCCCACCTTGGAGGAGATGGACCAACTGCGCCGTGTCTCCGACAACATTCCCTGGGCCGCATTCACTGTCGCCTTTGTGGAGCTGTGCGAGCGTTTCTCCTACTACGGTACCACCGCTGTTTGTATGGACCACCTGAACCCTCCCACTCGAAGAGACCAATGGCTAACCTGACCTAGTCGTCAATTTCATTCAGCGACCTTTGCCACCCCAATCCACCACTGGAGCCCTCGTTAAAGGCGTTTCTGATTTCAGCAATGGTGTACCTGGAGCTTTGGGCATGGGCCAACAGGCGTCTACTGGACTGACATTGTGTAAGTGAGATGTGGTGGAATGCTTGCTTCATCTTGCTAATATCACCGATCGAATAGTTAACCAGTTCTGGTCTTATGTCATGCCTCTTTTGGGTGCCGTCATGGCTGATCAATATTGGGGACGTTTCCGTACCATCTTCGTGGCCAGTGCATTCTCAATCGTCGGACATATCCTCCTTATCATTGCTGCTATTCCTACAGTCATCCAGCACCCGAACGCAGCCATCGGCGTTTTCTCTGTTGGTCTTATCATCATGGGTATGGGAACTGGTGGTTTCAAGGCCAATATTTCTCCCCTTATCGCAGAACAATACCGTGAGGACAAGGCTTTTATCAGGGTTCTACCTTCCGGTGAGCGTGTCATCGTTGACCCGACTGCCACGGTTGCCCGTATCTATCTGTACTTCTACATGATGGTCAACGCCGGTGCTCTTATGGGCCAGATTTCCATGGCCTACGCCGAGCGTTATGTTGGCTTCTACCTGTCATTCCTTCTCCCCACCATCATGTACATTTTCTGCCCTCTGGTGCTCTTCCTCTGCAAGAAGCAATACCGCTTGACTCCTCCCAGTGGATCGACTTACACCAAGGCATTCAAGCTGTGGAAGCTGGCTATGCACGGTCACTGGCACTGGAACCCCGTGCGGTGGTTCCAGAGCTCCGACCCTGACCACAACATGTGGTCCGTTGTCAAACCTAGCTATCTTGGCAACAGCAAGCCCGCCTGGATGGACTTCGATGATGCCTGGGTTGATGAAGTCCGACGTGGATTGCTTGCCTGTAGAGTGTTCCTATGGTACCCTCTTTACTGGCTTGCCTACAACCAGATGCTGAACAACTTGACCTCACAAGCCGCTACTATGAAGCTCGGAGGTGTTCCCAACGATATCATCAACAACCTGAACCCCTTTGCCCTAATCATCTTCATCCCCATCTTCGATCACGTCATCTACCCGGGTTTGCGCAAGATGGGAATCAACTTTTCGCCTTTGAAACGTATCACCGCCGGCTTTGTCATGGCCTCCCTCAGTATGGTCGTCGCTGCGGTCACTCAACACTACATCTACAAGCTTGGACCTTGCGGCGATGAAGCCAACAGATGTCTTGAAGAGGAGGGTAAATTCACGAACATCTCCGTTTGGATCCAGGCCCTAACCTACATCATGGGTGGTATTTCTGAGATCTTGGCGTCCGTGACCTCCCTCGAGTACGCCTACACCAAGGCCCCCAAGAACATGCGTTCCATTGTCCAGGCTGTGTGCATGTTGATGAACGCCTTCTCCTCGGCTCTCGGACAGGCATTCACCGGCCTTATCAAGGATCCTCTATTGATTTGGAACTACACCATCGTTGCCATCCTTGCCTTCATTGGTGCCGTTGGGTTCTGGCTCACCAACTACAAGTTGGATGCCGAGGAGGACAGCATGAACATGTTGCCGGACAGCCAATACAACACCCGACCGACTCCTGATGAGGAGAAGTAAAGGGAATTCTTTAGGATACAGAACGAGACATGTAAGGATGAAGTAATGCAGGCATGATGGATGAGGCCTGAACATTTACAAGTTGAGCCTCAAGATCATGAACCCCGAATGAAATATTTTTCATTGTATCACACATTTCCTCTATTATAGATTGGGTATTCTGGTGTTGTATTCTCTAGTGCTGTACTTCTTGTAAAACCCGTGGGCTACCAATGCGTCCGCATTTTGTGTGTTCACCAGGGGCTTCTATTGGGGGTACTGGTTTCCTTTTTGCGTCGGATCACCGAGGACCGTAGGCCACTATCTACAAGCCCAGCAGAGGGTCAAATGTTTGTGGAGAGACAATACCGCGACGCTGAAACCAATCTGCTCAGGAGAATCATATTTTTGTATTACTTTCTCTTCCTGAGGCTTTGCATCCTTGTGCTATCCTTCTGCTTCTTGTTTGGCGCTTCATCCTTTGCACTGCGTTTGGTTCCCACGCCTCCGTTCTTGGTCTTTCGTGTCTTCTCGTCTTTCTTTGCCTTGTCCGAATTGTGCTTCTCCGTCTCCACGTCCTTTTTCTTACCATTGTCCCCTCCCTCCCTCTTCACTATGATCGGTTTCGTTTGAATCTCCATGAGACCCCGGACTTTCATCCTCGACATCAAAACTAACCCTTCTCCTCGCCTTCTTCGCCGACTCGGGATTCCCAACAAACTGCTTTCCTTCTTTGGACTCTTCGAGCTTCTTCTCGTCTGTTGCTCTCTTTTCTTCTTCGCTCAACTCCTCCCACGCCCTTTTGGGCAGATACCGTTTACGCGACTCGTCATCCTGCCGTGCTGTCCCGGTCCCCTCTTTTGTTTGCCAATCCGCCTTGGTCCACCTTTCGAGGTGTTTCTGAGACTTCGTCTGCTCTTCCTTGGTGGTATTGTAGCCACCACGCTTTTTGTATTCGGATGCCATCATTTGGGCCTGTCATATGGTGAAAACACTTCATACGAACAACTGGGAGACTGCGAAAACACATCTGGGTCGGTGTACCTTTCGTGCAGACCATTGGCCGGGCTTACCACCTTTATCACTGTGGTGGACTGCCTTTTTGATTCCATCGCGGAGCTTGGGGTCACTATACTTGTCCTCGGGGGCCATTTGGGCGGTTAGGGAATTCAGAGGGAAGCATTGAGAAGTGTGAAGAATGGAAAGGCAAGAAATGAACTAACCGGTCAAAGCTGTTCATCGAAGACCTGACAATCGTGCTGTCATTGGGTGACATCATACCAGAAAGTGAAGTTGGTTGAATCAACCTGATCGAGCAGACTCAGTCCAGTTCTGCGGCTCAAAATTAACCTTAAATTCTTCCTGAAAAATCGGGGCGTATTCTATGAGAGGACAGGTTGTCGTGGCTATTTGCGATGCTGACCAGATAACCTAGTGACCCTCTATAGGCCCCTTGAACCACCTTGGTACCTGCCTAGGGGATTAACTCAACCTGACTCGCTTAGCTCTTGAAACACAGATGCAAATCACGACTTGGTTGAAAACTTTTGCTCCTAATATTCAATTTGGAATTTCTGGGTAATGCGATATCGTCTCCAAGACCCTAGAGACTACTGTCGAATAGAGGAACATGCATACTGGAGATTGAAACACTGGAATAAATGTATCGTGAGTAGGAATCTCCATGCAACGCTGTATTTAGGAAACACCCCACTAACCGAGGGACATAAGCGTAATAAATTCATGGCAAGAATGGTACCATTTCATAAATATTCAAATCCATCATGACATCTTGGCACGTAGGTGCAGATCCGGTCCTTGCACAAACTCTAGACCGGTATCAATATCACCGCCCAACGCAAATTTCATATCCTTCATATAGAAATCACGCGGTTTCCAGGGACCGCGATCAGCAGCCCTAGGCAAGGCGTGTTCGGCAGTAGCGACATAGGTCGATTTAAGATTCAACAGGCGACGATCCTGAAGAGTAGCTGCCTCTTTCTCCCTCAAGCGGGGGACGGCAGCAATCAATTTCTGTGACTCAAGTTTCTTCAATAAACGGCAGACAAATTGCGCTGTAGCATCTGCACCTAGCGTCCACGACGCATTGGTATACCCAATGACGAAGGCTGCATTAGGCAGATCCTGAAGCATGACTCCGTTCCACATATACTTGTCACCTGCGTCGATCTTCTTCCCGTCAACTGACAGTGCAGCGCCACCCGCGATCTGCAACTTCAGTCCAGTAGCAGTGATAATGATATCAGCTTCCAGCTGGTCGCCAGAATTCAAGATAAGCCCATTCTTCGTAACCTGGCGGATCGTGTCGGTCTTCACGTCGCCTTTGCCCTGTCGGAGACAGCGGAAGAAATCGCCATCGGGACAGACACATAACCGCTGGTCCCAAGGATTGTACCTAGGCTTGAAGTGTGGGTCATATGGAATATGACTGGGCAACTGGTTGCGCAGAGTCAACTTGAGCAGCCAACGGGAGAAATTCGGGAAACGCTGGCAGAAGAGGAAGATCATGCGCGTGCTGTAGACCCAAATCAGGAGTTGCAGCTTATCATACAGCGCCTTGGGCAGGATATAGGAGAGCCAGTAGGTGCTTGTATGATTGGGAACGGAGGCGATGTAGGTAGGGCTGCGCTGTAGCATTGTGACACGGGTGGCATCCTGAGCGAGAGTGGGAAGGAGAGTGACAGCTGTAGCGCCGGAGCCGATGATGACGATCTTTTTATTCTTATATTGGAGATCTTCAGGCCAGAGCTGCGGATGCACGATCTGGCCCTGGAAGTTCTCCAGACCGGGGATGTCGGCCTTCAGGGGTTCCTCGTAGTTGTAGTAGCCCGTCCCAAAGATGACGTAGCGGGCGGTGAAGGTCTGGTCGGTGCCGTTGGAGTTGACAGCCAGCGACCAGGCGTTGTCGTCGGAGGACCAGTCCGCCAATGACAGACGGTGATTGTAGAGAATATGTTGGTCGATGCCATATTTGGCCGCTGTCTCACGCATGTACTCTTTGATGGCGCCGCCCTCGGCAATCGGGTTCGCGCGAGACCAGGGATTAAACTGGAAGCCGAAGGTGAAGAGATCGGAATCAGAGCGGATTCCCGGATACTTGAAAAGATCCCAGGTACCACCTAAGTCGTCGCGGGCCTCGAGAATGGTATAGCTGTAACCAGGGAGTTGGTCCTGGATGCGGTACGCGGCGTTGATGCCGGAGATGCCTGCGCCGATGATAATGACATCGAAGCGAGTCTGCTTAGTTCCGTTCATGGTGACTGTTCGAGGCAACAGATGTCTACAGCATCGGCAAGGTCATATATAAAAAGTGAGTTCACGTGCCTCGGTTTCACAGCCTGTTGCTTTGGGGGCTTGGGGATCGGCGGGGGGGCTCCGATCCAAGACGCTTGGGGTAAACAGTACGCACGGAGCAAAGGTGCAGCTTGATCTCTCGAGATGCGGGGAAGTGATTTGCTCCTGGATTTCGTATAGTTGCACGTGCATCTCGGGTACTCCGTATACATCATGCAATCATGGAGGCAGGGAGGCAGGGAGGCATGGCAGAATCAAGTCAGATGATATCTTAACCACATATATGGAGGTATTTTGTACTCCATGGGTCATACAAATCGACAAATCCGATCAATCCCGTTTGTTCAATGTTATTTCCGATCGAATGTATGGAGTATAGCATCGTAAGAAGTAAAGATGTGACGGTCGAGCCAACTGGGGGAAAGAGTCCCCACCGCCAACCTCTCCACTCGCAACCTCGGCCCCAACCCGTCCATCCTAAGCCCAACCCGGGAAGCCTTGCGAGCTTCCCTCGTCGCCGAGAGGGACTCTGATAAGAGAATCCAATGGCCTCGCACAATAGTGGACAAATACCGGTATACACACCATGTCGCTATCCAAAGCAGAGCTCTCTCTGCAGGAGAAGCTGGACCTACTGCCAGCAGTGGCCTCTATCATCGCAGCGGCCTTCTATGCTCTCCTGACTGGGATTCGGCGCACCGAACGCCAAGCAACAACTCTATCCCTGCATACGGGATATGCACTGTTCCGTCAGGCCACCGCGCGTCTGAGCCCAAGTCAGATGCAGTACATCTTGCCATCATCCCACAAGATCTATGAATTGTACCTGAAGAAAACGGGCGGACGGCCTGAATCGGTCGAATTGGGCGATGGTGCTCTGGGGCACTGGCTGGGTGATCGCAATGCCGACAATGTGCTAATCTGGTTCCACGGTACGCACCTCTCATCCAATCTAGGTCGTTGCCAAATAATACTCACAATTTGCTTCCAGGAGGTGGTTTCGGGCTGCCCGCCCACATGGGCTACTGGAAGTTCTATGCGCAACTAGTGCGCGACCTCAAAGCATCCGGGAAAAGTGTGGCGGTCTTTGGCATCACGTATACATTGGCGCCGATCGCTACCTACCCGACACAACTTCGACAGGCAGTGAGCTCCGTGCGGTATATCCTGTCGCAACCAAACCGCGACCCGGCATCGATCTTCCTCGGTGGTGACTCGGCAGGCGGGAACCTCGTTGGCGGGGTACTGTCACACCTAGCACATCCACACCCGGAGATCAAACCACTCCTGCTTAGTGCAAATCTCGGCGGCGCGGTGATGATTGCACCGTGGACACTACTAGACACGACATTTCCGGGGATGGAAGTCTACCATGGCGGCGATATTATCACGACGGCGGTGGCAGGGCCGTGGGCGACAGCGTACATCGGTCCGAGCAAACGAGACTATTACACGGATCTGTCGAATGCGCCGATGGGTTGGTTCACGAAGTTCCCGGTGAACTCGATGCTGATCACGGCCGGTGGGAATGAGATCATGTTGCCTCTGATCCAGGACTTTGCGACGAAGGTGAAGGCAGGGTTTGAGAATGTGGAGCTGTTTATTGGGCATCGCGAGTGTCATGTTGCGCCGTTCTCCAATATGGAGCTTGGGGATGCGACGAAGACGGAGCAAGGGAAGCGGATTGAGACTTATTTAGGAGAGACGATGGTTTAGATGGCACGGTAAGGTGTGATCGGGTTATATTTGAGTCCATGGCCTGGAATGTTACATCTGACGTTGGCATTGTCTTGTGTAATCTATCTTATTCTCATGTCGAATTAAAGAATCATCATAGATGCAGTATATCAGGTAAATATCATCTCTGGGGGCGTCCTTCAGGTTTCACACAGGGTAATTAAGGTGCAGGTAGTATGGCACACAGGTAAACTGCGGTTTGGAGATCAGATGTGAGGCCTATCGACTTTGTCTATCTCTTAAGGCAACGCTTTGAGAATTGCATGGACCAGCCTGTTATATTTATTTGACACAATGACATATTTACATCCGAATTAGGTATGATTCACAGAGTAACTGCATTTCCATCGATTCCCCACAGAGCCAATAATTACTGCGCCTTCGCTTTCCCCTGGTCTGCCACGCGCAACTTCAGCAAGTTACCGGAAGAAATAGAGCGCACATGCTCTTGTATCCAGATTGGCAATGCGCGCACTGCACTAACAGCCGAATGGCTGCCAGGCAGGACAATCTGGCCACTGGTCTGGGTGAGGATTTGTTTGCAGATAGCATCTGAAACAACCTGGGGGGTCATGATAGGTTGGTTGAAGTCTTTCTCGTTGCCGGTGAGCATCTCGATGAGGGGGAGTTCGCACCCACAGGGGGTGAATCACACTAAAACAAAAATCAGTCGATATACCCAGAGATCCGATTCGAGGCCGTCTTACCTAGTGCGCACATTAGGTGCCTTATACCAGTGGCGTAATTCCTGGCGCAATCCCTCGTGGAAAGCAAGCGCGCTCACCTTTGAGCAGCAATAATCCACCATCTCGCCTAGTGCAACAAAGCTCGCCATACTAGCAACCGTCACGACATGTCCATGGTTCGCCTTGACCATTGCAGGCAAGAACTCTTTCACCATCAGGAAATGCGAGAGAGTGTTCACCTCAAAGGTCTGCCGGATCTTGGCCTCCGGCTCATCGAGGATAGTCCCCTCGTAACCGACACCGGCGTTATTAATCAACACCGTGGGCTCACCATGCTTCGCGCGGATGATCTTTGCAACATTGGCAATATCCGCAGAGGAAGTGATGTTTGCCTTGTAGAAGGCGACATTGGCGGGCAACTGGAAGTCTGGCTCATTGATATCGAGAATCACGACACGCACACCGGTGCGCGCCAAGTCCTCCATGACCTGCTTGCCGATTCCACTACAGCCCCCTGTGAGCAAGATCAGCTCGCGGGCGGCGACCCAAGGCTGGTTCGATGTCCAATTCTGAAGGGACCATTTTGAAAATAGGTTATTTGTGGCGCGGAGGAGACCCAATGCTGCGAGCACACCCAAGGTCTTTTGGGCTCTCGAATTACGAAGGAGAAGTTGGGCCGGCTCCGGGAGGCTAACAAGCGCCTTTTGTGTATATTGCGCGATAAGATCGAGCGCGGACATGATTGTTGTTCGAGGGAGAGACTGTGAAAGTGAGATTGTTTCGGAGGGTAAATGATGTAAAATCAGGATATACACAGTCGGATATAAAATGCATCCCCACTCAGCCTCGGCTTCACAGCATTCAAAGACTTTCCCCCCCTCACCGTTTAGACAAATTGAACATTCCCGACTGGGATCGTCTGTTGATCGGCGCAGCTGCTTCAGTTTCACATGTTTCTTGGCATCCCCACATTGTTCCATATTGTTCCACGTTTTAGCTCGTCCCAGCCCATGGAATTTGGAACTATACCATGGATATTGCTGCGGATTCATCCATGGAACCTTGGAACGAAACCTTGGAACTAAAAACCTTGGAACTTTGGATGAACTGACCTCGGGAGTGACCCCACCCGGAGCTTGCCCGCTATTCCAATGCAGTTAGTCGTATGATGTACCTAAGTACATATGTAACTACATGTACCTACATCCAGGTACATCGCATCCTCCGGAGATACGGAGGACAAGGTACCAGGATATTTTGAATGGGCAGGTCCTGCAGAATATCACCACCTGATCACCCCTTCTCTCAACATGGCGCTAATACTAAATCATGAATCTTGGCAGTTGTCACCGTTTCTTGGGTCCATGTTTGGAAATCTGAAGGCATTAGAGCCGAGGTCTCGCATTGGTCACCGCAATAGGGATGTCGATCTTTGTGGGGGTCAATGCCAGGCACCGCTAGGCGGACACAATGGATCATCACCCAAATTATATGACGCCGGTCTTCATTCCTAAGCCTGGAGGATTGCATATCTACAACATTTCACACATTTGCCAACAGCATGGCCCTCGGGGACAGTCTACCGGCAATAGGAGCCTTCTCCCTGGTGGAGGCGTATTTCCTCCAACGCGTTGTCTTTGAAGACAAGACCTTTCAAACAATCTGTCTAGGCTCACTGGGAGTGAATTTCTCCCTGTTGGCCATATACAGTATGGTGCTATGGCCATACCTGCTGAATCCATTGAGACATCTGCCAAAAGTCCAGGTAGGGAGACAACCGCTTACCAAGACGCAGTGGTACTGATCTCGTTGCAGGGTTCGCACGGGCAACTCCTCCTTGATTCACCGAAGGGGGCTAAGCCTCTTATCTGGATGAAAACGATTCCGAATGAAGGCCTTCTTCACCTGCGTGGCATGTTCAATCAGAGCTATGTATTGCCGACCAACCACCAAGCTCTGTTAGATATTATGAGCACGAATACATATGATTTTGAGAAGCCGTGGCGGGCGCGCCACTTTCTCGCCCGCATCTTGGGCTTCGGGATGGTTACCTCCGAAGGGGCGGCGCACAAGAAGCAGCGCAAGGCACTCACACCCGCATTTAATATTAAGAATATCCGCTCGATGTATTCACTCATGTGGAGCAAGACAGGCCAGTTATTGGATGAACTGGAGAAAGAGATCAAGACTCGCCCCATCGGAGGAACGATTTCGGAGGATGAGGTTGGCGAGATTGAAATAGGTGAATGGGCGAGGTACGTCTTTTTAAAACGTGGTTGGCCTTGGACACGTGCTCACAATCCAACAGTCGCCTCACGCTCGATATAATCGGACCGATAGCAGTGGGCCGTGACTTCGGCTCGCTGCAGAATAAGGAAAATAAGATAGCAGAGAGCTTCTCTAGAATCCTCGAACCAACCAGAGAGAAGGCGGCGTTCCTAGTGATGAACATCACGCTGCCGCAGTGGATTGCGAGGCGGGTGCCGTGGCGGATTAATACCATGCTTGACACCGAGACAGCCTACCTGCGCAGTGCATGCAATGAGATCGTACACGAGAAGCGGGACAACCTGGCTAAATCCAAGGTCTCGGCTCAGGATCTCGAAGCTGATATCTTGGGGACAATGATGCTTGGGGGTGACTTTTCAGATACCGAGTTGGTTGATCAGATGCTGACCTTTTTGGCTGCTGGTGTGAGTATTGCCCTGTGAATATAACCTTGAAGTATCCGACCTGCCTCTAACTATTCGACAGCACGAAACCACCGCCAGCGCCCTGACCTGGGCCTGCTATCTGCTTCACCTGCACCCAGAGTATCAAACCAGGCTCCGAGAAGAAATTCGCGCCAGCATCCCATCTGGCGACAGCCCAATCACGTACCAAGATCTCGAACACCTCCCATTATTAAACGGGGTCTGTCAAGAAGTGCTTCGACTGTATCCTACAGTACCCATGACCATCCGGGAAGCGGTACGCGGTACAGTGGTAGCAGGTAAGTTCATCCCAAAGGGCACACGAGTCGTGATATGCCCATGGGCAATCAATCGCAGTTCGCTATTCTGGGGCGACAATGGGGAGGAGTTTCTACCAGAGCGGTGGATCGACACGGATAAACGTGGGCACAGTGTTCCAAACAATAACGGCGGGGCTTCCACAAACTACGCGCAGATTACATTCCTGCACGGGCAGCGGTCTTGTATTGGGAAGGATTTTGCGCGTGCCGAGCTGCGATGTGCGCTTGCTGGCGTTGTGGGGCGGTTCTCGTTTGAGATGCAAGATCCCACGCAGGAGATTCATGTTTCTGGGGCTGTGACTATCAAGCCTTTGGAGGGAATGCATCTGAGAATACGGAGGGTCGGGGGGTGGTAGGTCGCAGTTCAGCATTTGATCTGCAGTTCATGAACACGATGGAATTGTCAATAGCCTTGACTGCCCTAAGAAGGAGTCGAATCCTATCAGAACAATCAGTTGTGGCCTGTATAGAACCTAACATTGCTGGGAGGGAAGATTCTGCATAGAGTCACAAGTGAGATAACCTAGTAAGTATAAAGTATAAGAACCTAGAGAATGAAAGCACTCCTATAGTCTGTTGGTCTTTGGTAGGGATATAAGACATAGCAAAGAGGTTTGGTGTTTTGAAGCATTCGAGCATGTTGAGGTAGTGCTTGGATAGGTTCAAGGACTCACGCGTACAGATTTAAGTGTGATCATTCAGATCATAAGTATATTCAGTGTGAGAATACTGAGGGCGCACAATCCAGGATTGAGGCTGATAAAGCAGCATGACGAGGAGCGAAGAGGATAAGTAAGAAGCAGATGCATCAGGAGGGAGATGTTGATGTCGAGGTGAGTGAAGAAGTGAAGAAGTGAGGATAAATACAAGAATGTGGACTGAAATCAGTAATCCTGGGAAGTTAGCCTAGTGTGTTTAGGTCCGGACGAATGTCTGTGCAATGAAGACCATAAACGAATGACTTTAAATGCGACGATTGCCTGTGAGACGCGACCATAAGGAGCATCCCAGTCAGGGGTGCGATTCCCCGATACTTCTTTTTTTTCTTTTCGCCTTTGCCATTCTTCTCCTCCCATCAGTTCTATATAAACGTATGCGGTGGCCCGGTCGTATACCCCTTTTCCCCGACCCCACAAGCGTGAACTATTGTTGAATAGCTTCAGCCGGGACCTCTGTATCTGAATGAGGTATCTAACAGCCATGTAGTCAATCCTGTGAGTTTGCGGTGTCCCGCTTTACAATGGTAGGGGTACATTGAGACAATGATCTTAGGATGATAGTCTACATGTAACTTCAATAACTGTCAATCATGTCGAGAGCTTTAAAGCTGTGCTTTACTACATATCCATATATCTTTGTACCAATAGCAACAGTACGAAGGCACAACCTGTTGGATCAATGAATATGGTGGACCCATATGAAGCCCAAGCAGGGCAGCATCTCCTAGATTGGAAGAAACAGCCACCTTGGTATGACTTTCTTTATATGACAAGCAATTATTATCACCTGGCCGTCTCAGTCAACGCCAGGTAGCGCCTCGCCACTGCAAGAAGATGGTCGGAATCACACTGACTCCAACCATAAGAGCAACGGCGATGCCAGCTCCACCGGCCCACCCAACAACCTCGAACATCTCGGGGAACCTGCAGGAGTGAGTAATTGCAAAGATCCAGACAGAAAATAAACCACATACCAGAATGGCCCCATGAATCCCCAGATCTGACGAACAAAGGTAATGAAAACCCCCACACTGGCGGCATCCGCACGGTAGCAATCAACCGCATAGGTAATGTCAACAGTCGTTACAATCTGGTTACCACCTGCCGCAATAGCCGACCCAATGACTGGGGTAATATCCCAGGTACCTCCAGAGTCCCGCAGCCGAATGGCAAAGACCACAAGACCACAGATAGTCAATGCATGGCCAATGTAGCTGAGCCACAGACGGAATTCTGGCGGCGAGGGCTCTCCGGTGCATTTCTGGCGCATGATCATCCACCGATCGGAGATAAACCCACCGATCTGTTCACCGATCACAGACCCGACAATCACACCGAGGAATTGCAGACCAACCTGCTGGGTGTTCAAGCCGAAATCGGCAGGGTAGATCCGCGAAATCTCGATGGTGAGGGCGATACTGCCCCAAAGGAAGATCATTGCGTAGGCAGCTGCCGGAATGGTCACACAGGGCTTCATCACGTAGCTCAAGGGCTGGAAAAAGTCCCAGAGTTTGAGCGGTGCTGGATCAATGCGGCCAAAGTCGAATAAGCCCTGCTTAGTGGCAGTGACGTGGTTCGAGGGAACATCATCGCGCATGTAGAGGGATTCCGAGCCGAAGAAAAAATAGAGGATAAGCTGGATTCCGTTGACCTATTAACAGCACACGGTTAGTCGAGATCTCACTCTTAGGTGCAAGGTTGCAAACAAAAAGGAAGGTCAGGAAAAGACTCACGATTGCAAGGATATAGTAGATCCACCGATATCCCACACGCAAAGCAACAAACCCGAAGATGAACGGAGCAGCAGGTACTCCCAAAGTGACCATCAGCGTCCATCCACCCATACAGCTAGCCCGATCTTTCCGGAAGAACGTCTCCGCAACCACCGCACTACCAATAGCGGCAGCAGGGCTGATGAAGAAGGCAGTGATCGCACGGCAGAGACCCATGGTAGCATAGGATGGGCTATTCGCACACCCAACGTTCCCAATCAAACTGCAAATCAACGAGATCAGGAAGATCGGGCGGCGACCGAATCGGTTACATAGTGGACGCCAGATGAGAGGGGCACCCCCCAGAACGGCAATAAATAGGGAGACTAGATAGCTGGTACGCTGCATACTGATGTCCAGATCCTCGGAGATATTTTCGAATGCCGACTGGATAGACGAGGCAGTAAAAGTGCCCATCATGGCGTGGAAAGCGACCAGGGTCAGGTTCACATTTTTCTACATTGAAACAGAATATCAGAAACGTGGTCCGGGGAGGAATTGGTCAATTGAGGTTGTACTCACTCTCCATCGCGGCCAATTGTATGGATCCGCATCGGTCATGTCAGGGATGGGATCCAAATCCAACGTGCCATGACGTGCAAGAAGATACTGGCGATGTTCCTCGGACAAATGAGCGACCTTGTCTTCGACATAAAAGTCAGAGTGCTTTCCGGACTCGATCCCTTGTTTGGAAAGTCCTTCGATGTGCTCGTGTTGACTGTTCATTTTCTCCATGTTGAACCAAGCACGCAATGATCAGTGGTGTTCAAAGATCACCGACAGAAGGAAAAAAGAAAGAAAAGAAGCAAGTCTGCCACAGTGTTCTTATAGCGGAGACCCCGTCAAATCCTCATCCCGTTCGTTCCCCGTGCTCCGCCTTTTCCGGGGCATCTGGGGGTGGGGATATAGGACCCTGGGGAGGCATGTTTCCCCAGACTGGCAGCGAAGTAGACCCGGGGGTCTGCACGTTGAACACTGGATTCTGATGGCGGCAAGTCCCAGCTGATCGCGTTGGTACGTTCTGGACCAAAGAGTCAAAGACAGCCTGCGGGGATAGTCTCAGCCGAATCACTCAGCGATGAAGGGGGGATAGAGGAGACATCCTGACATTCTGACATCCTGGTATCAGGGTCTGATTGCCCAGGATAGAATAGGATCCGATCGAGGATGATGGCTGGGTTTTGAAGTCCTCTCTGTTGGTGTGTGTCGGAAGACCGGGAGAGAACATCTATTTTCTCTCGGGGAAGAGAGCTGGGCGTTGCTTGTTCCGTTTTAATTGGCTGGCAGGTTCAGATGGAGAAGTTGAGTTCGGTGGCTCTCCACATTTGCTGTTTGGCTGCTTGGCTTTTCAGCTGCTGGGCTGTTGGGCTGTTGGACCGGGCTCCGTCGCGTTCAGGGCCAAGGGACACACATTGTTCACAGCTGCTTGGGATTGGCGAAGATATTGGTTCTGACCAATTCACGGCCTTCAATAAGCAGAATATCGACATACGAAGGGGAATAGGAAGGAAAACATCAAGGAGTCCCGAGAGATCCCCACAGAGGAGCCAGTCACTGTGGGCCGAGCTGGGGGTTTTGCGCCTCGGGGAATAACCTCGGAGTACACTGCCTACTGCGGCCATTTGAACGATTATCCTTTGCAAATGATTTGTTCACATTGAGAGTACGCAGTCGTACTTTGGATTCTATCTATGCCCCTTACAGCGGATGTCGCCGACCCTTCAAGCCGAGCTGGACTGACAATCCACCCCAATGTCTCCGGTGATTCCATCGCAGATCACGGTCGGGGGACTACCAGCAGGGCTGCTAATGTCGATATCGGCCAGTTCAATACCGGAGCACACGGCATTGGGAGAGCAGGTCAGGTCGGCAATCACCTTGCCATTCTTGCCCGACGAAGTGCCATAGATGTTCTCGAACTTGATGTTGGTGAAGTTGACAGAGGAGGGATACTCGGTACAAGTGGTGGAGTTGATGTTGAAATAGCATTGATCCAACACGATCGGCGCATCGGTATTCTCAATGCGGATGTTCTTGTAGGTGATGTTGTTGATGCGACCGAAGCCGACGTTGGGTCCAGCCCACGCCTTGAGCCGGGCGCCGTTCTTGATTTCGGATTAGTATCGAGTGCCTCAAAGAGAACCGGGATGGGGTGAGAGATGTTCTCTTACCTGGCCGTTCAACAAAGTCACATTCTCGATCCAGGCATTCTCAATGATGTCCTCAACTCCGGGGTACTGTCCAATACTGCCCATACTGACACCATGGGTGTTGTTGCACCACAGATTCTGCACGAAGATGTTGGTAGTGTTAGGCTTCGGGGAGAAGCAGTCATCCCCAATATCGATCCGAGTGTTAGTCACACTCAGGCCGTCCACATTCAGGGAGTCAAAGCCATCGGTGTTCTTGGGCAAGGCCTACAAACGGAGGGTTAGACTCAGAGAATCGGATATCAGAACTATGACTTACAGAGGCGTTGGTCGAAAAAGCATTGATGAATACATCGTCAAAAGAGACATCCTTGGAGCGCACGAAGAAGTTGGTCCAGCAGGGCGAGTTGAGCTGGGTGATCCCCTCGACGGACACTCGAGTAGCGTTGTCAGTCATGAACAGAATGGGTCGATAGAAGGTATTGTCCGAGTCCTGGATCATGCGTCAGCGTCGGTCATCCTCATCCGGTTGTCAAGATGATCCTTACCAGAATTTCCCGGCCAGCAAACCCATTGTACCACTCCTGGCCATTACCATTGAGAGTTCCCTTGCCGAAGATCTTGATATCCTTGCCACCCCAGACCCAGAACGTGATAGACTTCTGGAAACTGTAGTAGAAGTGGTTTGCTTGCCAGTAGTCGATGTCATCGGTGAACTGTGTCTGTCAGAGAAGCTCAAGCGGGGAGTAGTAGTATAGGATACCTTCAATTCACCCTCAAGCTGCACCTCAATATTATTCAAGAAGGTGAGGTCTAGCTTCTTTCCAATAACATACTTCTTCCCCTTTTGCAGAAGAAGTCTGCCACCGTGATTGGCAGCTTTGATACCCCAGAGGAAATCATCGGAGATATCGTCCGTGTCACTCCTAGACGACCGAATGGTCACTGTCCGGCGATCCGGGTGCTTGTGATGTCCATGTGCACCGATCTTCTGCAACCCGGACTTGTCCTTGGCCTGGATGATGCTAGCACCCTGGATAATATGCTCCGTTGCAACAGCGCCCACCGTGCTGAGCAGAAGCGCACCAATAGCGAGAAACTTCATTTTAGGCAAGTCAACAAGGGTCGATTGATTGTACAGTTGCTCTTTTCCAGATTCAAGAATTGAGACCGGCACTGCTGCTCATTTATAAAAACATCCTGGAATATCGGGCCCTCAAAATACAGCTCATCGTCAGCCCCCTGTTGTGTCTTTCCCCAGACTGGCACGGTCCGGGGAACTGCACGACGGGCAGAGGAGACAGATTTCTCCGCCTGTCAAAGCGAGCAATTCCCATCTTGTCAGACTCGGATGGTCGGCAGAGCCTACGGAATGAGTGCAGTAATGGAGCGGGTTAGCCGCGTTGTGGATCACAACTGTGTAGATGGAACCATTTCTCCGCTTCTTGCCAAGGTCCTGTACAAGCGGGGATGCGGAGAGACTTTTGTCAGAATGGGCTGAGGCCCTGTGTAATTGGTCTCATTCCAACCTGAAGAGCCCCGTCGCCATGGCCGGAACTGATTGTCCCGTCTGGGGAGGGAGGATGGCGTTCTTCCACCAATCAGCGGAGCAGTGCATCCTCCCTCAACTTCATGTCGAAATTGGTTTCTTTTTCAGTTTAGGAATTCTGAGATTGACGGGTTATTCTTTTGCATTGAAAGCCGGATGAAAGTAGCTCTCGACCGTGTGGCAGGGGGCAATCCGCCTCCGCTTGTCCACGAGTCTTGCATCTACCATGGAGCGTTCCAGCTGGGAAATTCTTCCTTGTCGATGGTATCAGTCTATTTGGAAGCTCTCTTCTCTCCTTTTCACAAAAACACTGTTGCTTTCCAGTGAAGCGTTACCGGTAATAAGCACTTCTGCACTCCTCCCATGTCTCTACATTGCACATCAGACATGGATCATAGGAAATAGAGTAATGGTGACATTATCCCTTTATAATCTCTGGTGTAATGTACATGTAGGCGACGCCAATCACTCTTCTGGTCGGTCGTGCTCAATCTCATGGAGCTGCTCCGTAGCTCTACGGTGACCCTCTTCACTGACCCGCGGGTTGCGTTGAGCGCTACTATCGTGAGTATGGACACATCAGATGGATGGGTTTCTTGGTTTCTGGACTCACGCTTTCAATCCAGCTGCCATTCGGACAGGATTTTTTGGCCTTCCTTGGGCACGGTAGAGCTCCTGTCGGGCCTCTTCATCGTTCATCCCTTCGTACATATTCCGCGCATGTTCCTTTCCTTCTTCCGAGACAAGTGGATTATGGATAGCCCTGTTTATGTATCAGCCATCACACGTATACCCCATTATTCCCTGGTATTCAGAGAGCACATACGCTCTGTATCCACGAGCCGCATTTACCCGGTCCTGGGGGGAGCTTGGGATCTGGCTTTCCATGTCCTCGGAGGTGCTTCTTTCGCGGTGATAAGGCACATGTTGCTGGGGGGCTTCTTGCTCAAGCTGCTGGCGGGCTTCTTGCTCATTGATTTCGGGCAGCGCCTCTCGTGCGTGTTGCTTTGCCTCATCCGAGACGCGTGGATTGTTTAAGGCCCTGAAGAAAAACTCATCAGTCGTAATTCTTGTAGACACCTCAATCTATATTTACGCTTTGTAACCACGGGCGGAGTTGATTCTTTCCTGGAGAGTAAGATTGACCTTGTTGGAAGACATAGTGCAAACTCTTACTTGTGTAGCTGTTGTTGGAACCCTTCTTTCTTGTTAGATAAAAAGAGAGAATTGTTCACTCGGGGCTGATATATGCTTTGACTTCATAATGGGGCGAAGGTGGTGATCTCACTATGCGCATAGTGGAATACACATTTCAGGATGACCGATATCATCCAGATGCAATCCCACCTCGTTATACACAAGTTATCAGTTGCCACACAGAGTGGACAGACAGCGATTGAGCAGTTCGTAGTGATGTCTGGCGAGACTTGTATGAAGTAGATGCAGAGTCATCGAAAGTGTGGTCCGCCACCGGGACATCAGCAAATCGTCACAACTACGCCCCATGTGCTGCCCATTGATCATAGCCGTGTTGTTGTTCGATGGAAGATACGATTCATAGATACATTCCAAAGTATTATTTATCGAGCACACTATCCAAAACCGAAGACATAGTGGTGCAAAAAAAGACTTTGTCGACTTTACAGCTTCTTGCTGGCCTGTACCAGCCCATAGATGCAGCTGATGTTCCCGGACCACCACGCCACTGAGCGCAGGTAACTCCACGAGCGGGACTCGACATGGGAGTACAGCAGACTATATGCGAGACGTGAAGCGGAATACCATGCACCAATAGTGTTGATCGTCTCATTGGGGAGACCGGCGTACAGAGAAACGAGGACTGCATCATATGGGTTAGTACTTCGTACAGTGCGGCAAACTCGAACTCGAAGTTGCCAACTCGAGTCAGAAAAGGAATCTGCACATACTCGCCGCAACAAACAAAGGATATCCCTCCTGCGCGTTGGCGTGTGCGGACTCTTGTCGCTTCAACTTCTCCAGGGCGCGACGACTGATTTTGCCCGACTGTACAGCGGCTTCGCCGTACTTAGTCAAGTCCTCCCGCGGGTGGACATTGTTATCCAGACCCAGGCGCATCTTCGTGCCACGAGTGCTCATTAAGCAAAAAGCGAACACCCAATTTGCCACCAGGAATCCTGAAGCATGGTTGGCTGGCACCTGGCCAGGGGCAGCGCGCAGGCCGAGGGTTGTCAGAAGGGCACTGGAGTGATCAGTCTGGGTCGGTCTGGTAGGTCGTCACTAAACTCACGACATTTGGAAATAATGATGCTGTAGGATGCACGTTCAAGAATGGAGGAGTCGCTGTTTCCCGCGGATCTCTTTTTGTGAGCGATTCGGGGGCATGTGGATTTCCCTCAACACCGAGAGCCCGAGAAATGAGATCATGCCGATCGGTCGTTCAGTCGTTGCCTTTGGGGTTTTCTCTTTGATCGTCGAATCGTGGGTTTCATTGTTTCAGCCGTAGCCATAATCCAGGACTTGGATGAGATGTCCGCTCATTTTCGTGTTCGGTGATAATCTTGGTGTTCACTGTTCACATCCTCTGAACATCAGTTACCCACGTCTCTGCACTTGCGTTTCCTCCTCGTCGTTCGTCCTTTTTGGCTGATGTAGCCATAGCCAGCAACTCCATACATCAACTAGCATCATTGGTCTAGTGGTAGAATTCGTCGTTGCCATCGACGAGGCCCGTGTTCGATTCACGGATGATGCACAGTTTCTTTTTTTGCACCTCCACATTTTGTGAATATGGATCCCAGGGGCAAGTCGTCAATCTCTCAATCCATCTTTTTTTGTCGCTGAACATTGACTCTGTTCTGATGCTGGAAGTTCAACAAGAGCAGAATAGCACACGCTGCATGCTACAACCAGATAGCCCACCATCTTGCCATCGATGGGTCCATATACCGTACAATACCTTCAAATTTGATTCCTCTGTGCATACGGAGTAGGTAGAAATTATATCTGTGAGTGAAGATATCGTATAGATCCTCATCGCATGTACGGAGTAGACGCGTCCCCCGTTCCTGTCGAGTCATTTAGAGTTGAGGCGCAAGAAATCTGGGGCTGTGATTGGCTGTCCATTGATTAGGATCCGCTGGTTTTTGTTCTATACTAATCCTCTTTGGGTAGCTAACGCAGCCAATCAACGGCTGCGTCCGTCACCGCTTTGATGAAGCTGGCGGTGCACACTGTACTATAGGGCCGATGCCGATGCGATAGTCCATTTGGAGTAGCGAATATTCTCAAAACAGAATAGGATGCCCCATACACAGAAGACTTGTCTTGTTTGATAAATCCCCCAATCACCACTCTTTCTGATGGGCATCCGGGTGATGGCAAAAGGGGGGCCAGACTACGGTCGTTCTCTCGAGTCTCACATTATATAAAGCCTGTGAACGTCATCCTCGTAGGATTCTAGCTGTCTCTAATATATCAAGCGCGAAAAAATATATATAGCTAGGTATCCATTTTATGATGATTCCAGTTCCCAGTGTCGCATCTCAAACTAAATTTCTCGTAGGAAAACTCCGCTTCAGTTCGGGCGACGACGCTTTCGTTGAGACTTGTTCTACCGAGCCGGTATAGCTAGTTTCTTCACTAGGACATAGCACAATCGTGTCTGTTTGATCCCGATGCAGATCACTATGAGCTGAACGGGATTGCCGGTTTGAGACATAAGAGAAGCGGTTGTTCAATATTATAGAATGACCGGTGCGATCGACCACACTGTTATTGGGAATGGGTTCCGTCTCTGAGAGAAGAACGATCTCAACTGGGTGATCGCGGACAATAGGAACTCGGAACCATCTATACAGGCAGCTCAGGACCGGTACCGACAGGCCATGGATGACAATAGAGAAGAAAACAAGCCAATATACCACTGCAGCTAGCAGTCAGTCCAGTTTCGAGTCAATCCGAGAGGGATGTCATACCAGGTATCATGGCAGTAGTCAAGGTATTGATTTCTGCATCACTCTCTCCAGGGTCCGGCAACAATCGTCGAGCATACTCGACATATGAAATGGCACCAATTCCTGAGACTAGTAAGCGCTGCACCTTAATACGAAATAACACCCCCTTCGACTTACCAATCGGAGCAAAGTATCCCATAAACAATGCCTCTTTCCAACTCTCACAGACTTTTGGCATAAATCGATACCCCATCATGATTGCTGGTATACGACGGAATATTAAGATCAAGAATCCGAGCCCAACTAGCCGAGGAATCGTGATCCCGCTCTGGTTAGGCATATGCATTTGGTCCCATGGCATGATAGCACCGAGAAACATAAATGTTCCGATATTCAAGAGGTTTCCAATCGTCGAATTGAATGAGTCGTGTCTCTCTTCAACTTCGAAATGATAGGACCCATCCCAATTTAGGGCACATCCGGCGATAAAGCAGGCGAGGGTCTCGTCGGAGCCAAAACAGCCGCAGGTCCCGACGATGAACAACTGCCCACTGGATTAGCATATATCCGATGATCATGTTGAACCCGACCTACACCCATCGCAAGAGGATATGAGAAAAAGTTTGCCTTGTCAATCCATTGCCTGCATTTCTTATCAGTCTGTATCGTAGTGCCAGATTCATGTGTATCCACATACCTTCTCGAGGCTATGTTCAATGCTTTCCGGCTCAGGAACCCGACTAGCACACCATATCCAGCGCCCATCACTAACATGTACAATACTCCTTCCACAGCCCAATGTGCCAAGGCTCGACCGACAGTCCCCCCAAACCGTCCTATGTCCGGCTCGCCAATCCAGTCTTGACTTTGTTTCGCATGGCCGGCTGTTGCCATCTCCATCCCCGGCGCATCGGCATAGCGAAGAAGGGCGATCGAGAGCAGCAGAAATGGGAACCCGAAACCGTCGTTCCCACCCGCTTCGGCGGAGATGAATTCTCGAAGATGACGTCGGACATATTGATCTGCGAAAGGACCTTTTGCAATAGCCTGCGAGAGAACCGGGTCTATACAGATGACACACGACCCGATTATGAGGGCAGTCAGCTACATGATAGTTAGTCAGACTCTCTATCAGCTTCAGGGGTTGTAGACACACAAAGGATAGCTGAGGGATCATCAATTTAATGCATGCCGAGGTTATCAGCCACTGGATTGTCATCAAAGGCAGCAGGCAGATGGTGAGTTCGAGCAGATGAAGTCTAATATATCGTTTTGGCAGCTCATAGCCTACTTTGATCATTGCAACACCGATCACGAGTCGACTCAAGCCCTGCTCTCGTCAGGTTAACCTCTTTCTCAATGGTGAGCGGACGTACGTAGGCAATATCACCACAGTCGACTTCGATATCTCCTCCCCATTGGCTCACGTCAATGAACTTTGCACAGAAAGGGCCTATGATAGTCCCCACAATGAAGGAGGGTACTAGATATCGTCAGTCATTCTGGTTTATCAATAAGGTCGAAGGACAACATACAGGCTTCACCGAGATACCATCGTTGGTTGATTTTCACAGCGACAACGCCAAAGACCAAGACATGTATTCCTAGGGCAATCTATCAGAAGAGTGACTTGGACAAAGCATGTGGAATTCTCACCGGATAATGCAAGGACAACATTAAAGCTACTCAGATCCAGCGTTGGGTGTAGCATCCTATTCCCGCCGACGATGCACTAAGAGCCCAGTTGATGGATTTCAAGGAACACGGAGTACCTGCTTTCCATTCAGATCTTTCCGATCGCAATCGCAGTGGATTGCTTTGCAAAACAATTGCTACGTGGGAGATAATGTGCAAGACAATGGGGGCTGACAACCGATGTTGTGAACAATGGGGGCTTGAACATGACATGGGTTTCTCCGGAGTACCGTCATATTGATATTACGGAATGCTCCCTTGTCGTCCTTGAGCTGATTCGAGGTCTCTTATCTTGCCAATATGCCACCGCGGCCTTTGCATCTAGTCCGCGGCAAGGGATGTGCTCTGTTACGTGTCATAGATAAGGGGGGAAACCACTTCCAGACATTTCGAGAAAACAAATTGCAAAAGGAAACGTTGCGAGAGTTGGCCGAACTAAAAATCACGAGAAACTGGAATCAAAAGAGGGAAAGGGTGGAATATGCCTGCGACTCCTGAACGATCTCCTGATGAAGCCACAGCCGCCAACCCACTGACGCCCAACCGCTATCAACCCCAATAATACCCTGAAACCTCCCGACAATGCAATACGTATCTGCCTAAGATCCATGCAAAAGCCACTCAAGGATTGAGAGCTGCGCCTCCAATTTCGGCACTCGGTGCCGTTGCGCCGTATCAGCCTGAGAGAAAGGAGAACGGGTGCCCAAATCCAGTCAGGGGTCTGATCGGGGCCAGCAACGCAAAGCAGGTTTTATTTCATCGTGGCGATCCACTGCTTGGGTTTTATGTGCGATGCTACTCCGTACGTATGGGCGATATCCCTCTCACGCCCCTATCCACAATCTAGGGCGTGGAATGCTCGAACTTTGGGGCAAGGGATGACGGGCTTCAATGAATAATAAGGAGCACCAGAACATCCTACGGAGTACTCCCTCTCTCGCTATGTACGGAGTACGGAGTACGGAGTACTCCGTATAGATGGCTGGATTCTAGAAGGCCTTGGCCTGCGTTTGCCAAGAGCGTATGGGGGTCAACTTTGATTCTGAGATATAGATCTAGCCTCAGGTCGGGTTTCAAATGTGTGCCATGATGCTCGTCATGTTGTCCAATCTCGAATCGGAGAAAATAGAACATATCAGCGAACCAGATTCAGCGTGGCCCCTTTCCTTGATCATGATGTCGCGTGTAATTTGTAAATCCCTCACACCACCACGCGATGCCACCTACTATGAGATATTTTTGGTTTCTAGCCCTCGAAGAACGATAGGTATTATTAGAGAGATGGATATAAAACAAAGAGAGTCTTTCGAAGTGATAAATGCACTATTCTTCTTCGTATCTAATCAGCTGCACAATGGGTTCTATAGAGCAATTCTCCGAGCTCGCTGGTGAGACGCACGACTGCTCTTACGTCTATGGCTCCAAATTTGCCGTCGCCGCGATGCCGACGCAGCGGCTGCCAGACAGAGAGATGCCAAAAGATGTGGCCTATCAGATGATCAAAGATGAGCTATCTCTAGACGGTCAACCCATGTTGAAGTGAGTCCTCCGTACATCGGCCTAGTGTCGGAGCCGTCAACTGACATCGTGCTGGATGTAGCCTGGCCAGCTTCGTGACAACATACATGGTATGTCTTGAATCCTCTCTCTGATCTCAGTTTCAACATGAGTAACCCTTTCCTAGGAAGAGGAAGCCCTCAAACTCCTCGTCGAATCATCCAACAAGAATGTCATCGATCACGAAGAATACCCCAGGTCTGTCGAAATCGAACACCGGTGTCTAAACATCCTCGGAGATCTTTTCCACTCCCCTGTCTCGCACGGAGCACCAACCACTATTGGAACATCATGTATTGGCTCTTCCGAGGCTATCATGTTGGCAACCTTGGCGATGAAAAAGCGCTGGCAGATCAACCGCAAAGCGCAAGGGAAAGATGCCTCTAAGCCAAATATCATCATGAGTAGCGGTGTGCAAGTCTGCTGGGAAAAGGCAGCCAACTACTTTGATATCACCGAGAAGCTGGTACCGTGCACCGAGTCTCGATATGTGATCGACCCCGTCCAAGCAGTTGACCTGGTCGATGAGAATACGATCGGAATCTGTGCGATCTTAGGAACAACATACACGGGACAATACGAAGATGTCCAGGCCATCAACAAGCTGCTCGTCCAAAGAGGACTAGATACACCAATCCATGTAGATGCCGCCAGCGGTGGATTCGTGGCCCCCTTCGTCAATCCCGGTCTAGTGTGGGATTTTGCACTCTCCAATGTCGCCTCGATCAATGTCTCGGGCCACAAATACGGACTAGTGAGTACAACATCTAGCATTTACGGGGTCTATAGTCCGTTGCTAACACCCAGCGTAGGTGTATCCGGGCATCGGATGGGCCCTCTGGCGGTCGCCAGATTATCTTCCCAAAGAACTCATCTTCAACATCAACTACCTCGGTGCTGACCAACTCAACTTCACAATGAACTTCTCCAAGCCGGCCTCCCATATCATTGCCCAGTACTACCAGCTAACCCGGCTAGGACGCAGTGGCTACACGGCGGTTATGACCAACCTCACACAGACAGCCGACTACCTCACAAATCAGTTACAACAAATGGGGTTCATAATCATGAGTGATTGCCATGGACATGGCCTACCGGTTGTGGCATTTAGGCTTAGTTCGACACTGAGCGTGTTCTTCGACGAATGGGCGCTGTCCCGGAAACTACGCGAACGAGGGTGGATTGTGCCTGCATACACGATGGCTGCAGACTGCGAGGGGATGGGGATGATGCGGGTGGTGGTGAGAACCGATTTCAGTATGGGACGATGTGAGAACCTGGTGCGAGATATACAAGCTGCATTGGGCAACCTGGCACATCTGGAGATTTGGAATATTCAGCGGTATCAGGCGTGAGTATTCTCTTTTCTGATTCTGTTGAGTCGAGGCTGACATTCCTTCTTTTTCCTAGTTTGGCCCAAAGCCGTTCGATGACCCCGAAGAAGCATTTTGTAGATGAGCCCTCGCAGATGGGCACTCAAGAGATGCTGAAGGAGATAGGCAGGATTTGAGGGCTTTTGGTTGTTTCTTTGGCGTTGAGGATACAGTGCATGCATTCTTTTTGGTTTTTGGCTGTTTTCCTGTTGATTCTTCCTCATTTTTCCTTTCCTCAAGTCATCTAGAGAGATTCCTGTTATTCTGATTACTATTAGGAGCATTCTCCCATCGTTCTTCCCAACATAATCTAGAAGGGGCAGCGGTCATCCCAGCCTTCTAACAATCGGATAGGGAGGAGTATGTGAATGCAGACTTGCTTTAAGCTGCCAGAAGACAATCGACAAAGAGCAAGAAAGAAAGGTATCTATGAACAAGCACATGTTTAAATCTCAACAGCCCATTGTCCCCAACAGCTCTATCTGTAGTGGCCTGCCCTTTGGCTCCCTTGAATTGATATCGGCTCCATATGAAACGAATGAAAGAACCAGGCATTGTGAGATGAAAGCTCCTCGGTTCTCTATGGGCTTTGCCTTTGTCTCTAGTCTATTTCTTGTTCGAATATAGGTCCTCTGTGCGTTGCCGTAAGATAGCATAGTAAACTGCCCAAGCCATCTTTATGGCAGTATGTGTATGACCACATTGGGCGATGAGTATATAAGTAACGAGGGATGCCCTTCTCATCCCTAACCACTACCATATTCAACAAATCCACACAATGGCCGAACCAAGACATATCAGCACGTCCCGAGGCAAGACGATGGCAGAGATGACGCCCGAAGAACAATTTCTCTCGCGTCTGATGGGTGGCTATAAGCCAACCGGAAATAAAACACGCCGACCTTTTCAAGAGCTGGGCATTCAAAATAGCGTGGCCGACCAGGATGGTTTGATGAATGTACTCAGGCAATTATTTTACGACGTCGCCAGCCCATTGAGTGACGACAACAGACGCGGTCTACTCAGGTCCAGCATTCGACGCGACACGATAAGAAGAGAGATTCAAGCCCGACTTCCCTTGCTGCCAGCGACAGTTCGTAACTATACATCCAATGTAACCAGTCTCGAGCCGCTTCTTTACGCAATGTTTGTAGCTCTTCAACCGGAGTTCCGTGTTCTATTCGATCAAGGTCAACTTGTGCCGCAGCAACCTCTGCCAGCCAAACTGCCTCAACCAGCCAAACTACCACAGCCAGCCAAACTACCACAGCCAGCCAAACTACCACAGCCAGCCAAACTACCACAGCCAGCCAAACTACCACAGCCAGCCAAACGGCGTCGATCTAGCTCAGTAGTCCGTCTAAAACCACCAGGTTCTTCTGCTGGCACAAAGCGCAAGAAAGGAGACGAAGAGAATGAAGAAGACGATGGCCGTGATTCCAAGAAGCGAAAGAAATATCGGCCCGACATCCCAGGTCAAATAAAATATCCTCCCGTCAGGAATATTAATCCGAATGTGCCGGATGAACCTGATGAGCCGCCTGCTAAGGAGCCTGCTAAGGAACCTGCTAAGGAACCTGCTAAGAAACCTGTCAAGAAGCCTGAGCCAGTGATAGACCCTGCATTGAAGGACTATGTGGCTCCAAAGGATCTCAACAAGCAGGCTCCATAGAACCCCGAGGAAAAGCCTGAGGAAGAGCTGTAATGCAAAGAGGTATACACGGATGTTTTGGATGTCACAGATCTCGTAGCACTTCAGAGTATAGAAAATCACACTATAATCCGATGATCAGCTGGAGCCATTCTTAGATCGACCATCAAGCTAGTGAGTTAGAGCTAATTGAAGTGATAGATCACAAAGATGGACCAACGTATTCATTGATTGCAAGTATAGAGTGGCGCCTGGACAAAGAGATCTAGACGACTCGATCTTCTGATTCACCCGACTTCCAAAGACATATCACCCTTTTCTTTGACTTGGAGTCTTTTTGTGTGTCATATTCCGACTCCCCCAGTACTCTTGTCGACAATTATCGCTTTGGCTTCGTCTTTTTCTCCGGAGATCAATTATAATGGCCCTCAATTCCGAAGCTATCAATATGACCGAGTCCCAGATTGATCTTTCTCCTAACGGACTTGTAGATTTTATAAGGTCCCGGAGTAAGAGCCCACCACTCGCCGGAAAGCCGAAGCTACAGGATCGGACATTTAGTCTCTATATCCAGTACAAGAACCTACGCGTAAATACAATCCAAGATACCATGCTTGACTGGGATTGGTCTTACTTCTTGTGCCGGTATAGCAGTGGAAGCCGCCCATGAAAAAGGATATCAGCTAGCACCAGACCACCGCTGTTGCCGTTCACCAAGGGAAGAAGGTCCTGAAAATGCAGGCAATAAGCTCCGGTACAGTAACTCGGCGCTGAGTGACACGATAACAATAATAATCAAATTGGGGGAATAATATCTTCTATCAGAAGGAACACCGCAATGGATGACCGCAGTGACCCTGATAGATCGTAACTACGTAATTCATGAGAATGTCGGAAGATTGACCGACAAGTTTGCATCCCAATCCCATACCTCCGGACCAGGATTCTCTGAGCTGCCAAGCCATCCTCCTAGATCCATTGGCTGTGAAGGGTCAGTATAGCCCTAAACAGCAACTGAGAAGCAACGACTTACCGCGAAATCAGTCAAATCGTTGAAGAGAAACGATACAGCGTCAAGATCACTTGGAGTGGCAGACACCGAATTTAGTCCCGACGGAACGGGAGTCTGGACGGATATGTTAGTTACGGTCAATAGATAGCTGTAGACAGAGGTGCCTACCTGCACAAGCCCGCTATCCACAGCGATCCGAGCCTCCTCATAGATGAGGCCGTTCAAGATAGCCCTGCAGATACGAACAGATCTCTTGGATGCAGCCTCAATGTGACACAGGGGATCTTCCCCCTTGACGCGCGACTTGACAGAGGCAAGAATAATATTCAAGAAGAAGAAAGGCTTAGATCCCTTTCCACCGACATCAATGCGCCGCCCGAAGTTGTCAGCCGTGCGCTCGATAGCTTGCATCATCACACCCTGTTGGGATTGGATCATGCTCATGAGAACGCTGGAGTTGACACCGTCCATACCCGCAGTAGTGGATGATCTCATTTCATTGGCTTGGAGGGAGAGCTCCACACAGACAGTGACCGCGGCGTGGAACGTCTCATCACGGAACATTCCGCTGCCCAACTGGGTGATATGCGGAGCGATAATGTTCTCCGTTGGGGGAGGGAGCTCCATCTGCGAGAGGATACCGAGAGACTCTTCGAGGCATACTTTGCGGGAATAAGAGCACTTAGGTAGGCGAACGACACTCAGCGAGAAGGGCCGATGCAAGGCAAGGAGGAACTTGCGCATGATGAACAAATGTAAGGACTGGGCGAAACGGTGGCGTTCTGCCTCTTCCGCTGCAGGACCTGGCGCATTTTCTTCGAACAAAGAAGATGTTTGTTGCATGGAGCGGGATAGCTCGTCGCCCATTTTCAGGGCGTCATCGTAAGATAAATCGAAGGAGAGACTGTTGACTTTTTTGGCAATTCGAAAGCGGAGTGGAAGGGTCTTGGTAAGGAGAGTCTGGTAGAAGTTTTGGGTATAGAGAGCAGTGCTACGGGGAGCAGGATTGTTTTCCATGTCCGGTATCATATCCGCATCGTCCCAATTCGATGGTGCATCGCAGTCGCATTCATCCAGGTCAACTGATGGTGGCACACCACGGTCGAGTGAAATCTTGAGGTCCAGCTCCACAATAGTCGCCCATAGCCGACGGCGCAGTTCAGCGTAAAAAGGGCGGAGCTTATGGAAGCGTGTCGGATCACGATGCAATCCCATTGTTGTCGCGGACCGAATCAACCACCCCGCTGAAGCCCAGGCTACATCCCCGTCACTGGCAACTCCGAGGCGAGCTACCAGAAGGAGAGCTTGAGTCTGGAGCATTCGAAAGTCAATATCCGGGCTTATAAATGTGCACGAAATGAAGGACTGGACAGCCATAATCCATTTCAGGGCCGGTTTCTGGAATACATCCCGGTGGTCTTGGCCTGCGGATGGAGCATAGAAGCAGCTACCAGCAGCCATGATAGCTAGTAACTGGGCCACGAAAGCCATGTCGGTGAATTGGGGATTCGCCCAGAGCTCGGCATATTGTTTCAAGAAAGTCGGCGTGTGCAAGATTCGATATGTCATTTCAAAGGTATCGAGGTACAGCTGAAGCAGATGATCTGCGACATGTTTCTGAGGGACCATTTCCTTCAGCTTGAAAGCCTGCTCGCGGAACTCGCGCTGATGATCCTGGGATTCGCGTGACCACAGTTCCGTCTTGAATTGTTTCATATCTGTATATTCCTCATCTTTCCCCTCTCCGTGGCGATTCCCTCGCCGCATGAAGGTTCCGATATCATGAAACTACGTCCGATTAGTATATTCTTCTCGTGATTACCATGAGGGATACCCACGAAAGAAACGGTAGTTGTGTAATGACTGCGACCGAAATAACGGGTCTTGGTCTTCTTTCCACGAAAGCTACATTCAGGTAAAAATCGCACGCGATCCTCAACGCCAACATTGTCAAGACTGTTCGTCTCAGCTTCGGAAAGGACATCACCGACCGACGTCTCAGGGGTATGAAGATGAGACGGCTTGCCGATAGAATTTTCCAGATTGCGCAGCCGAGTCCGGAGCTCGCGCAGCTCATCTGGTTGAGTACGCTTCGAGACACGATTGGTAGTCGAATTTGGCCCCAATTTGGAGTCGAAGACAAACATCCCGCTTTTTCGACCGGATTGCTCTTCCACGGTCACGCTATTGGGTGCTTGCGGTGGCGACATGCGTTGCCCAGAGTCGAGAACGGGGCCCAGCTGCGTTCCGACAAAAACACATTGCGCTGCTGTTTTTGAGCGTACGCATTGTCCACAAGGCTGAGCACGATCGCATTTCAACTTGCGCTTGCGACAGACTGTACAAGACAGGGGCGGGCGGCGGCGGCGCTGCGGAGCGCGAGATTGATCTGTCTCTTCATGTTCCGAAGAGATCGAATCGTGGTTTTCCATATTCAGGGTTGTTGAGTGATTTCAAATTGGGTTTTTCCTTGCCTTGCGATGACGCTAGACTTGAGACGTTGCCTTTTCGGACAAGGGGCCGTTTCCCCCTACGATTCCACGGGGTCTCAACGGAAGAGATGGCTCTCTCCCACGACAAATCAATGACAAATTCTCCTGGAAAGAGTGACAACAGGGCGTGTCTGGCAGATATGTAGCAGACAGGATGGTTGAAACTACTTCTGAATCAGGGATGTCCGGTGTCGGAGTTACCCCTTTAAGTAACCCCGGGACTTATCTCCGCGACAACTCAAGCTTTTGGCCAAGCGACTCACGTGAATCGACGTGAATCGCTGTCAGGCGTTTGGTCGCAATTCACAGGTTATGAATGCTGGCAATGCTTGCAATGCTTGCAATGCTTGGGCTTTGTGCAATCTTTCATCCAACACGACTACAGGTGAAACGGGCGCCTTAGCATTCAGCAGGTCATGTGGCAGCATTGGTTCATTCTGAGTCTGACCACTAGATGAGTAGATGCCTCGAGGGTATGAACATGGGTTTTGAAGGAATCGGGATATTTACTTGTGATATGTACACCAACGCTATGCGGAAGCTATATATACAACTCGAAAAGAATTCGGACCGAAATCCATCCAGTAGTGATGATCTACTTCGACCGCCAGAATGGCCTCATAACAGACCGCATATAAACCAATAAGTAAACCGTCAAGTAGTTCGTAACGGTAAAAGCAAAGAAGATGCCAAAATATGGCCAGATCTTCGAAGAGTCCAACCCAATTCCAGACAAATACTATGTAGATTGTTAGCATCTGCTCACGAGTGATTCGAGATCAGCATCAACTCACATCATCACCATGGCTGAATTCACAATATCCACACTCGCCCATCCCATCCGGGTTGGAGAGATACCCGATACCCTTAGCATTGAGCCATGCTCCCGCATACTCGCGGCAAGTGGTGTTCGGGGGACTTTCGAAGACAGTCAACTCCGTCTGGGAGCAGACGACATCGGTACCGCGCAGGACAGCAGTGAGCACACCGCCGATCCAGTAGGTAAACGGGGTGATATAGTACATGGTGTACTTCCAGAAGACGGGCATCTGACTTTGTGGTCGGAGAATACCGTTAAACAACTCGCACATGATGATGAAAAATGGCATGAGCGTTGCAGCAATCATGGAGTCGGCACTACACAGCGTTGTGTTAGTCAAGTCCTACTAGAAATAACGAAAGAGCGTGCGGCATGACCCACCTTAGAGCGGCAATCCATTGTCCCCAGGAGGTCGAGAAAAGGAAGAAAAGGAAGAACATCAGGAAGCTGTAGCCGGCCGCGAAGCCGAGGGGCAACCCGACCATAAAGTAGTATAGGACAAAGAACATCACACTACCAATAGCCGAATAAGGAATTTCTGAGAGGATCTGGGCGGTACAGAATGCAACCCAGCCATAAACCCCGCTGGGGCCTTCTCTGGCTAACCAGATATCGCGATTCATGATGAATCGCATGGATATAGCGTTGATAAACTCAGGGACGAGCATCAGAACAAGGAAGCAGGAGAAGGCCTTCGACTGCAGATCCGTAGTACTGTTTCCGATCTGCAAATAGGTGAGGCCATTGACGAGAGCGTGGAGGAAGGAAGAGTAGAGGCGCGAGTACGGGTACTCAGAAGTGCGCCAGAACTGGCGGCAAGTTCGTTGGGTCAAAAGTTTGATCTGCTGGCTGAGAGGGGGCAAGGTAGGAGGCAGGGAAGGAGAATTGGGATTCTTGTCAGAGCGGATTGAGGTTATTTCGTTTTTGACTTGAGCGCATTCTTCCGAGTCGCGCCAGACGGTTGCCCAGTCTGTTTTGTTTCCCGACGCTTTCATACCACCGACAACCACTTCAATGAGGAAGTCGGCTGCGTTAGTGGCGCGTTCGGGGAGGTTGCCGCGTCTAGCAAAATATTCGAAAATGTCGCGGCCAGATTCACCAACTGGGCCGAAGTAGTATGTTCTTCCACCGGGACTCAGAGCTAGGACACGGTCGAACTGGTTTTGTTAGAATAGAATGATGAGTTCATAGATCGATACTTACTTCTTCAAATTGTTGTTGGTTAGCCTGGTGAATGGTGCAAAGGACTGCCAGGCCCTGGTTGGCCAGGCGCCGGAGCAGAGCAACGATACTAGTTGCACCTTGGCTGTCGAGCCCACTTGTCGGTTCATCGAGGAATAGAAGCAATTTGGGTCGAGCGCAAAGCTCTACCCCAATCGTAACACGCTTTTTCTTCTCAATATCCAGAGACTCGATCACTGCATCTTGCAATTCGACCAGGTCCAATGTATGAATCACCGTTTCCACGTAAGCCAGTTTTTCCGTCGTAGGAATCTCACGACTTTGCCGGAGTAGTGCAGAAAATTCGAAGGCTTCTCTGATTGTGCTGCTTTCATCGTGGATGTCCATCTGCTGGCAATATCCAATCTGTCGGTTGAAGGATTGGTCGATTGACTTGTTGTCTACGAATAAAGACCCAGACAAGGAGCCAGGGCTGCCCCTTTGCGTGAGTGCAGTCAACACTAAAGGCTGTCAGTAACTATAAATGGAAATGACTTTCGCTAAAGATCTTACATGTAGACTTGCCTGCTCCGGAGGCACCAACGAGAGCAGTCAGAGACCCTGGTTTGCAGTATCCACAAACACCATCCAAGATCTTCCGTGTTTCCTTGCCAATCTGCACATTCAATTCCAAGTCCGACCAAGAGAAGGTGGACTCAGTAGCTGTAAGTGTCTGGTCATGCAGGGTTTGGCCACTTGGGGGCGGCGCAGCAGAGTCAACGGAGACGGGTGAGTTCTCCTCATCAGCACCACTGCTCTTCCGTTTGAATAGCTTGCGCGACCCCTTGTATCGAATGGGGCCTGCACTATCCAGCTCCCATTCAAGCACCTCGCTTAGCCAGCAGGTGGACGCAATAAAGACGACGGAGAAAAGACACAGAATACCGAAATTGCGCCAGACATTGCTGTAGTAGAATCCATACTTTACAGCCAGGTAGTCATCGCCGTTGATCACAGTGCTACCGATCTGACTACCAGCATAGGCACACGTCTGGTAGGCAACGTCGGTATACCCAGCGCCGGATGGGACAATGGACCCGGCAGCACAGGTGAAATTGATGTTGTGAAATTCGGCTGCCATGATTGATTCGTAGGCGAACAACGCAGGGGTTGTGTATGCTAGCCATCCAACCCAGGGAACATCTTGAATCATCTTATCGACTGAGAGGACATAGCCGCCAAAGACAATGCAGAACACAACAGATACTCCGCAGTAGCGGAGTGCAACTTCGAAGTTCGGTGACAAAGCGGCAAAGACGCGGAATTGCGCTGTGAGGCAGATCGTGCTCATATAGATGAAGAGGATGAGGATGAAAAAGGGACCAGCCTAGACAGGTTAGTAAGGAGTCGATACCGCCGGCATGAAGACTTTTTCTATTTGCTCACCTCGGTTCGCAGACCAGACAAGAAGTACATGACGATCGAATAGAGGAACGTGAGAAAGATGGTTACCACCATATCTGTGAGAACGCGAGCCAAGCACACAGCACTGGGTCTTACAAAAGCATATTTCTTTTGCCGGCTCAAAATATCGCGGCCCTGCATAGCTTCTTCCAGTTCAGACATCTGCAGCCAGGCAAGTAGAATGGCAGAGTAGAAGAGCACGCCTCCACGAGAGTACAAGCCCTCGGTGGTTTGGGGTTGGTCGTAGAACATGGACCCAATCAGCAAGCCATAAACAACGCAGGATATCAACTTGATATACAGCGGGCCCAGGTGGCCTTTCAACTGCCAAATCTGGCGCTTTGTACAAAGCACCACTTGCCGGAAGAGCGAAATTGTATATGGCGATTTGGACGAAACGAAACGCGACTTATCGCTCTGCACGGTCTTCTTGAATTCCTCTACGCTGTCGCAGTCTGAATCCGCTGGATAAGTTTCAGAAGTTTTGGTAGTAAACTTCCGATCTTCATAGCTTTTGACTGCGGTCTCGATTTTTGCAAACGCAGCACTCTGGCGGAAAGCTGCTTCGAGTTCGATCGGGCCCTTTGGGGAGCGGTTTTCCCATCCAGCACGGAACTGCCGTCTTTCGGGCAGGGTGATGCTAGTCAGGAAATCCGAGGTGGTTTGCATGTCGGCGCATTCGTAGCCCAGGTCTTCGAAATAACCCTTGGCTTCATTAGCAGGCCCTTGGTAGAGCATACGGCCTTCATCAATGAGCAGCACCTTATCTACCAGCTCGTAGATTGCATCTGACGCTTGATACAAAGTGAGCAAGGTCGCTTTACCACACGTATCTGTCATGATACGCAGACTGCGTGCATAGTCCAGGGCAGAAGAGGCATCCAGTCCTCTTGTCGAATTATCCCAGCAGGCCACCGACGAATCAGTGGCGAGCGATTCAATGATGGAGATCCGCTTGCGTTCTCCCCCGGACACGCCACGAATGTACTCATTGCCCACCAACGTGTTCATGGTATGCGACATCCCAAAGACCCTCCCATAGATCTCCAGGTACCTCGGAATTTTGTCCCGGTAACGCTTGGGCGTCTTACTTTGAAGAGCAAACTCCAGCGTTTGGCGCACCGTCAACGTTGGAAAATGCACATCGTCTTCGGGGATGTATGCTACTGCGCCCCGGTAGTGCTTCCGAACCTCTTCCGGGCTCAGGCCCGAGTAGTCGATTGAGCCAGTCACTCCCAAATAGGAGGAATGATGGCCAGCGATGCTGCGGAGGAATGTTGAGCAACCAGCACCGGGACGGCCAAGAACGCTATATGTTGCAATTAGACCAAATTCCTCGATAGGTGAGATCTCACTTACAGCATAATTTCCCCGCTGTGGACGACTCCCGAAAAGTCCCGAATCAATGGACGTCCATCTTGGGGCTTCTTCTTTGCCAGCCAGGGCTGAATGGTCCACTCGTAGATATCTTGTAGGGTGAGGGTTCGCCACAGGGCCGTACCCAGAGTCTTTACACCTGCATGGCTGTCCGCATCACCCCAAGTCGAGAGCGATTGGAAACAGACACCGAGATTGGCACATTTCCTGCCCTGGATCTGTTCCTCCAGGAACTTGTCGAAGGAGGAATGTGGTTCCGGATATTTGGGATCGGCCAAACTCTTCTCAGTTAAGGTATGATGGATATCGACCAGGGCATCCTCATCTTCATGTGAGACATTCACCCTCGGAGGGCCATCATTATGTGCTTCCGAAGCAAAGGAAGAACTATGCTTGGGATGGGGGTTCAGAGGAGCGGGCATCTTGACCCTTTCAATGTTGGTTAGGAAAAGGATAGCGGACTCATCATTTGGCGAACACAATCGGTGATCTACGATCTATATTTATAAAGGAGAATAGATGATAAATAAGATATCAAAAGGATATAAAAAAGAGAAAGAGGTGGGGGATTCAGCGTTCCAAAAGGGAAGCCAATTCTCATGAAGTCTCGCCAGCCAATGAAGAAAAAACCTTCCCCGATGGTCCAAAGGTGCTGTGGACCCAAGAGGATATTCGATGCGCATCATGATGATAGAGCCAATAGGGAGATCCGCACCGGTGGCCACCACGATCTGGAGACAGGCTTGCTTGCTGCCATTTCTGGCAGTTCGTTTGAGAAAATGACATAGACCACCGCTGGGAACGTGGCTGCTGGTGGAACCCGCGGCCACCGGTATTTTCGCAGAAATTAGCAGAAACGGGCAGCCAAGACGAGAAGACGATCCACTGAACCACACACCGATCGAGAGGCAAGACTCGAGAGTCAAGAGTCCAGAGTCGAGACTCGGGGAGGCTGAGATTTTGATAGCATCTTGCGGCTAATTCATGACGTACACACGACCTGTGTACCTAGCGTCCAGAGACTCCATAAAGTGCCTTCAATCGCATATTCTCAGAGGTACAGGTACTGATATGTACCTCAGTTGTATGTACTCCGCTGCTTTCCCTATTCCGGTGTAGTGCTCACCTCGGGCCGGTTTTTTTTTTTTTTTTTTTTTCTTTTTTTTTTTCCTGCGTAGAACTGAGTACGGGTTAGGTAAGCAGTCCACCCTGCCCAGACTGGGTTCTGATCCGCGCACAACGGATTTTACTAGTTGCACAACATTATATAATCATTTACCTTGGGTAATACAGAATTCCAGGTGTTGATCCACGCACAACGGAAGGTTTGACTAGTTGCACAACATTACATAATAATTTTGATTATATAATACAAGAACACAGACTAAAAGTCAAATGATTCTAATCAGCACCGAACCTTCATTATAGGCACAACCCAGGAGACCCAGAGGTTATGAAGCTATTCGCAGAAAGCTTATAATCAATAATACCACTGCAAAATGATATCATAAAATTCTAAAACTAATACGATTAAAATTGTATTTAATCTAATGTAGTCTAGTGCTTTTTAATTTTAATAGAAATCGCTATATAATGGTGAAAATTGAAGTTCAAAACTATACTTTGAGTAGGATGCGACCGTGCGACACTACTAAAACCTATAACCGGCCCCTACATTTTGCTCACCAAAATTACGGACCCTCGCTAACGAGGGTCCTACACCCACCTGTCAAAGTCGACCTACTTGTCTGTTAGGACCGGCGTACTGGCGGGTCCTGGCAGGTAATGTAGAACTAGAGTGAAGGAATAGCAGAGTGCTGATATATTCATAAACTAATCGCTAAAGAGCTAAGTTCCCCTGGCAGTCTCTTCGGGGATGACCTCTGGTGGGTCACGGGACTAGGTCACCTGACCCGGCAGGACTCAGTCTTCATGATGTGCTCTCTGGCGGGGGGTCATGCTACCCCTGCTGGATCACGGGTTCTGGGTCCCAGGACTAGGCGGGATCCAGCCTGTGAGGCACTCTCCAGCAGAGGGTCGTAACAGCTATTAATAAAAAATCTAAAATTTAAAGTCTTTATTAAGAAATTAGCTCTAAGATATATTAGACCGTTAAATGTCCTAAACCCTATTGGATTATAAGTATATTAGCTAAGTCTCCTAAACTAATATGATAAGATGTATAGTATATTCTATATTTCGCTTTTAGAACTATAGAAGAGAGAAATATCTAAAACCGTATTAATATCTAAACTCGAAGAGTCTAAGGAATAGGAAATTAAATATATTAAAGATATAAAACTATTTGATAAAGAGCGATAGTTATTAATAAAATAGAAAGATTAGTCTATTAACTATAACTAATATATCTTAGAAGAAAATATAAGAAATATAAAAGAGGCTATTAAATCTTATAAGAGACTAAAGAAAGAGAAGAAAACAGTCTAAAATATATAGTTATATATTAGTATACTATTAATATTAGAGAAATAATAAATTTAGATAGAAATACTTTTAGCTTGCTACTAAAATACCACTAAGATATTACCAAAAAGCTAATTGTTAAAAAAAGATCCTTAAAAAGTAACTTAGAGAAAATTAAATAATATCTAAAGCTATACCGGACGTAGAAGGAAACTATAATATATCTAATATAATAGGGAAGTTAGCTTAGATATTAAAAGAAAGGGAAGGACTTATGTTAGTATCCTATCTGGATATAATAATCACTAGAATAAGGTTACTAACAAAAGAATACTTTTATAATCCTAAGACTAGATTATAAGGTGCTTCCTATACCTTTAGTCTATATAGGGCACTATATAGAGCTATTAAAGATATAGAGGTATGATATAGTATGTAAGGTTTTAATGATAGGTTTAACTGATACTATAATGTAGAATCTCTCTTAGAAGGTGTAAGATTGTCTAAAGATCTAAATAGTATCTGCTTTTTCCTACTATTTATGCCCCTTTATACGCCGAGTATCGGAGTACTCATTTGGCCCCTAAAGTGTGCTTTTCGGCGGAAAAGACAGAGGAGGCGTAGCGTTACTGATTCTACGGATAAGAGAATTATGCCTTAGGCATGGTTCTTAATAAGCTCCGTTCGTACTATATTAGTAGTTCCTAGAGACTATATACTTATATATATTACCATTAGATTCCCCTAGCTTATATAAATAATACGATCTTCGTCGAATCTCACTTCATAGTATTCTATAATATATAGCTAGAATCACTATATTAAACGAAATAGCGTACTAAAATATTATATATCTTTCGCTCTACTTTTATAATAAGAAGCCTAGAATAGGGTAAAAGGCTTAAAACTTAGGAAGAGAGAAACCGTTTATAAGTATAAGCGATATCCTACTAATTTATTAATAAAATATATACAGAACAGAGGGGATATTGCTTACTATAGGTATCTTTTTCTAGGATAGAGAGAAACTATAAGTAGCTTGGTAACTATAGATTAAAGCCGAAAAGTCGGAGATTAACTCTTGAATCCTACTGTTTATAGTAGTATAGATAGTAGGCTTATAGAATAATTAGGATCTATTAACCTCTTTCTATTCTATATAGCTAAGGTAATCTTTTGACTTTTCGAAAATTTAGGTAGTCTATTTAATAATTAAGATTAGGTCTATAATATTACTTCTAACACTACTAACAATCTATATAGTTAGAATCTAATAATAGTAAGAAAGATAAACGAATCTATACTAAATTATATATACGCTATTTTTTTATATAATACTAATAGGAAATAGATCTAATAGCCTTAGATTTATATTTAACCTTAAGAGAGCTATTAGCTACCTACTTTTTCTTAGCTATATATAAACAGATGATATACTAATTTAAATAATATTAAATAGGATAGTTTTATTTTAGATATATAAAAGAACTAAAGTTATAAGAGCGATAAATAATTTTTATAGGACTAATATAAGAAATAGTTATAGATAGATTAATACTAAAAAGGTTATAAATCTTTGTTAACCTAGAAAGGAGTCTAGTAAGAGAAGCATAAAGAGGATAGTATTATAGAAGAGGAAGTTATAATTATCTAGTGTTTTAAGGTAGGAAATGAGGGGACTTAAATACACAACTATGGTACAGAGTTTATTATGTGGAATCCTATAGAAAGTCCTATATAGGGATTGCACTCTAGAGTTCAGCCGATCCTTATAAGGAATTAAGAACCCCCTTGCAAAATGCAAGACTACAATCCTACCCTCTCTTTCTCCCTGTATGATGCTCCATGCGAGGATCAGATGCAGAGGTCTGCATGATCCTTGCAGGGGATGATCATATGCAGAGATCTGTATGATGATGTTGTTTGAAGTCAGGTGACTCCTCCTTCCTCGCCATGCTATAAGAAGCTCTTTCTTCCAGATAGTTTCCTTCCCTTCTTCTCTTCTCTTCTCTTCAGACGAATACAGGATTTCCAGTCTCTCTCTCTCTTTTCGTAGCGTAGAGTCTGGTCCTGTCTCTCAGATGTGTTGGTATGCAGCCTGTTGAGATCAGGGCTCCCCTCCTTGGAAGCCTCACTGTCCAGGCCTTCCTTTGGGAACCTCACTGGTCAGGCACATCGTCAGTCCTGCACTTATGAGAAGTGCTAGATATCAACAATCTTAAATACTATCTTAAATAAATCTAAAAAAGAAGAGGGTATGAACTAATTAATAGAGAGATTAATAATAAGATCTATACTATAACCATATCTATAATTATAGCCGTAACTCTAACCGCGACTATAACTACGCGCTATAATTAATATAATTAACGCATAAAAAGAGATAAAATACGAAAGTATAAGATAAGTAAATATAAATAAATTATCTATAGAATATATATAGAATATATATAAGATAAGATATAAATAATAATAAAACAATATAAAAAAGTAAAGTTAAAGTTAAGAAATACAAATAGCTTCTCTTTTATTATTAAATAAAAAACCCTTGTTATAAGAAAGGAGCTTTATTTAATTATATCTTCCTTCCTTATCTAGGTAAATAAGTTATAAATCTTATATACTCGTTTATCCTAAAAGTATTGAATAACTATCTCCCTATAATATTACTGAATATAGCTATAAAAGTAAGGGATTGTTAATGAGACAGCTCTTGGTTAATGGGACAGCCCCTACCTGAATTTGGCCTGATTCCTGCCTAATAATCGTACCAGGCGCCTAACACCACTCCTGTGGGTTGGTGCGCTTTACTACTTCGAAAATTCTCACCGCTTCCGACAAAATCAACATTTTTCTCATTAAACCTTATTTATCTCCCCGCCACTATATCAAATACCCCTTATTTTACTAAGGATCGGATTATAAAGGCACTTAAGGTCTATTCCTAGGGTGATATCTCTAATATCTCTTAGCTAGCGCGTGATTTCGGCGTTCTATA